TCATAGACAGCGCCGGGGAACTGAGTCTGATCATCAGCGTGCCGACCTTCTCCCATAAGCATTTCCTTGTTCCACCCCCGGTTTCCCCGATTGGCGTTTCTCTCAGCCTGCTCTGCAGAGAACTCTGCGTACCAGGCTCGCCAATCCAGGTAACTACCCGAGGGCAGACACGCCTTTGCCAGCTGAATCCAGTCCGCGGGGGTGAGGGGCCCAGAAGACAGGTTCTCCAGCATGGCAATGGTGTAAGGCGCAGTCGGCCCAAAGGTTGTAACTGCATTTTTAAGTTCTCTAATCTGCTTTATCTCAAAAGGCTCCCATGCATTACGTCCCTGGCCCATAGCTACTTGTACAGGAAATATCCCGTAGGGGCCACTATCTATCCCAGGTGGTGGATGTACCTCATGAGACAAACGTCCCCCCTGCCAAAGCCGCCTGTAAAAATACCGACCCGCCGGCGGCGGAGCATAAGACGGCGGCCATGATTGGGCGGAAAATGGGGGCCCGTGCATCACTTCCTGTTCTGGCGAAGGGGAAGGGAGCTCCCGGGCGGCCGCCTCGCGGCGAGGGATCGCCTCCGGGAACAGCCCCCAAGGTGGGGCGGAAGGCTTCGCCTCCCTCTCGCGCCGGGGAGTGCTCAGGAGCTCTCTACTCCTCCGCAGACCAAGTTGAGCGGAGCGCAATTCACGGCGCAACGCTGGGAAAGAACCCTGCGACTCCTTATCGAGCGACTTAGGCTCCTGACAGCTGGTCTCTTTGGCCTCCTTGCCATTCAACTTTCCCTCGTCCTCGGAGTCAGACGACTCCGAGGCTAGAGCCCCGTCCTTCTCCTTAGCATCTTTGTTCCCCTTGACGGGCCCCTCTCGGGAGCTCCCTGACTGGGCCTGCTCAAATACCCTGCGTACTTTTGTAAGCTCTTGAGAGCTTTCTCCACAACCACCCTCGCTCTTAGTGTTGCTACCTAGCATGTTTCCCATTTTTTAATATGTTACTCACCGCGTGAGGCCCAAGGAATCCGCCACTTACGCGTGAGCCTGAGGGGAGTCTAAAAGCCCTGTAGGTGCGCGCCACCCAGAGCCCAGGCTTATCCCCAACTCACCTGTCTCGCAGCTCTGTACTGGAGCGTTGTCCGCTGTCACGTCTCGGGGGTGATCAGTCCCCGTGCGGGCCACCAAATGTCGATGTCGCTCCCGGCCGGCAGGAAGGACACACGACAAAGTCTGGCAGTGGACAACCTTTTCTTTTATTTTCCTTCTCCGTACAGCCTGCCCTGGGATCGCTCCCAGCCGAAGCCTCCTTTGGTCCGCTCCCCGCGGCTCCTTTTGGGCTTCTACTTCTGGGCTTCTTCTTCCCCCCAGGGGTGGCACCAGTATATATACGGATACAGTGTCCAATCATGTTAAAGTAAGCAAGGCAAGCTGATTGGCTAACATCATCAGTTGCCAGGCAGACTATATTGTTGGGCGGGTTGCTTACGCGGTAAGCAGGAAACTAACGTGCTCGATGGGAGGGGTAATCTACCTCAGGCTTTACTCTTTACTACAGGCCTCACGTCCGCCAAGTGAGGCGACCGGGCTCGGGGCTGCGGCTCCCAACACCTTTGTAGCCCTGTGTGGTGGCAGTCACCTATGATCCCAGGACCCCAGAAGCCAAGGCAGGAGGTATGCTTTAAGTCCAAGGCCAGCCTGGACTATGAGACCCTGTCTTAGAAAACAAGAAGCTGGTGGAGGGGCACACGCATGTAATCCTAACACTCACGAGGCTGAGGCAGGAGGATTGTTGCAAATTCAAGGCCCATCTGGGCTACAAAGTGAGTTTGAGACCAGCCTGGACTGCATAGTGAGACCCTGTCTCAAAAACAACAAATACAAACAAACAAACAAAAAAAAACCAAAAGCAATAGGGGCTGGGGATTTAGCTCAGCGGCATAAGCACCTGCCTTGCAAGCAGGTGGTTGTGAGTTCGATCCCTGGTACCGATAAAAATGAAAAAGACAAAAAAAAAAAAAAAAAAAAAAAAACAATAGACATTTGTGATCCTGGCTTCCACTGTCTTTGATTAACTTTGAATGCATTTCTTCTCATGTTGGAGAAGTGTAACTAAAAGTATATTACCTCGTTTTTGCAGTAAAACTTACCTATAAAGGAAAAATAAAATCCCATCTTCTAAAGGGAGCGTGATGGGGTTTCCTGAAAGTGAATGAATACATTTGTCCAGTACTGGAAATACATGTTGTTTGTTGTGTTTTCAATTTGAAAAATACCTGGAAGGAAACTTGAAGGGCTACTGTAGGCCTGGGAAGACAGAACAGTTTGTGGGAAGAAGCAATTTTTGGGACTTTATTTTTTTACAGAAATGTTTGAGAGAAAGCAAGCTTTTTTTTTTTCCTTTCTTTTTTTATCAGTACCAGGGATCGAACTCACAACCACCTGCTTGCAAGGCAGGTGCTTATGCTGCTGTGCTAAATCCCCAGCCCCTGAAAGCAAGCTTCTGAGAGAGAGACAAAAGGGTTCCTGAGTGGGTTGACGGGGATTTTGTTTTTTAGTCCCCTTTGCCACTGAGATTTTGGCAGGACAGAGACAAAGTAGAAAAGAGGCCATTGTTGCAGACACCCTCAGGTGAAAACAAAGAAGTGGAACTTCTTTTATCAGCTCTGGCTGAGGGAAGAGTTTGAGAGGTGAGCAAAATGACACATCAAATGCTATTTGAAGGAGCACCTGGGAGCACAAAACAAAAGACAGACAGATTTACTGAGGCCTGGGGGTGAGGCTTGGGTGACTGCGGAGTCTCAGGATTGGAAAGGGCTCAGCAATATGCAAAAAAGGAGCAGGAAGTTTATCTCTGGAACTAGAAGAACATACAAGTTACTTAGATAAGTTGTTTCTCTGGCCCCGGTACCAAGTTGGGTGGATATCACGGTAAAGAAAGCTAAGCCTCAGGCTGGCAGAATCTATCAGAACCATTTTGGTTTCTGTTCCAGGCCAGTGTCTTCCCAGGTCTTAAAAATCTGTTCCCTTTTGTCTGTCTTTTTTTTGAGGGGGTGGTTTTTTTGAAACAGGCTTTTGCTATACATTTCAGGTTGGATTTGAACACACATTGTAGCCCAGGCTGGCCTTGAACTCACAGTGATCCCCCTGCCTTAATGTCTCCGTACTGGAATTACAGGTGTGCACCACCACACCCGGCAAAAATCTGTTCCTATTCACGTAAAAAAAAAGAGAGAGAGAGAGAGACACTAAAATGAACTACTTGGGGAAAAAAGGAACTTAGAAAATAATTGTAATGGAAATAATATAAATGTTCTTTAGTAGTAGAGGGATTAAATACATAATGCTGTATCCCTGTGTACCAGGAAATCATTGCGAACCAGCAATGTAAGTTCACCTGAGCCTGTAAGAAGCACAAAATACCAGATAATGTGTATTGTTATCCCTGTTTTCTTTATTGCTATGAATATAGGGCCTTGCTCATGATAAGCAAATATTATCAGGATCTGGGCCTTTCCAGAATCCTCTTGTCCTTTATCAAAGAAGTGAGCAAAAAAAAAAATGCACAAAAGGCAGTGAGGTCTTACTAAAGCAGAAAGGTAGGCAAAGAGAAACACTGCCGAGTGAGGATGGGCCACTGAAAGGCTTCCAGTGACCCCCCCTCCCCCCACTCTATATCCATGTAAGCTGTCCTATCGAGAACCTGCAGGATTTTGTGCCAGAACCGAAGACAGCACTTTGATTGGGCTCAGGTCCCTCCAGGTTCTCCCTCGAAACCAGAAAGCAGGCCCTGGGGAAGTGGCACCACTATAGAATGCTTTTTATAGTGCTTTATGTAATGCTTTTAGTTATTTCTATTATTTACATTCAGTATCTTGCAAAGAAAAAAACCTAAACTTTCTCCCCTTTCTTTTGTGGTACTGAAGATGAAACACTGGCCCCCATCCCTTTCTAAATTTTTTTTTTTTTTTTTTGCCTTTTTCCTTTTTATTGGTACCAAACTCACGACTGCCTGCTTGCAAAGCAGGCGCTTATGCCGCTGAGCTAAATCCCCAGCCCCTCCCTTTTTAAATTTTTGAGACAGGGTTTTGCTGAGTTGCTCAGGCTGGGTTCAAATTTGTGATCTTCCTGCCTCAGCCTCAAGGGTATCTGGGATTGCAGGTGTGTGCCACCTTGCCCAGGTCCACACTGATTTAGTGTACGTGGTGAAGTGAACACATCAAAGCTGATTTCAAAAACCTACTGGAGAGTTCTGAACCAAAGACCAATATGTGAAAGGCTCCCTAAACATGCAGTGGCCATCCCAAGCGCTAGTGTAAACACGGTCCCATGTGAGCTGCAGGCAGCTCTATTGTTAGTGTACTGTGGAAAGGCTGGATGAGTACATTAAGTAATCTGTTGTATCATAGTTTGTTTCGTTTTCTTTCTTTTGGAGACAGGTCTCACTATGTAGCCCAGGCTAGCCTCAAACTCACAATGATCCACCTGCCTCAGCCTGGCAAGTGCTGGGAGGTCTGGCTAAGGTTGTATAATTTTAAGTACTTACACAGAACATTTAAAACTTTTTAAAAATCTCAACATCATGAAATTTCCATTAAGAAATACAGCTGTTAGGTCACAGCATCATGCCTGACCAGTTTCCTATGCCTGGCTCCTGTCACCATAGTCTGGCTCTAAGTGAAACTAGAAAGGTGTGTCCCTAAGGAACACCTCAGGTCACCAGGGACAGTCACTGCCTCCAGCCAGTCTGATGGGGATACCTTGTAAAATGTGAAGCTTGGAGGTGCGGAGAGAAGGATGCGCTACGGAGTGGGTTCTGCCTTGCTGCTCAGCCCTGGACAGCGGCCCTGCTGCTGTACATCAGCACGGCCCCAGTCTCTAAGTCAACAGTTTCACTCATGTTTAAGGAAAAACTCCCTTGTATTTCATGATAAACACCTAATCTTCCCCAAACAGAGTGCATGACTGTGTTCCTCAACTTGATTAAAAAAAAAAACAATGGGGTTAAAGACAGTATGCAAATCAGTCTCCATTTTTATTAAAGCTGTATATCTCTAAGGAATATATTACACTTAAAGTTCAACACCATAAAGAAGAGTTCTTAAATCTTGTATATGACTTATTAAAAATGTAAATGTAAAGTAATTCACCACTCCCTTCCTAACCCTATATTTTATAGCTCTCTAAACTCTTCCTGTCAGTTGAGATCTCTTCACAACGAGAAGCAGCCTTTACTGAAACCCTTCAGTTCACCGGGCTTCCTGGCAGGGGTGACAAGCAGTGTGACTGTCGTCCTCCTCCTGAACTATGCAGCCACCCTGGGAGTCAGGCTCCTCTCTGTCCCTTCAGTGCCCAAGGGAAACAGGACACAGTGATGAGAGCTGCATGCCAGCAGGCTGGGTCTGGGAGCACAGGTGAAGCTCGTGTCCCGGGTGGGTTCCTAGAAGTCACCTCGATGTCTCACATGGCCTTGGTCCAGGAGCAGAGCAGTGATAAAACTGTTGGAAATGCTCTGCTATGCCTACGGATGCCTGAACAATCGAAACCCATAAAACTTTCCATTCTGGGCCAGGGATGTAGCTCAGTGGCTCAAGCGCTTGCCTGGCAAGTGTGAGGTCATGAGTTTGATCCCTGGTACCAAAAAAAAAAGAGACAGAAACCTGTTTCCACTCCCAATAGTGCTAACTCCAACTCGGCACAGGATGGAAACCGACGTTAAGCAGGATTTACATATACCATTTTTACAATGTCTGGTTGGTCTTATCAAAAAGCATCCTGTGGAAAAATTGTGGGTGATCAGTTCTAGAAATAAGCCAAGAAAAAGGTGACTTTCCCAGAGCAAAGCAGATTTACATGAAGCTGGCTGGAGTGCTCGCCAGTGCCAGGCTGTGTTGTGTCTTTGGCTTCTTCCTGTGACTCCAGGTCTGAAAAACCTGTGATGAAGTCACGTGATACTTTTGATACCTGGGACCTTGAAACAATCCAGGTGAACCTAAGTTGGAACTGAAAACCATGGTAGTCTGTACCACACCTGATCTCTTCTGAGCTGGGAGGAGACTGTCCCCAGGTCAGCTGCTTATCTGCCTCCTCTGTCCCTGTGACTGCCGCCACACTGCAGCCTGCATGCTCGTGTGTGGGGAACTGGTCCAGTCTCCGCTGACAGGAAGCGCTGGCCTGACACACAGTACCGATGTGGTGCCACTTCAAATTCTTCATTCACAACTGAATTCTATACTAGTAATTCTGCTTTGAAATCTCAAGATTTAAAAAAAAAAATTTCTGTAAGAGGTTATTACATAGTTCAGGCTGGCCTTGAACTCACTATATAGCCTAGGCTGGATCTGAACTCGGGGTGATCCTCCTGCCTCAGCCTCCTAAGTGTTGAGATTACAGGTGTGTGCCACCATGCCTGGTTTGAAATCTCAGATTTTAAAAGTCTCTGCCTCATTATCATATCCTAAGTGACTCAAACGTGCCTCTCACTCTTTGCTCACTCAGTGTCTTGCTGAGTATATGGTACAAAATCTGAGCCCACCTCACCTGAGCCTTACTAACAGGATACAGGCGCTGCTGCCGTGAGGGCGTTCGGGAGGTGATAGGTCCTTGAAATCGTTTCACGTCTGCAGAGAAAACTGGGCCATCACATTCCAACTTTAACAAATACATATGCAAAACAGTCATCAGCAGTATTTTCTCTAAAGTCATTAGTGCAAATACACCAATAAAAAACAAAGCAAAAATATACGTCAAGTATAAAAGCACCATGCTTGGAAACAACACTGCCCAGACAGTGTCACTGCACTGTGAATCTCAATGTATTAGGAACCCATGCCAGTTTTGGCTTTTTATAAAACTTTGGGAGATGACTTGTAACTGTTAACAGGCATAGAAGTTGAGATTATGTTTCTTTAAAAATCTGCCTTCATGGGGCTGGGGATTTAGCTCAGCGGCATAAGCACCTGCCTTGCAAGCAGGCGGTCCTGAGTTCGATCCTCAGTACTGATAAAAATGAAAAAAGACAAAAAAAAAAAAAAATCTGCCTTCATTCTCCTCCAAACTTGCACAATTTAAAGTCTGCACAGAGCAGATGGAGCCCGATCCCAGCCTGGGGATCAGCCCTTCCTGCTTTGCTGCAGCCAGTGACTAAGGAGCCGGCTCCTCACCATGGCAAACACTTCTGCCTGTACCACATGCAACACATATTTTAAATGTACACATCTTTTTTAACTTACTACATAGCCCTAGGCCTTGAACTAGTGGTAATTCTCTTGCTGCAGCCTCCCAGAGTGCTGAGATTACAGGTGTGTGCCACCACACCTAGGCTAAATGTATGCATTTTTAAAAATTATTTTATGCTGGGGTTACTATCTGACCCTAATGCCATATAGCCAGTTAGAATTATGACCTCATAAGAAATATGCTGCTCTGCTCGCTTAGCATAGTTTTCTTGGTAATACTAGGGATTGAACCCAGGGCCTCACCTGAAGCAAGTATGCGTCACATCACTGAGCTACCTCCTCAGTCCCCCAGACCCCACTTTTTTTTTTTTTTTTTTTTTTTTGAGTCAGGGTCTTGCTACATTCTCTAGGACTGGTCTTGAACTTCTAATTCTTTTGCCCCAGCCTCCCAAGCAACTGGGATTATAGTACTAAACCACCACTCGGTAAAAACTTCTTAACTGGAATACTCAATAACTACTTTTGTTTAAATGTCACAGGAATTCACTAGCTTTAGAGAGGAAAACAAAACAGCACCCATTATTAAAGAGTTAGCCAAGTATGATAGCATGTACCTATAGTCCTAGTGCTCAAGGAGGCTGAAGCAGGAGGACTGCAAGCTCAAGCCCAGGCTGGGCAACTGAGCAACTTAGTGAGATTCTATCTTGGAACAAAAAATTAAAAAGAGGCTGAGGTGTGACAGCCCCACGTTCAATTTCTAGTACCAGCACCACCAAAATCATCATCATCACCATCCCACTGTCATCCGACAGAGTAAAATGACTCTGTGGGTAGGTGAGCTCTGGTGCAGGAGAACTGCCTCGTAGAGTTTGGTGGGAAGAGGAGAGCCAAACCTGGGGCACACAGACTTCCATCTTTCAGCTTCCATGCGCTGAGCCCTGCATTAGGTGTGAGTGGACCCTACAGGGCAGGGCCCACACAAGGCCTACACTTGGCTATTGGTAAACAACTCAGATCATCTCAGTTGACCTGGTTTTCTCCTTATCCACAAAAGAATTTTCAGAATTAATATTAGCAAAAGAATATTAGCAATCCTTCTGTAACAATTTCTTAGCCCACCTGAAAATGACTCCATGCCTGACCCTATCAGGATTTCTTTTTATCTACTCTGGATAAAGCAGAATACAGTAATTCTGTGTGTGCTGGATTCTGTGTGTCACAACTATTCTCTGAAAAAATAAAAGTTTTCTTGCTTGAGCGTCTTCTACTTTTCAGGGTGGCATATCTCAAGCTCTCTGCTTCCAGGGGCTTTCCAGTCACCGCTTCATGGTGAGCTCATGGGGACGCTGAGTTCTGTAGGTGGTGAGGACAGAGGCTACACACACAGACAGTGGTGCCCATCTTTTTCTGCCACTGGCAGAAAAGGCAAGCTCGGTTAATTTGTAGGATTCAGCAAGAAAGAACTGAAAACACCACAATGAAAACAGTGATTTAAGTGTCCCATGTATAGCCACTGCATTTAAATAGGTACAAGAGTGCTGCAGAAATCCCAGCTGAATTATTTTCTGTAAATCTAATTTACACTTCTGAAGACAAATTTCACAAGTTATAATGTTGTTTGTTTTTTGAGATAGGGTCTTGCTAGGTAGTTCAGGCTGGCCTCAAACTCACTTCAGCCTGCGTGCTGGGATTACAGGTATAATCCAGCCACACCCAGCTTTTGTTTATTGAGACGGGGTCTTACTCTGGAGTTCAGGCTGGCCTTGAACTTGTGGCAATCCTCCTGCCTCAGCCTCCAGAGTCTTGCAGAATTAGCTGCTGCCCGTTTCTGTGCTGCAGTGTCGATGATGAGCTTTCCCATCATTTCAGGTCAGCAGAGACGGTGAGTGTGTGATCACTCTAAAAATCCCACTGGTGCCCCATTTTCACAGGACAGCAGGGGTGACACATCCTGAAAGCAGAGTGACCCGGTGACTTGGGTTTTCTCCTCCTCTGAGCTCTGAGACACGAAGGCTGGTCAGTGACTGCCAGGCAGCTCTGCTCCAGGGCCGGACTCTGGCCACTGTCACCCGCATAGGCTGGCACTCGCCCAGGTTTGTGCCTTGTGCTTTTTCCACAGCAATGTGACGCGGAGCAGCTCCTTGATTCCTAGTGCCACATGCACAACAGGACTCCAGCCAGTACGGGAAGCAGGTTGCCCAGCAGCAGCCAGAGGGTGACCACCAGGCTGGAGGAGCGGGAGCAGAGATCTAGGGTGGAAAACAGCAGAGTGACCAATGGCAGAGGCTTCCATGACAAAATCACCGCAGCGGCAATCTGACAGGCGAGGAGTATGGATGGGGACTAAGAGTGACTTCAGAGCCCTGAGTTCAATCCCAGTACCACAAAAAAAAAAAAGTGACTGAGACCCTGGTATGTAAAGTTTTGTGTATTATGGAAACAAGATATACAGAAGAAGAAAAGATGAAATAAATACATAAATAAAAATTTAAAAAAGATGTACCCTCCATGTCAAGGTTACAGAACAGCACCCATGAAAAGAAAGATGTGTCCTGGGTGGAATGCAGGGAAGCTGCAGACATCACGCAGAGTACAGGTCCTGCCGAGGGAGCAGGGCTCTGCCTTCATCTCTCCTGTACCTGGTACACAGGGCAACCACACAACTGATCTCCAATTCAGCGCGTTTTGAGAACACAAAGGAGCAATCGTAACAATTACACCTGTACAAGAGGCTTGAGGACTATTTCAACAAAACAGGACATATGGTCCCTTATTTCTAAATACACACTGGCTAAATGTGGCAGTGCATTTATAATCCCAGCACTTAGGAGGCTGAGGCAGGAGGATTACAATGAGTTTTAAGGCCAGCCTGGGCTATACAGCAAGACCCTATCTCAAAAAACCCAAATAAGTAAATATCCATCCTCTATATTACCCAAAGCTTGATGTGGAAAACACTGGAAGGTTCCATGGGCTTTGGGTACAACGAGGATATTTTAATTTAGCCATGAGCTGTTGTCATGGTAAGCTGTTTCTCTAAAACAATTCTCATGGCAATACTTTTTTAAAGGTGGGCTCTGGTTATGTAGTCCAGGATAGCCTTAAACTCACAAGGATTCTCCTGCTTCAGGCTCCTGAGTGCTGGGATTACAAAATGGGTCACCATGCCCGGCTGGAAATACTTTTACAGCAATGAGTAAAGGCCAACTTAGCCTTATACATGAGTTGTTTGTCTGTCTGTCCATCCGTCCTTCTGTCTGTTGTTCGTTCATTTTGCTTTGTTTTTCCTGGTACCAGCAATCAAATGCAGCCTGTCCACAAAGCACATCCCCAGGCTGGGCTGTTGTTCTTTGTATGTGAACAGTGAAGATCTTAGGTGGGGAATTTCAAGTTGTCACCAGCACTGCCATAATTTGAGTGGAGATAAAGGAAGCCAATAATAATAAATGTGGATTGAGTGATTGACAGGAAACTGAGTTACACAGAAGTTCTTTGCTTTCGTTTTTATTTTTGAGACTGAGTCTCACTATGTAGTTGAAGCTGGCCTTCAACTTACTGCCTTGGCCTCCTAGGTGCCACTGCTGTTCCCTAAACAGGGCTCCTTTGTAAGTCATTCTTGACTCAAGCTGTGGATGACCTACAGGGACCCAAATAGGCATTTGAGGGAATAACAACACGTGAATACGTCATTATTTACCAACTCTGCCAGGCATGGTGGCGCACGCCTGTAATCCCAGCACTCAGGAGACTAAAGTGGGAGCCAGCCTGGGCTACACACTTAGACCCTGTCTCAAAAAATAAACAAACCAAAAAAAAAAAAAAAAAAAAACTGCTGTGGAACTCAGTTCTTCTATCAACCATGCCTGGCTTCATACAAATATATTTAAAGTATCAAATAATTCCACAATTTGGCAGGTAATAAGAACTGTATTATAGAGAAACAATTTACCTAAAAGAACACAGGTAAATTCTGTTATAGTCCCTGGTCCATGGCTTAGTAGGTGTGCAATCCAAGATCTGTGTGGCTTGGAAGTCACACAGACTCACAAATGTAAGAATTCAGGACATTTTAGTATCTCAACAGAGATGCTTACAAAGTCTCGCACATTTCTCAAAACTGTTAGTGACTTGGAGGTTACCAATCTTTCAGCATGCTTCCTGATAGATCTGGTGAATTAAAATAAAAATAAATCACATCATAGCACAGTCTGGCATGGTGACACACAGCTGCAATCCCAGTACTTGGGAGGCTGAGACAGGAAGACTGCTGAGAGCCTGAGGCCAGTGTGAGCTCCACAGTGAGTTCAAGGCCAGTTTCGACCCATGGCAAGATCCTATCTCAAAACTTAACAATAAAATAAGTCATAACAAGGGCTCATGAAGGTGGCCCATAATGAGAAAGCAAGATAGAAGCAGGATGACAGGAGCCCGCAGTCCCCACTGCCCAGCCTCCTTCAACAGATCTGCTTGTCTCTCATCTCCCAGGGCAGGAGCCTCAGCATCTCACAGCCCCAGGCCTGGCTTCCTCCTCCTCCTCCTCCATCTCCCTGGTCCCGCCCCCAACTAGCCTAGCGGCCTCAGTCTTGACTCATCTTTCTCAATGAGATGCTGACTCCTCCCTTTCTTTTCTCTTCTTGTTCTTCTGCATGTTCTTCCTCTCGTCCTCCTCTTCCTTCTTTTTCGGCAGTACTGAGGACTAAACCAAGCACTCTACCACTCTGGCACTGAGATACATCCACAGCCTATGTCTCCTTATGTACTGTAGGCTGACCTTGAACTCACTACGTAGCCCCCAGGTCAGCCTCTAAAACTCATGGCCATCCTTCTGTCTCAGCCTACAAGTATTAGGATGCTCCACTTTACTTTTGATTTGAGACAGGACCACTAGAGTGCCTAGGCTGGTCTCAACTTCCTGGGTCCTCCTGCCAAACAGCTGTGGGACAGAAAGGTAGGGCATGGCAGAAACTGGCTGGGAAAGGAGGTCCCGCAAGGTCTTGGAAGACATGTGCCGAATAGTTCCCAAAGCCCCGCCCGTGACTTCTGAGGCTTTTGACAGGATGGCTGAAACTTGATGTCAGCCTCAAGAGTGGGCGTGGGGTACTCCACGGACCTCCACACTGAGTTTGGCCGCTTTATTCTCTTTTGCATGGTGTAACCCCGCTGTAGTGTGTATTTCTTTTCTTTTACTTGGGCCGAACTTGCTCTGCAAAGCCTGTTTCTTTTCCTATCTTTAATAAAATTTTGCTACTGTTTGTGCTTATCTTGACCAAGGATCTTGCTGCGGATAGAAGAACCTAGATAGCACCTCCAGAAGGAGACACCAGTACCCCAAAAGCCACTATTAGCTGGGATTTATAGGCATGTGTCACCTTGGCCTGAGTTTCTTACAATTAAATCTAAGGATGCAAATTCTATCTGTGGACCAGCAGCCTTCTAGCTATAGCCAAGCCAGTTTAATAACAATAAAATTGTCTTCTCACTGGTTCTACACTTTAAGAGTTAACTGACATATTTAACATCACATTTATTGTATACCCCACCAAAGGACCTAAGATTCTATATTATTTCACTGACTCAATGTGTCATTATTATTGTAGCTGCATAAAATCCAGCTGCGTTAGGGCCTGCGTAGGAAAGTCTGAACACAGCAGGCCTGAGACTGCTATCCTAAAAGTTCTTGCAAAGCTAGCCCGGAGCTACTCCACTCTTTGCCCTTGTCACTCCCACAAGCCTCAGAGGCAGATAAACCCACCCTAGTGGGCTATTTTCAGCCAGCCCCTGGAACAAGCCAAAAGACAGCACAGTTTCATTTTAAAAATACCTCAGGTGAGAAAACACTGCATAAGGTTTTCATTGCTGCTATTCTAAAATGCTAACCTGTTAGACTCTTGCGGTCCTCAAATCAACAGGCTTTTTGTTTGCTTGTTTTGTTTTTTTTGTCTCTTTGAGACAGGGTCTCTGTACAGTTCAGGCTGGCCTTAAGCTTATTTTGTAGCCCAGGCTGGTCTTGAACTTGCAATAATCCTTCTGCCTTAGCCTCCCCAGGGCTGGGATTACAGGCGTGCACCCACCATGCCCAGTCTAAATCCCAGTTTTCGTTGAGAGTTAACTCTTCTCTGATGATCTCAGCAAAGGCCAGGAACCTCAGTCCAAACTCCATGGACTTAGACAAAGGCCTCTCCCTTCCCTAGGTGGTGCTGGTCTTTCTCCTCCTGGTTCTTAACAACTTCAACTAGACTCCGTGGATTTCATTTTTGGGCCTCGGTTTTACTGCCTACCCTCACAAACCAAGCAGAAGGGCTGTGTGCCCTTGACCAAAAGCCTGCAATCCCCTGTTCCTAAAGCCAACACACTGCAGAGCTGAAGCTGCAAGAGAAAGTTCTGCACTGAGCCAGCAGAGGCTTCGGTGGAAACGGTGCGCTTTCCTGCAGCCTGGGCGGGGAGGGGGTGTCACACATGTGACCTACGAGCTAACACTTGGATCTCGGTCCAAGATGGTTCCTCAGTACTGAAAACCCTGCAATCCATCAGGCCTGGTTCCAAGTTGCCCAGACAAGGGGTTCCTACACCTTGGAAAGCACCCGCCTCCACCAGGCACCATCCTTCTGTCTTTTCCGTGCCATGGTCTCTAGACAGTTTTTGTCTCTGCAAGATTGGCTTCTCGTGTGAGAGCACCTGCTCTGGGGTTTTCTCCTCGCCTGCGCCTCACTTGTTTATGAGGCAATGGAAATGCAGTTAATTGATTCTGGATTTAATGAGCAGAATTTTGTTGACAATTTCAAGAATGAAAGGATCATTTACTTTGTGACCTTCACTGGGATACTCTGTGTAAGTCAGCCTGATAGATGTGCCAAGTTCCCCTATCTTCCATTTCTTTCCCACCACGTAGTTCAAGCTGGTCTCAAACGCCTTCCTCGGCCTCCCTAGTGCTGGGATGATAGGTGTGTGTCACCACACCTAGCATGGATTTTAAATCCCTTGTGAGAAGGGCGTTCTCCCTCAGAACTGTACTCAGGAAGCCTGACTTGTGCCCAGCTCCATTTGAGGCAACTTCCCCACCTCACTGTTGCCTCTCGCCTTTCTCCAACTGAGAGCACTCACCGAGGGGCAGCGCCCGAGTGAGGTTGGCAGCCGGAGGGTCCGTCTCTGGAGGGCACTGCTCACAGAAGTCCCAGCAGAACGGGCAGAGCAGGTTCCCGCCATGGATCCAGCCGTTCATCTGAATGCTGACAGGCAGGACCTGCCCAGCCCGGCTGCACGGATACGCTGTGTCCTGCACCCAGACCTTCAGACCTTGAGGAGAACAAGAGATCTTCAAACAGAGGGGAAAAGATATCAAGTCAGTAAATTCCAGGCTGTGATATTTCTCCTTCACTGCAGAGAAAACACTGGCTATAAAGCACAATCTGTGTGATGTGGGCATTTCTTTAACACACAGAGAGTGAGTTAAGCTATTCAGGTCTAAAAGACCTTGCTATGTATTCCAGGCTGACCTTGAACTCATGGTGCTCCTCTTGCTTCTGCCTCCTGAGTTGCTGAAATTACAGGCATGCACCACCAACTACTGAGCCTGGTGATTTGAATTCATATGCCCCTAAAGCCAGATTATGAAGAATAACATTTTTACAGACCCCAGAACTCTTGTATTCAGCAACTTAAATCTGCCAGCTCTCACATTTGTTACTCTCCCCACAAATCACTGTTTGTAAGCTGAACTTTACTAGTTGTATGAATTATCAATGTATATTCATTTGTTTAAAAGTATGACATAGGCCAGGCATGTGGAACATATCTGTAATCTCAACACTCAAGACGCCGAGGCAGGAGGATCACCATGAGTCTGAGGCCAGCCTGGGCTACAAGGTGAGTTCAAGGCCAGCCTGAACTGCACAGTGAGACCCTGTCTTAAAAAACCAGAGAAATAGATAGAAAGATAGACAGATAGACGAATAAGCATACAGCATAGAACTGTACATAGTAAAAGTTCTCCATCTTTCTCCCTAGCCCAGATCTCCTAGAATCAAAAATGATCACAGTGATTTTTCCACACTGGTATAGGTCTCAATTAGAGAGGAACTTATGAAACATTTTAAAAAGTAAGCACACAAAAGCTAACTAACATTTAAAAATTACTGTTTCTTCAAAGTTATTTTTGTCAAAGACTTCATGCTAATTTGAATCATAGTACTTCCCTGTGAACTTTGCTAGAACTATAAAAGACAAAAAACTAACAAACAAACCCAACAACAAAGTGTGACCTCTTCCACAAATGTGTCACCCACTGTCCTATATCTAATGAGCACCACTCTGCTCAGTGTAATCATGCTTTCGAGGAGGAGCCGAGTGAGCCTGCACATCCACCACGCTGTTCCTGCCGTGGAGCAGCAGCCATCGCCTGAACCCCCAAACCAGGAGCCAAGCAAACCTCTCCTCCTCCAAGCTGTGCATGCCAGACCTTCAGTCCTGCTGATGGGAAAGCTGACCAATACACTATTCTTACAACTTTTTCATTAAAATAGGTCTTTAAAAATCAAAACAGCTACTCAAATTTGTTAACTGCTTAGAAATCCAGTACGTTTCCCTACATAAATGGCCCTAGTATTAAGAAACAGTTAAATGACACTATTAGGCACAGGAAAGCCAAGTGGACTCAATCTTTGCAGATGGTATTATAAATCTGTACAAATCCTTTATCATGGTAGAGGTTACAAAACGGTAAAAGAACCTGAAAAAGTCACCTTCCTATTCCAGTTCCATCTTCTGTAACCTGATCTCTCATTTACAGAACCCTTATTCAAAGTATGTCCCTGTACTGCATTAAATAGTCTAATAGTATAGGAAACTTTTCTAGAAAGCATTTTTTTGCTGCTGGTGGTAGTGGTTATGTTTTTTTTCACCACTCTGGTCCTGAGCACTGAACCCAGGGCCTTGTGCAAGCTGTGTAAATGCTCTAGGACTGGCTACATGCCAGCCCTGGAAACATGCAGAGTGATGAAAAGTGAACATCAACTCGATATGTAACAAGAAGTGACTGTCAATGACAATACTTTGAAATGATGCTATGGTCCAGAGTCACGAGAACCAGTAAGTACTGATATAGGAAACACTCAGAAAGGTGCACCCCACGAGAAGTACTACATGAGGGTGGGGGCGTAGGTCAGTGGTACTGGACTTGCCCAGCATATGCAAGGCCTTGAGTTCTATCCCTAGCACCACAGCACCAAGAAAAAAATAAAAAATACAACAAGCCAGCTGTAGGGGTGCATGCCTGCAACTCTGGGAGGCTGACGCAGGATGACCAACAGTTTGAGCCCAGCCTTGGAAACTTAGCAAGACCCTGTTTCAAAATAAAACCATTTAAAAAAGACCACATCCTCATCTTAAAAAAGTCTATTAATCAGCTGGTGGTTTATTATTATTTTCGTTTTTTGAGACAAGGTCTTGATACATAAGTGCAGCCTGGCCTGGAGCTTGCAGCGATCCTTCTGGGTCAGCCTCCCAAGTGCTAGTGTTACCAATGTATCCCATCATATCCAGTGGTTTATTAATTCTTATAATCCATGGTTTTCTCAGACCCTTGGGGTTTCATTTTGTTTTTTTCTTTTTGGTGCTGAGACAGCATCCAGGACCTCATGCTTGCCAGGCAGGTGCTGGGCCATTCTCAGACTTCTCTTTTTTTCTCAGACTTTTTGAAACAAAATTATTTTTTCTATTGCAAAGTGGTTCAACAACAAAATTACACATTTGCTGTTATTTCCATAGGGTATGTGCCCAGAAGTAAAGTTATTATAAAACCTATCAATAATACACATTTTTTAAAAAATGGAAAAAGGCAATTTTTTTCCTCAAAGAAAATAAGGCTGAAAAGAAAAAAAAGAGACTACTTTCACGAAATGCAACCTCTTAAACTAACACTTATATAAACTGAACTACATAAATGTAATGTAAAGCACAAAGGCTATGTAAGATAAGACCTTGCATTAACAATACGGTTCACCTGGTAGCATCCGCTCCCCCAGTCTGGGTAGCTCAGCTTCCTCTCACAGTTCTCCATGACAAAGGCCGACTTCTGAATCAGACAAATGGAATGAGGTCCATACTTTTCAGCACCATAGTTTTTCAAAGTTTCTGAAGCAAACCAGAAAAGTGTCCTCAAAAACTGATTTTTTTTTTTTTTTTTTTTTGGTCTTATTCATTTTTATCGGTACCGGGGATTGAGCTCACGACCGCCTGCTTGCAAGGCAGGTGCTTATGCCGTTGAGCTAAACCCCAGCCCCTGAAAAACTGATTTTCAACAAAAGGAAAAAGCGTAAGAAATAAAAACACTTCGTGTTGCGTAATTAACAGTTGCTTTAAAAATCAAACTTGTGGGCTGGGGATTTAGCTCAGCAGTATAAACGCCTGCCTTGCAAGCAGGCAGTCCTCAGTTCGATCCCTGGTACCCATAAGAAAAAAAAAAATCCAACTTGTTTAGCTAGGCGTGGTGGTGCATGCCTAGAATCCCAGCACTCAGAAGGCTGAGGCAGGAGGATAAGAGGCCAGCCTGGGCTACATGGCAAGACCTTGTCTCGGGGCTGGGGATTTAGCTCAGCGGCATAAGCGCCTGCCTTGCAAGCAGGCAGTCGTGAGTTCGATCCCCGGTACCGATAAAAAGGAAAAAGACAAAAAAAAAAAAGACCTTGTCTCAAGATCAAACAAAACAAAACAAGCTTGTTTGTTTAACAGCGATTTTAAAAATAAAAAATTAATATAAATAGAACTCCAAACTCAAACTAGGTTCTTAAAACCAGAAGTAGGGTGAAAAATTACTTCACTGTAACAAAGTGGGTCGACCTGGGCCCAAAGTGTTCCAGTGAGACACATGTGAGAGCCAAGAACCACTAGATGACTGGACACACCATCAAGGAAAACCCAACAGGACCAACTGTGCATTTACCTACAGGTTTCCAAGTCTCTGTAAGGCACAGTGATCAGCGTAAGCCTCAGGCCCGACCCTAACCCCTTACTTATTTATTATGCACTGGCCCTGAAACAGAAGTGTGGTTAAAGAGATCATAGGTAGCAAGGTCTGAAACAGTTCAGGATCAAACTCCATCACTGACAGAGCTAGAAATTTCTTCTGCTCAAATGTGGACCCGCTGAGTAGTTAATCTAAAGCCTTTAAGATATTTATTAAATAGGTAAGTGATTGGAGAAAAATGACTAGAAATTCAATTAAATTTGCCATGTTTAAGAATAAATAGGGACTGGAGAGAGAGCTCAATGGCATAACCCCTGCCTGGCAAAAGCCTAAGGTCCTGAGTTTGATTCCCAGGACAAACAAAAAAGAAAAAAGAGAGAGAGAGAGAGAGAAAAAAAAAAAAATAGAAGGGGAGGGGATAAAAAAAAGAATGTAATGACTGATAGTTGAGAAGTTTAGCAATCTAACTAAGCCACTCAGCAGGGGCCCTGGGTCCTCACTCTGTAAACATTCTCAGCCTGTGCAAGAAGAGGGCAAGGAGATGGTGCGTGCTGCACCCCGCAAGGGGCAGGTACCCTGCCTGCAGTGTAAGGGAGGAAGAGGCCTGCTCTCCCCAGCTTTTGCTCTTGCTGCTTTTGCTGCCCTCTGCATGCCAGCCTGCCTTGGAGCCAGCTGGTTAAGGACTGAAACCTCCATAAACTACAGGCTAACTTGGGGTGTCAGGTGTTTTATCCCAGCAACGAGAGAAAAGTAACCAAGAGATGTGTTATGCACTTGCACCAACTCCCCAGGATGAATGTAATCATTTAGTACAAACATGGACTAATAAAAACTTTAAAAATAATAAAAGGTCAAAACAAATCCATGGAAATTTAAAATTTAAATGATCTAGTTTGTAACATACTATGGAATAAGCTAGAAGGGAAGACCAGTTTTAAAAATCTTAAAGGAGAGATAAAGCAATTACTGTTTTTTGGGAGGAGGGGTGCTGCAGTAGGGAGGACTGAACCCAGGACTTTCAACTGAACTGCACCCCATCCTTTGTTCTTATTTTTGTATTCTGAGACAGGGACTCAAGTCATAAAACCATCAAGGCTAGGCTCGAACTTGTGGCCCCAGCCTCATCCTCCCAGAATGCTGGGACTACAGGCATGTGCCACCACAGCCACTTGATCTGCTTTTTATTACTGTGTCAAATCTGAAAGTATTTCTGCTTATAGCGTAACTACTAGGAGCTACAGCTATCATTACAGAATATGCAGTGGCCACTGTTTAGGGCTTTTATGTCCTTTTCAATAACATGAATCAGAGCAAACAAAAGACCCGGCAGCACAGCTTACTGGCCACCAGAATACAGGATTATCTGTGATCGGAAGGCTGTTGTCGTATTTCTAAGTGACATAAACATACACGGCCCAAGGGGCTGGGGATTTAGCTCAGCGGCATAAGCGCCTGCCTTGCAAGCAGGCAGCTGTGAGTTCGATCCCCGGTACCGGTAAAAAGGAAAAAGACAAAAAAAAAAAAAAAAAAAAACATACAGGGCCCAGAAGAGGGAAAGGGTTATCTGTGGTGTTTTAATAAAAAGACCCCTGTGCTGAAGGACCTTGCATTGACACCAATCAACTATGTTCCTCAGAGTCCGGTCACTCACAGTGAAAAACAGGCACAGCTTCCTTACATGTCTTGAAGACGTTCAGAAAAATAAAATGAGAAGTAACAAAAGTGCCTCCTAGGTGCGGAGCCATGCGGTGTGCGGTGAGGCCTGGGATCTCCAAGTGCCACAGCCCTGTGTGTCCTCCCCAGCACTTTCAGAGTTTCAGTCGTGGCCCTAAGCAAGCTAGGTCTACATCAGGTCCCGCTGCACAGGTGCCGGTCAGGCAGGCAGGCGCCAGCAGCTTCTCTAAGGCAGGCAGTGGGCCTGAACACCTGGCGCCCCATGGGGACGTGCTGGTGATGCGCGTGTTTCCTATGCCCACGTGTGCAACATGCTCTCACACCGCTGACCTGGCTGATTCTCCAGGATTCTGCAGTCTGAGCTGCGCTGATACTCGCCGCTTGAATGCCAGCTGAATTCCTGGCTGAAAGGGCAGTAGTCGGCGATCTCCACCGAGCCGCCGTAGTGCGGCAGGTCTTCCGTGGGGACCCCGGCAAGCTCGTCGAAGTACTGCAGAGAAGGAGACAAAGTGTGGGGTCCATGGACAGCTGATAGCACCCTCGACTGCTGCCAGGTCCAAGACTTTGATCTGGTTCCCATCAGAGACTCCATAACACTGAGACAGAACATGCCACCCTATGGGTGTTTTGAGGTTGCTATAATTTCAGAAATACCCAGAGTAATTAAGTAAGTCTACCTTATCCATTAGGATGACAAATTTGATTAATGTTTTAAAAGGATGAAACAATTTAAATGAATGAAAGGGAGAATTTTAAGTTGATAAAACATAAAGCTAATGCCCAGAGTTAAGATGCTATAAAGATAAAAGATGTGACGATGTAAGCATATACAGTGCCAGCTACTGGGGAGGCTGAGGCAGGAGGATCAACTGAGCACAGCCTGGGCAACGCAGTGAGACCCTGACTCAAATAAATAATTAAACAAACAAACGTTTTTAGGAGACTTAATAGATGTGCAATTTTGACAATCTTGAAAAAGTAAAAACTGGGATAATACAGGATTACATTTACAATATACTTTGAATAGTAAAGGGTCAAGGTATCATTATTTTGCTTCTAGAGATTCTTCTCACTTATTAAAAAGATTTCACATTTCATACCGATTTACTGAGTTGTACTACCACACTTGGAAATGTGCGGTCACACCCTGGCGTCTGAGGCATTCAGTGAGGCCATAAACATGTAGAGGAGCCCAGTGGCTGTAAGGAAATGGAGGAATTCCTCACCTTTTTCTAACTCGGAAAGCACATAGGGCCTTTGGTTCTCAAAGGCTTATAAGTAGTAGCACACAGTGGCCATCCCTGTAATCCCAACACTCCCAAGAGGCTGAGGCAGGATGATCACAAATTCCAGCCTGCCTTGGGCAATATAGTGATTTAGAAATAGAAAATAAAACCAAGTGTGGGAGTGGACACCTGTAATCCCAACACTTGGGAGGCTGAGGCAGGAGGATCCCCATGAGTTCAAGGTCACCCTGAACTACCTAGTGAGACAGTCTCACTAAATAAATAAACAAATAAAACAGAAAATAAGAAAGGAGCTGAGGATATAAGGCCCCAAGTTCAATTCCTAGTGTAATACATAAACACACACACAGAATGGAAAATACTTTTTAAAAACTGATTCTTAAAACTGTGGTAGAACGAGTGTTACCTGGTACTCTGGTGGCAATGGCTGAGGGAACTTCTGCAAATTGCACACGGCCACGGCCCTCTGGTCCTGCCTGCAGGTCAGCTGCAGCGGGTTGCTCCTGAGCGTGTCACAGTAAGGGCTCAGCACCTGCCCCCTACACACAAAGGCACGAACCGCAACGTGAAATGCGGGAAAAGCTCACAGGCCTATTGTCAAGTTCATCTTTTCTATTACAGTCTCAATATAGTATATTCGATAGTGTATAGTAAACTGCTGAATTGGGCAATAAAGCTTTCTTTTCTTTTTGAGACAGGGTCTCACGATACAGTTCAAGTTGGTCTTGAACTCACTATATAGCCCAGACTAGCCTTGAAGTCACGGTGATCTTCTCACCTCAGCTTCCCCAATGCTGGGATTATAGTCATGTCCCACCGTGCCTGATTTATAGTTATTTTTCAAAAAGCAAAAGAAAACGCTTTATTTAGATGTGAAAGCTCAATGCTACAGGCATGCAAACTGCAGTTTTCCTGAATAAAATCCTATTTATCTTTTTCCTCTTCTTTTGCAGGGTAGTAAAGTAGTAACACTGTCCTATAGATTTGTTTTGTGTGTTTAATGCCAATGAATGAAATTTCAGCTTGTGGATTAAAAATCTAATCTTCAGTTAAGAAATGTAGTCTCGGAAGGAGAGGGTTGTGATGTGTCCTGTGGCTACTCAGAGAGAATTTTTTTTCCTATGCCATAATCTATCTTAAAGAATTTGACAGGTGGGGCTGGGGATTTAGCTCAGCGGCATAAGCACCTGCCTTGCAAGCAGGCAGTCCAGAGTTCGATCCCCGGTACCAATAAAAAGAAAACGACAAAAAAAAAAAAAAAAAAAAAAAGAATTTGACAGGCCAGGTGCAGCGGTGCATCACTGTCATCCCAGTACTCAGGAGGCTGAGACAGAAGGTTCTCTGTATGCAGCCAGTTTGGGCTACACGGCGAGTTCAAAACCAGCCTGAACTACACAGTGAGACCCTATCTCAAAAGCAACCACAAAAAGAATTCAATCTGACAACTTGTTAAAAATATCTACAAGAAAATTAATTTTGCATTCCTGAAATTATAAAGATTACGTAACTAGTCCTAATGTTAACAGTTTGTTCTGTTCTCTATTAAACCTATTCTTGGAAGTATAATTTGAAAAACAGGATCTCAGAAATTCTAAAAAGACAATCAAGATGTATGGCATTAAAATACCTTCAAACAAACCAGTAATTTTAATTAGCCATTAAATTGCTGTTTTTTGTTTCATTTTCTCGTTACTGGTTCTTTTTCTTTGTTGAGACAGACTCCCACTTTGTAGTACAGACTGGCCTTGAACTCACTATATAGCTCAGGTTCCCTTTAAACTCTCAAAGATCCTCCTACCTCAGCCTCCCAAGTGCTGGAATGACAAGCATTTACCATCATCCCTGGCTCAAACTGGTAGTGTATAATAACAGTTACACTACTGTCATAATAGGAATGTTATAAATGAGTATCAGCATTCCTAAACCATCGAAATCCCAATAAGAGGACCTATAAACTTCCAACAGAGTCACTAGTTACTGGGATCGAACTCGTGACTTCGCACTTTCCAGGCAGATGCTTATGCTACTGAGCTAAATCCCTGGCCTGACTTCTTCTTTTCTTTTTTCCAGTTCTAGGGAAGGAACCCAGGGTCTCAAGTACGTTACACAAATGCTCCATCACTGAGCTGCATCTAGCCCATTTCTATAAAATAAAGTGTTACCAGAGCACAGGCATCTCCGTTTATGTCTCCCACTATCCAAAAGCAGAGTTTGAACAAACTGTAACTCCTAAACCCTAAACCCTAGCTGTTTTTTAATCAATAAAAGTCTGCTCACCATTGGCTTCAGACTCAAAGGACAGCAGACTAGCAGGGCATGATGGCACAAACCTGTAGCCATAGCACTCAAGAGGGTGAGGCAGGAGGATCACGAGCATTAGAGGCCAGATAGGAGTAGACAGTGAGGTTAAGACCAGCATGAATTACATAGTGAGATCTTGCCTCAAAAAAAAAAAAAAAAAAAAAAAAAACAACCTAAAAACACAAGATTACATCAACTAACCAGAAAAAGCATTTGAAAAAAGTCGACATCCATTCATGATAAACTCTATAAAAAACAGGAATAGAGAACTTTCTCAATTTGATAGAGAATGGACAAAAATAATCTAAAGCAAACCTTGTAGAAAAAAAAATCAATGTTTTCTTTTATTGAAAAATTTAACATAGTAGAGATATCAGTTCTCCTCAGATATATGGGGTTAATGCAATTCTTATAATCCCAGCAAGATTTGTTTTTGACACACGGATAAGAATACTTTTATACAGTAAGACGAAGAACCGAAAGAGCCAAAAACTTTTTGAAAAAGAATAAAGCAGAATGACCTGAGCACTGTGGTGCATGTCTGTAATCAGCACTCAGGAAGCTGAGCAAGAGGATTGCTGCAAGTTCGAGGCCAGCCCGGGCTACAAAGTGAGCTCAAGGCCAGCCTGAACTGCACAGGGAGACCCTGTCTCAACAACACACACACAAAAAAAACAGGAGGAATCAATCTCAGTCTACCAATTTCAAGACTTGTTCATGCTGGAGTGATCAAGTGCCGTGCTAGCAGAGACGAACGAACCTAGGGACCCGTGAACAGAGCAAGCCCCCCAGAAAGAGGCCCACCCATCCACCTGACCTTTGGGGACAGTGGCACAAAGGCCACTCGAAAGACAGTGGACAGCCTTCTCAGCAGCCAGCACCCACACAGTATAGGTGAACCAGTGGTGCCTGACCTTGTACAAAAGCAGCTCAAAGGGACCACAGACTCAAAGATAAAGTGTGAGACTATAACACCTTTTCTCAGTGGTGCTAGAAATAGAACCAGCACCTCGTACAATGCTAGGTAAGGCCCTCGGACTGAGCTATACCCTCAGCCTAGTATAAACTTGGGGAAAACACCTGAGAAAAATTTTGAGGTCTAGGAGGGCTTGCCCAAGAGTTATGAGACTTCACACTAAAACTTAATTCAGCTGGATGTGCCAATACACACCTGTAATCCTAGCATTTGGGAGGATGAGGCAGAAAGATGGCAAGTTCTAGAGCAGCCTGGGGCACAAAGCAAGACACTTTTAAAAGAATAATGCTCATAAAGCACAAATTGGTAATTTGGATATCATTAAAACTAAAAACAATTGCCTTACAAAAGCCCCTAGTGAGAAGATAAAAAGACATGTTATAGGCTAGGAGAAAATACTTGCAAAACCACCTATCTGAGACAGGCATGGTGGTGCATACCTATAATCCCTACTACTCAGGAGACTGAGGCAGGAGAATCAAAAGTTTGAACTCAGCCTGGGCAACTCAGCAAGACCCCTGTTCAAACATAAAAAGTAAAAAGGAATTCAGATGTAGCTCAGTGGTAACACACAGCCAGGTCCAATGCGTGTGTACGCGCATACACATAACAAGGATTGGGGATATGTAGAGAATGTATAGGACTGGGGATTTAGCTCACTGGCCAAGGGCTTCCCTAATAAGTATGAGGTCCCGAGTTCGATCCCTGGTTCCAAAAACAAACCAACAACAACAAAAAACACACAAGAATATATAGAAACATTCAAAACATATAAAAACCAAATAATCCAATTAGAAAAGTGGCTTAACTCATGAAGACACAATTCACCAAAGAGGACAGAAGGCAGGAAAATAAGCACGAGAAAAGCTGTTTAACCACAATAACCTTTAGGGAAATGCAAATTAAAAATCACAGGAAAATCTCACTGAGTTCCTATGCGACAAGCTAAAGTAAATACACCAGATGCTGGGAAGGCGTGAAGAGAACCTCCATGCTGCATCGCCGCCGAACACAGAATGGCACAGCATTTAGGAAAAACCGTCTGGGAGGTTTCTTACAAACTGAACCAGAGCTAAGGATGGGCCAGCTGCCTCCCAGATATTTCTCCTGTTGGAATGAAGATTTATGGTCACATGAAAGCCTGGACACAAATGTCTTTAGCTATGTCATTCGCAATAGCCCAGAGCTGGAAATCACCCAGATATCCTCCAGTGTGTGAATGTTCAAACCAAGCGTGGTCAGCCGTGCAGTGAGTGGAGTATTACTCAGCTGTAAAGAGTTCTTTGTTACTGAGTGAAACGAGGCAATATCAGTTTACATCCAATATTTATACCCAGCTTGAAACGTCTATGGCATTTCTGAAATGATGAAATTACAGAGACAGAGAATAAGGGATGGTTTCCAGGTGCCAAAGAGAGGTGGGCTGAGGGGAAATGGGTGTGGTACAAAGGGACAATGTGATTGGCTACTTCTGGATCTGACTGATCAATGTCAGTGTCCCAGGAGTGTTGCTGCGTGACAGCTTTGCAAAATGTTACCTATCAGGAAGATCAATGTGCTGAGATATGTTTATGTACTTAGATGTATTTAACATTTTATTTTGAGAGCATTGTTGTAAAAAACACAGATTCCCTATGCTCTCTGAATGTGTGCCCTTATTTACAATGTCCATCCCAAACTTCACTACTGTCTGCATTTTTAAATACAGGCATGCACCAGCAGCACTCAGGAAGCTGAGGCAGCAGGATCACTGTGATCAAGGTCGGCCTGAGTTACACAGAAAGACTGTGTAAAAAAAAAACAAGAAAGGTAGTTTCCGATGAAGAACCAAATCATAGATGGGCTGCATAATGAGGCCCTGGGTGGAGCGGTGCGCTCACCTCTGCCTCTGCTGGCCCATCCAGAACTTGCAGCTCTTGGTCACGAAGTCGCAGCCCATGCCCTGGCCCCAGTCCAGCTTCTCAGCCATGCTGTAGTTCGCTCTATACCACCTGTGGAGACAATTTGAACAGAGCACTGTCATCACTGTCATTATAAAAACAAGCTGAGGGCAGTGGTGCACACTTGTGCTTCCAGCCCTCTGGAGGCTGATGCAGAAAAGGTCTCGAGTTCAAGGCCAGCAGGGGCTACACAGAAACACACAGTCTCAAACAGTAAGAATAAATAAATAAATACAAGTTCAGGTACAGATCACCAATCTCAACAAGTCAGTCAGGACCTTTTATAGGACTCGGGGGCCACGGCCACAGTGAGCGTCCGCAAAGCCCCTCCACAGAGAGGGTGCTGCCAGTCGGCCCACGGGGGGATGGCGTGGGACGACAAGCAGGCCCACGTGAAGGACACCCGCCTGCACTCAAGGCAACACGCATACGCTCCCACCGCAGTGCTCAAAAGGCAGACGCTACGGAGCAGGACCTGGATGGGATGTGAGGCAAGGGAGATGAGGACTTGCAGAGAGAGGGCGAGGACGCAGCAGGGTGGCCAGTGGAGACCGCACACAGAGCAGCAGGCTCCTGCTCTTCATCCTTGGTTTTGTGACCTCCTGTCAATAATGACCTGCCTGCCACTCAATGTTACAGCAGTACTGCAGGACAGATGGACGCTATATGAGATACTTTTTTTTTTTTGTCTTTTTCCTTTTTATCGGTGCCGGGGATCGAACTCACGACTGCCTGCTTGCAAGGCAGGCGCTTATGCCGCTGAGCTAAATCCCCAGTTCCTATGCGATACTTTTTAAATGTTCTGATTCCAGAAAAAAGAAAACATTCCATTTCCTGCGGACGTTAACCAAAGGCAATGTACCTACTTTTGTTATTTTTTTTCCTTCTTTTTTTGGATCTGGGTTGGGATTCAAGCCTTGCACATGCTGCGAAACTGCTCAGCCATGAGCCACATCCCAAGCTTTTATTGTTTTGAGATGGGGTACCCGGGTTGACCTCCAACGTGTGGTCCTCCTGCCTCAGCCTGCCAGGCAGCTGGGACTGCAGGTGCGCACCACTACACTGGCTGGCTAGTTTTTCTCTCAGAGACAAGCAAGATTAACTTTAGAACTTTTGGCTTTGCAAAAGTTCTAAAGGAGGCAGCGCGTCCAGAGGTCCCACGGATCTGTCTCTTGCTTCAACAGTGTTTGGATGGAACAGACCCGGGGACTCCTTTTTTTTCATCTCCCATCCACTTTCCAGGTACAAATTTTGGGACCATCTTCTTGACATCTGCCATTCTTTTGTGGGTAGCTCCTTCCCGCTGATCAGCCACGACCTCTCAGATTCGTCAGCATTATTCCACCACGGCGGAGGCTGCTGCTAACCGCTTGGTGAACCTGCACTTGCAGGCCTCCTACACCCACCTCTCTCTGGGCTACTATTTCGATCGCAACGATGTGGCTTTGGCGGGCGTGGGCCATTTCTTCCATAAGCTGGCCAAGCAGAAACATGAGGGAGCCAAGCATCTCCTGAAAATGCAAAATCAGCGCGGTGGCAGCACGCTCTTCCAGGACGTGCAGAAGCCTCCTGAGGATGAGTGGGGTAAAACCCTGGATGCTATGGAAGTGGCCCTGACCCTGGAGAAGAGCCTGAACCAAGCTCTCCTGGATCTTCATGCCTTGGGCTCTGCCAAGACAGAGCCCCATGTCTGTGATTTTCTGGAGAACCACTTCCTAGATGAGGAAGTGAAGCTCATCAAGAAGACGGTGACCACCTCACTAACCTCCGCAGGCTAGACGGTCCCCAGGCTGGGCTGGACGAGTACCTCTTTGAAGGGCTCACCCGTAAGCACGACTAGGAGGCCCCAGAGCCTGGCAGTCTCTGAGCCTGCATCACTGGCATCAGGGCTTTGGCTGAACCCTCTCCCTCCAGCCACTAGGCAGTTTTTTCTTTGGAGTCCCCTCCCAAATCTTGGACCCAATAAATAAATAAATAAATAAAGCCTTCCACAGCAAAAAAAAAAAAAAAAAAAAAGTTCTAAAGGATATAAACAGTTTATTACCTCTCTGTATTGTATCTTGTCCCTTTAGTAAACAAAAACACAGGTGCTAAGGAATGGCAGGAATCATCCTATCCATTCTTCTTCCTACCAAATCGACTAAAAGCAGAAACAGGTGATGTGGTCCTTCCAAACCTCAGCTTTCAAGAATAGAGCTCTCGGGGCTGGGGATTTAGCTCAGGGGCATAAGCGCCTGCCTTGCAAGCAGACAGTTGTGAGTTTGATCCCCGGTACCGATAAAAAGGAAAAAGACAAAAAGACAAAAAAAAAAAAAAAAAAGAATAGAGCTCTCACTGAGAAGCTGAAGAAAGGCACTGGAGCTCTAACACCTAGGGCCTGCGCTGTGTTCAGATGTGGGACGCTAACAGGTGCCCACCCACTGCACACCAGCAATCAGCTTAGCAGTGCTGACCGAAGTGCTGGCTCCGAGGACACAGGCTGGCCAGCCTTAAGGGTCCCTGCAAACGACCAGTGTGCAGTGCCCATCCACTTTCTCCCCTGCACTGGGTGCACCACACATCCGGGACCCCTGGGCACCCTGGCTTGCCTGCCCTCACTGGGAGACCACAGTGAATGAATGAACTCACATCCTGCACCCTGCTAACCTAGTGTGAAGGTGCACCATGAAAAGATGGTAAGTGTGCTGAGTGTCAGGAGAGGGGGGATCCCGGGATCAGGGTCTGCAGGTTTTCCAACCAGTGCTTTGACTGGAGCCCTGCTGGGTAGACACCAGAGCGCCAAGGGGTGGACAGGTTTCTGAGTGCACCGAGATATCCGAGAGAGGTGGCTCTTGGATAACACTTGTTCCTCTCAAAATCAACAGGATAAAGGACTGCACTGCAGGTACTCATGAGTACTGCCCCCAAGACTCCTCTGTCTCCAGAGTCATTTTGTTTTGATTTGGTTTGAGAGAGGATCTCGCTACATAGCCCAGGCTGACCTCTAAGTCATGGCAATCCTGGCAACCCATGGAAATCCTGGCAATCTTCCTGACCCAGTCTTCCAAGTGCTGGGACCACCATGCCTGGCTAAGCGTGCTTATACAGGATGCCCAGGCTCAGTGTGGAGTCAAAAGGGCCAAGTGATGCACTGAGGATTTCCGTGTCTTAACGTAGTTAGGGCTCCTAAATGCTACAAGATGTCACCTCCAGTCACATTTCACACATACAGGGACTATGTCAAAAACACAAGTTAGCAAGGGGCTATGCTGGGGTTAAGTATGTGTAGAACTGTGGGTTTGTGCATGCCCATATCTACTTTATTTTTTAAATCAAGACTTACCGAGCAGTTACAATGCACACCTATAATCCCAGCACTCGGGAGGCTGAGGCAGGAGGATCGATGTGAGTTGGGAGGCCAGCCTGGCCTACAAAGTGAGTTCAAGGCCAGCCTGAACTACATAGCAAGACCCTCAAAAAGACAAAGAATTATAACAATTCATGTCACATTCTCACAGCTTTCTTACCCGGTGTCCTCCATTAATGCCAAAGTGATTCGGGAGAGGACCCGGTTCTGGGTGTGAGACCCTGTCATCGCTTCGTTCTGAAAAACACCAACAGACTCTAGTTAGAAGAGGGCTCGACAATTCCCATCTAACATCTGTCAAGTGAGAGGCTGACAAAGCATTCACTTCAAAGTGGCAAAGTAAAGCCAGGCGTGGTGGCACATGCCTGTAATCCCCAGACTCAGGAGGCTGAGGCAGGAGGCTCACCATCAGTTTGAAATCAATCTGGGCTACATATAAGAGACACTATCTCAAAACAAAAGAAACACACAATCAAAAAACATAAAAAAGCCTTCTTTAAAATGCCTAGACTGAAACTTCCAATGGAACCTCTTTTCAGCCTCAAACGCATCTAATCAGCTAACAATCCTCCTAGAATGGTGGCCAAGCAGCACCTAGGACCTTACGATGAGAATGAAGACAAGACACAGAGCCAGAAGTTCTCCTGGGAAAGTATCACACCCTCCAGGCAAAGTACAGTGAGGTGGCCGCCCAGGTAATTTGCAGTCACCAGAATGGACTACCTGAATTACACGGAACTGTAACCCAAACTTTATATTCGTGATAGCATATGAGCTAATAACAAAACACATAATGACAGAACCTGGATCAAACAAAGGGTTTATTTACATGAGGGACCTGAAGTACCACTGAGGTCTACTACAGTCTACTAGAGTTTTTTTTTTTTTTTTTTTGTCTTTTTCCGTTTTATCGGTACCGGGGATCGAACTCACGACTGCCTGCTTGCAAGGCAGGTGCTTATGCTGCTGAGCTAAAACCCCAGCCCATCTACTAGAGTTTTAATCTGTATCACAAAGTTTCTACCTATAGGGGAGGCTTCCTCTGCCTCCTACAGAAGCAAACCTCATCTTTAAACAGCTCTAATTATTCTTCAAATATTCATATTGAACACTGAATAGACAGTTCAAGTACTTTAATCCTGTTCATTAAATCAAGTAATTCACCAGGCATAGTAGCATGCCTATGCTACTATACCCAGCGCTCGGGAGGCTGAGATGCTCGGGAGGCTGAGAAGGAGGATCGTCACAAGTTAGAGGCCAGCCTGAACTACAAAGTGAGACCTTGTCTCAATAAAAATAAAACAAAATAAATAACCAAGCACCCTCCAACATAAAACAAGTCACAAGTAATTCAAGAATACAAAGCTGATTTCAAGACAAAGAAGAAATAAAATTACTTATCGTCTACTAAGAAATACACAAATTTTCACTCTGGCCAATCTAAAACGTGATGAAGGATATCACCTGCAAAATCCCTTTTAAAAATGCAACAGAAACTCCCATGGGAGGAGTACATGCATGTACATTCTCTGATTTTCTACATCTCTGTGTTACGCTGTGGTCACCTAGATCAAGACAGTAAACACAAGGATTAATGTCACGCTCTTTTTCATTTTTTGAGACAGGGTTTCACTATGAAGCCCAGATTGACCTTGAACTCACAGAATCCTCCTGAGTGCTGGGATCTCAGATGTGCACCACCACGCCTTGTTTAGTCTCACTCTTTGTGTAATAATGTTTTTAGAGACAGGGTCTTGCCGAAGCCCGGGCTGGCCTCAGGTTCATGGCAAGTCTTCTGCCTCAGACTCCTCAGTGCTGGTGCTATAGGAGTGTGCCACCAAGCCTGGCTCTTTTCATAATTTTACTGCCCTTAGTCAGGATGCATGTGTGTTACAACTACCTAATTACCTAAACCTCTTAACAAGGAATACATATACCCACACACAGACACTACTTAGAAATCCCCACTTTGAAGGATTTATTCTTTCTATATAATCAAATGTGACCTTGGTTAACTATCTAGAAAGTTCTACTGCCCTTTAATCTAATAAAGAAAGTTCTACTGCCGGGTTACCAAGCAGTGGCACAGAGTATAGAAAGGTCTCTCCTGAACACCAGGTGTTGGCCACAGTCTGGGAGGCCCTGTGGCTATTACCAAGGTCACAGCTGTTGTACAGGAAGTGGTGCGGCCTGGACTTCTGCACTGAGCAACAGGAGGAGGAGGAGAGGCCCAGATGACAGCCCAGAGACTGCAGTCAGCCTCCAGGGCCTGCTCCCTAACACCCCAATCAGGGGACCCTTTACCAAAGGCAGACTTTCTGATCTTGCAAGTTTGTTTAGCTGACCCTTAGAACATCCACAGATATGAGCTGGCCTTGAACTTGCAGTGATCCTTCTGCCTCAGCCTCCTGATTGCTGGAATTACAGCCCTCGAAGGCATGGCAGATGTTCATTTGGATTACATTTGGAAAGTAAGCTGGGCATGGTAGTGCATAGCTGGAAATACCAGCACTTAGAACACGGAGGCAGGGGGATCCCTGTGATTTCTAGGCCAGCCTGGGCTACATACTGAGCTAGAGGCCAGCCTGAACTAGTGACAGCCTGTCTCAAAACAACAAAAATCAATCAATCTATCTATCTATCTATCGATCGATCTATCTGGAAATTAGATCTGGAGAGGTAAAGGGGGCTTAATTTCTTAGTTTATAATTTATGCAATAACTTTTGGCATGAGAATAATTCACTTTTACAATAAAAAAGAAAAACCCAGTAAAATTTAACAATAAGCTGACCTCTAGCAGCCGTTTCTCCCAGTGGTTAAGCTCTGTGCCCATGCCGCCTTGATTCTCAAGCTCCATCCCTTCCAGCAGCGGACAACTAAAATGTTTTCGTGCTTCATCCTAAAAGAAAAAGAAGTATAAATCCCTCAAAGGACAAGGGAAACTTTTTGTCACCTGGATGTAATAAACATTAGAGAATTATTGTGGTGAGGAGAGAGGGCTCCCTTTTTAAATACACTTTGTAACAGAGTTAAATACAATATTTTGAAGGTGTCACATGCCTCTCTACTAGGCAGCTACAATTTGTCCTAACCCTTCCTCTCTAGGAAGTGGAAGTTACAATTGTACACCATCTACGCTTCCATGTACAGCATCCTTGCCAGCTCAGGCTACGCTCAGTCCGCTCACAGCCCCCATTCTGACAGGTGACAGTGTCATTTCAGACTTAATACAGTGATACAGGACATTTTTATATTATTGTTGAACATTTTTTTTAATTAATTGAGAAATGTCAATTCAAAATTCTTTGTCTCTTTTTTTTTTTTTTTGCTTTTAAATAGTACTGGGATTGAACCCAGAGCTGCTCTATTACAGAGCCCTTTTTATTACATACAGCCCTTTTTTTCGAGACAGGATTTCATGCAGTTCAGGCTGGCCTTGAACTCACCTCGTAGTCCAGGCTGGCCTCAAACTCGAGGTGATCCTCCTGCCTCAACCTCCTGAGTGCTGGGATTACAGGCATACGCCACCACACCTGGCAGGACTCTCTTTTCTTTCAACGTTTTTTATTTATCTCAGCACTCATTAGGCTGGAGGAGTCACTGTGAGTTCACTATACAGTAAGACCTTATCTCTCAAACATTAGACCAAACCAAAGCAAACCAAACCCAAACATTCTCATCTGACTTTGATGTCTGGTCTTTTGGGAAGTTTGGAAGTATTCCTCCTCTTTAATTTGCTGGAGAAGTTTGAGGAGGACTGGTATGCTACCTCACCTGGCTGCTTCACCTTCAATGTAGTTACTCAGCGCTGTACATTTCCCCGGAATTAGGGAAATTACTTTTGCTACATAAGCTTCAGAATGCTGTATTTCACTTTGGTCTCAAGGTACTAAATTTCCTATTTATCTATCTTTTTATTTATGGTGAGACTAGAACCCAGGGGCTCATGTAATTTATGCAAGCACTCTGACACCCTCAGCACCTCCTTTAATTTCTTCACTAGGAACATGTTATTTAAGTTTCATGTATTTTTGAAATGTCTGTTGTTGGCAATTCCTCCTGTTACACCACTGTGGCTGGAACTTTTTGTTTTTGTTTCTGTTTTGGAGACACAGTCTCACTATGTAGCACAGACCAGCTTTGAGCTCACGGTGACTCCCTGTCTCGGCCTCCTGAGTGCTGGGAGGACAGGTGTGTACCACCGCACCCGGCAATTTCCATCGTGTTAGGTCTTGTTCGGTCTCTCACAGGTGACTGCTCTAGAACACGCCCCTTGCCCTTAGAAGAATGTGGTTCCACTGCACTGGATGGCCGCTCTGTGCACGTCTGTTGGTCCACCTGGCCTAAGTGTCATTCCAGCTCAGGTTTCCTTGCGCATATCTGTCTGTGAGCTGGCGATACACCCGCTGCTGATGGCACTCAAAGGTCCCCTTGCACTCCCGTGCTGCAGCCGACCTCTCCCTTCACGTCCACAGTATCTGTCTGCTATGTCCAGGTCCCCTGCCACTGGGCCTCTACACCTTGTGCCTGTTGCATCTGCTTGATGAGCTGACCCCTGTCCTTACACAATGCCCTCACTGTCCTACTTACCATTTTAGACTTGACATCTTTTTGGTCTGAAGTGAGGGCAGCCAGCCCTCCTGTCTCAGAACAACTTTAATGCTGGGACAGATAACCTGCTCTTATCATGAAGTAGTCTTTGCAGGGGAAAAACAAAGTATTTGGTGGAAGACAATTGCTCCCTGAGCTGTCAGTTCTTCCGCTGGAGATTTCTAGGGCTGGGGAACTGCAGAGAGCAGAGTGCAAGCTCGGAAGCCAGAGTGCTGTGGGATCAGAGGCGGGAAGGGGTTGGAGCTCTGCGGCAGGGCCAGAGGGATCTGGCGATGGTTAATTCTGTACGGCTGCTGTGCCTGGACTTGGACAAACAGTATTCTGGATAGTTCTGTACAAACACCACTCACTGCGGGGGATCAACATGGAAGTCAATGGGCAGTAAGTAAAAGCAGGTCACCCTCCAAAGGCCACGGCCTCGGACAGAACAGACTGACTGCCGCCAGCAGGAGGTAAGTCTGCCTTCCAGGGCATGTCTCCAGCCTGCTGCCCCCAACCGACCCCCAACTGGCTTCCTGTTGGTTCTTTCTCTTGGACTTTGACAATCCAGACCCTTTGGGGAAATGACTGTCCCCTGTGGATACAGTCCCCACAGTCCTAAGAGACATCGAGACAGAGGCAGTACTACAGCATGGGGGGGTAGGTTGGGACCGAGTCACTGCCAAATCTCTAAATCCAGGGTTCTCTGTTAATGTGGACCTCACAAGGGGCCTAGAGACAACTTCCACCATACTCTAAAACTTCATAAATTTCAAAAAAAAAAAAAAAACCTTTATAAAGTCTCAAACAGTAATGATCAGTAAAGCAAGGCCATGCTGAAGAATACCTCTCAAGACACGAAGACACTCAGTGATACTCACAACAACATGAGGGGTCACGAGAAGATACACATTGTGATGAACTGTCTTATTATCACGGATGTTCCATGACCGCTCCACTTTGCGGACCACTTTATCACTCCACTGATACAACCCAAGACTGCAAGCACAGAATAAGAAGTTATTTTTTGCAAATTCACTACCTCTTTAAAAGCACTGATAAATATATGAAAGTAAACTGGGCATGGTGGTGATGCATGCCTGGAACCCAACACTCAGAAGGCTGAGGCAGGAGGATTGCCTTCTGAGTTTGAGGCCAGCCTGGGGTATATAGTGAGTCGAAGGACAGCCTGAATTATATAGCAAGACTCTGTCTCAAAAAAAGAAAAAAAAAAAAAAAAAAGGTAAAGACAAAGAAACAAATTAATGATCAGGCATGGTGGCTCATGCCTGTAATCCTAGCTCTTGGGAGGCTGAGGTGGGAGGATCCTTGCGAGTTTGAGACCAGCCTGGGATACAAAATGAGCTCACAGCCAGCCTCAACTGCATAGCGAGATCCCGTCTCAAAAAAGACAAAAAAAAAAAAAAAAAGAAAGAAAGAAACAAATTAATGTATTTGAAAACTTAAGTATCCACTTAAAATACTTGATAAGAATTTTCTAATATAATCTTTTCAACAATCCTATGAAATGATAAACACTTCTGTATTTGCAGATAGAGAGCCCTAGGAAGAGGAGTAATTTGTACGTGTTCACATAGCTAATATTAGGCTAAGATAACAAATGTGCTTCTTCTCCCTTGTTTGTGTGCAAAGCTAGGGATGAAACCCAGGACACACGCCAGCTCTCAGTTGCTTCCTTCTGACAAAATTTATTAAATATAATAGAAGCAAAAATCAGACAAAAACAAAACATCCAAAATGTAAGTAAGGAAACTGAACAAAATACTTATTTATTAATTTACTGGGGAATTGTTTAATAATTGCTGTGAAACTGGTTATCCATCTATGGAAGAAGACAAATCCCTATTTCATGATGTTCATAAAAATAAATTCCTGGAAGATGTCAGGAAAATAGCAAGAGTAAGGATCTGAAAATTCTATCCTCCATGAAAGCAATGAGAAAATGAGCTGTGGCTGAACCAACCTTGTGGGAACTCTGGAAATGAACCGAAGGTTTGCAGCAATCTGAGAAGCCTTTACTCATGAAAAATGAAAAAAACAGATCAATCTTGAGACACGGGATGAGGGCCAGGCAAAGCTGGCAGGGAAAGTAGGATTGACCTGTTAATTACAAGATTCTGAACACATGTGCAGCGAGGACTTCTTGTGAGAACTTGAGGTGGTTTTCAACAAGACACCCAGCCCTGACATCAGGCCGAGCAACAGAATCCCAGCACCGCCTCGCTGGACCCAGATGTGGAAGTTCTCTTGGGATGCCTCGAGATTTGGACAGCATAAAAAGACACAGGTGCCACGAGAAACTATGACAGTTTGTCTCACTGTAGCCTGGCCTGTGTCTTCCAGGGTACACTTTTATTTTCTCTCCTCTTTTACTCAGCCCATGCTTACTTTACAGAGAGTTTCTTCCTAACTCTTCACTTACACTTTTTAAACAGTCACTATCTTTTGCTCACTTCATTCCATTCTTTGCTTAAGAGGCAAACAACCAAAAAAAAAAAAAAGGAATCCAACTCCAAACAGAGACAGGAGCACCACAAAACCTGGTAATGTTTATTTAGGGAGCTACTTTTAGAAGTACTCTACCTGCTAGCAATCTCATTAAAACATGTATTATGCCTTTCCTCACCTGCTCTCCAGTGGCATGGAACTTGAAAACCAGCAACTACAATGATGGTTAAAAGTGAACAGGCTGCCCAAGGATTTAGCTCAGTGGCATAAGCACCTGCCTGGAAAGTGTGAGCTCATGAGTTCGATCCCCAAAAAAGAGTGCAAATAGTTACAGTTTCCTTTGACTGATATTTTCTATAAAATTCTTGACAAAATTTTCTGGGCTTTCAAGGCTTGTTAGGCCCTGAATCTCTAGATTACTACTGATGTGCTGTGCTAAAAAAAAAAAAAAAAAAAAAAAATATATATATATATATCAGTTAACAGGCAAAATATTGCCCCATCTGGTTGGTAATTATTAAAAAGTCAAAATAAAAATAAAATAAGAAGCCACAATGTAAGCAATTCCAATTTCCCACAGCCTTTAAGGTAACAAAAGAGGGCTGGCGCTTTGAATAATCACGAGGCTAAATAGCTTGCTTGTTCAAGCTACAATTTCCTGAGTTTAGCTATAAAGAGACTATTATTTATGGCACCTAATGTGCTGGGATGCTCACATTCGAACATGCTAACAGCCCTTCTAAAGGAAAAGAACAAGAATAAAAACAGCAAATACCTGTAATTAAAAGGCGGGAGACCATCTGCAAACCTGGAAGTTAGAGGATTTCCATCTTTATCGTGGTAGAATGCAAAGAGCCCAGCTGAGAAGCCCTGGGAGAAGAAGTCGAAAAGTCTTTAAAGTGCGAAGACGGAGTCTCCCTAGCGGCAGCAGCGAGCAGCTGCTATTGGGAGCAGGCTGGCTCCCCTGGGAAACAGCACCAAGTGTAGCCGGCCTGGCTGCGACCTGCTCGTAGCCTCCAGGTGCACCATGTTAAGGATTTTAACAATGTGACCTAAACACTTTTCATTGAAGTTTTTACAGAATGTACACTTTACGATTATCATCAGTATAAATATTAAAGAACACAGCTATGATGTTTTCAACTCCCCTCTGCTTTTTCAAGTCATCCGGGCCTTCTTCCTTGTTTGAGACCCTATTCAACACCAGTCTGGGACACAGGGCAGGGGCTGAACTGACAGAAGCAGTACACACGATATGCAGCCATGTGGGACACTTGGCTAATAGAAAATCAATGACTGTGATTAAAATTACCAAGAACAAGCTAGGCGCGGAGGCACACAGCTATAGTCCCAGCAGTTGGGAGGCTGAGGCAGGAGGACTGCTGGAGTGTGAGGCCGATGGGGGCCACATCAGTGAGTTCAAGGCTGGCCTGCATTACAGGGAGACCCTGTCTCAAAATACCAAAAACTTTAAAAAGACTATCAAGAATGTATATGTATCTATGTGGTCAAATAGAGGAGAAATCACGTAGCTGATAACTTCCTTTCCTATAACTGCCACTTCCTTCCCACGATGGTTTTCACGGTCATCCAAAGCAGCACGCACCAGAGCTCTGCACAGCTGAGCACGCACTTTCATAGCCCTCTCAGCATCCTTTTCTAAGACAGGAAAACCTGTGTGAAAGTGTGGACACCTACAGCACCACAGTGAGCGTCCCAGCAGCCGCCAGGGCTGGCAAGGAGCGCAGACCACGCACAGGAGGAGCAGGGAGGCGTCAAGAGCATTCAGAGCACTCAGGTCGGATCTCCAAGTACACATCAGATAGGGGACGCCACGTAAGGAACACAGGTACACACACTATTAAAAACTAGACGCATGTGTGTACACGTGATGAAGAAATTCTGAAAATGTACATGCTGACACGTGCGTGAAATCACCTACATACCAGTCCCTTACAAGATGAATTTGTATGTGGATAATCAGATTGATTTATTTTGCTGGGGACTGAACCCAAGGCCTTTGCACTGAACTACGTCTTCCGCCCTTTTTAACTTTTTTACTGAGACACGTCTCACCAACTTGCCCAGGCTTGACTCAAATTTGTGATCCCCTTGAGAAGGCAACAGGCTAAGCTTAGACAATGTGTTTCTTTATCTGTGGTACTGTTTTTTCTCTCCATACAGTATATATAGTCCTTGTAGCTTGAAATCTTACTTATAATGATGCTTGTCTTTCATTAGAATGAGCAGCAATTGGGAGGTTCGACCTCTGCTGTGTCTGTCTCTCTCCCTCTCTCTCTGTTTCTCTCTCTGTGTTTGTCTTTCTCTGTCTGGGTCTCCATTTCTGTCTCTATCTCTGTCTGTCTCTGTATCTGTGGTCTGTCTGTCTCTGGGTCTGTCTCTGTCTCTCTGTGTCTGTCTGTCTCTGTGTCTGTCTAGCTCTCTCTGTCTCTTTCTCTCTCGCTCTCACAAATGCTGAGGATCAACCCCAGAGCCTGTGCCTGCTGTGCAAGAGCTCTGCCACTGACCCTCAATTTACTTTTTTTAAAGAAGGGAGAAACACGAGATTTTACTTCAGAATCTCCTTATATGAAAACGTAAGTATTCTCTGGTTGGGGTTCATCTTGTTACCCAATGTGTTCTATAGCTGAAAGACTGAAGTTTTTATTTCAAGGCCATATATGATAGCTCACCAAATAAGACAAATAACAGCCACAATTAAATTACAGCTCAAGACAGTGTGGAGGATGAACCCAATTTGTATGTATCACCTCATTTACACTTCAAGAAGAAATATATACCATTACTATCCTCATTTCACAGATGAATCTGAGGCTCCCAAAGCTGCCTACCCCACTGAAGACCACAAAGATCTCTTAGAGACCCAACTAAGAAAAGTCACACATAGGCCTGTGTAATCTATTCTCTTTAACCAATGTGTTCTGCTGCCTGCTACTGCGAAGTGTCAGCAGACCATTGCCTAAGGTCTTGGGCAACTCCTTTACTTTAAATTCTTTATTTACCCAATACATTTGTTTAATTATATTAAATAGAAAAGCACAACTTATGCATTATCTCTTTTTTGTTTGTTTAGGTTTTTTCTTCAGTACCAAGCTGAATGAAACCCAGGGCTTTCAACTGAGCTATATCCCAAGCCTTTTTTATTTATTTTTTTGGTACTAGGAATTGAACTCATGACCTCTCTCTAGACAGGAAGGCACCGTGCCACTGAGCTAAATCCCCAGCCTCCTTTTTACATTTTATTTTGAGGCAAGCTCTTACTAAGTCTCTAAATTGTCCAGGCTGAGCTCAAATTTGTAATACTCCTACCTTAGCCTCCAAGAGTGCTGGGACTACAGGTGTGTACCACAAGGCCTTGTTCCTACCCACTCTCTTATCAAAAAATGTTTTGTCAAATTAAAAAAAAATGTTTTGTCGGCAGTAACCTATTTCATCAGATTTTACTTTTAACATGAAGCTAAGAATTCACTAACCTCAAAATTTAAAACAGACACCAAAAAGAGAGCAAACTAAGCAGAAAACCAAGGCAGAAAAGAAAGGACTAGTAGAGAGCGCATTTACCAGGGCGTGGATAACCTCGTGTTTCACTGTGGACAGCATCCCAATGAACTCCTGCGGCTGGGTAGAGATCATATTTGGACACAGGTTAGCATATCCTGCTATTGGCCTGTTAAAATAGACATTGAATTTTTTTATTATATTCCAGAACAGCATTTATTAAGATATTTACTAATGTATACTTCTCAATCAAAAACTGCTCAAGGACAGAAAAATCTCTTTAATTTCAAATGTAATTTTGCAGTTAACTTTCACTGTCTTTTTTTTGAGCTAGCCCAGGTTGCCCAGGAATATCCAGCGAGCCTTCTGCCTCAGCCTCCCACCTCACCGGGACTCTAGGCATGTGCCAGGCCCAGCTGACTTTCACTACCTTCTACTGTACGGGTGCACACCTTTTGCTTTGCTAAGCCTGAAAATCAACACCAAAACAAACACTCCAGGTATAGTTACGTAACAAACAGATGCCAGCATAATAGCAAGAAAGAAATGAACTGGAAAACTCAGATTCCAATGCTACTTAGAAAATCCAAATGTGGTTTTCAGACTCACCATGTTTTCAGGTACAGACACACAGGCAGGGAGGGAAGTCGGATATACAGCAGACCCTGCGCAAGCTGCCCAGGCCTCCCTGACCTCCACCTTCCCCGCCCTTCCTGTTTTCCGCCCCCATCTGCCCATCTGGCTATCTGCCCATCCTCTTCTCTGGAGCTCGAGTCCACAGAACCTCACACATCACTGCCTGTGTTGGATCTGATGGGCCCAAGGCACGGAGACCCACAGCCAGGGGTCAGGAAGGCTCCCCCTTGGCCTGCCTAGCCTCAGAGCCAAGGGTGGCGGGCGCATTCTTGTGGCCCTACCTCAATGGTCTGTCACCTCCGCCACATGACAAATGTTTACAAAGAACATTTGCTTCTTGTCAATAAAAAACACACTACACTTCTTTATATTTGAAAGTGCTAATACCTACCCTTAGAGAAAGTATGAATGTGAGTTACTGACCAAACACTGTCATGGAGACTTCCAAACAGAATAGTTCCTGCCAGGCCCTCACCCCTCTTGACGCCCTACAGCACTGAGAACAGGCCAGTCCTCTCCAAGCTCTTGTCCTGCCACGCAGCGGCCAAGCTCTCTCCTGACGCAAGTGTCCTCCCAGCCTCTTAGGCCTTTCAGGGCACAGCCGTATCTCACTCTTCAAAGAGGCCTTCTCTGCCCACCCGATTGAGTGCTATTTCCCGCTTTGTCCTTTTACATCACAGTATCCTGCACAAAGGATTTCTCTACTAAAGACTTATCGCATTTTAAAGTCGCATCTTTATTTCCAAGTGCTTTTAACCAGTGTCTGTGTCCCTCTGTGGTCTGTCAGTTCCACGAGCTGGTCACATGGGTTTACTTTGTTCTGCTAGGCTGGTGCGCAAATATTTGGCTTTAGGAACAAATTCTATAGAACACGGGTTGCAGATTCCTTCTAAAAGATTTGAAAAACACGGCCAGAGAGATTGCACTGCTCTTCCTGCCCAGATCCACATTCCTTCCTGAGAGACCGAGCTCCTCCTGCAGAGGCACACAGGGCGTTACAACAGCAATCCATTCCTGTCAGTGGAAACCAAAGCCCAGAGCACCCTGGCCAGCTTGCTTCCTGTGTAAGTGTTTCACCACTCTCTTAACCCTGAAAACCCTGCATGTTGGGGACCACAGATTCACAGCGGCTAATTTTGCAGACCTCCTTGAGGGGTAATAAAATGGAGGCTAGGGATTAGCAATACCTCCCACCTGAGGTTTCCCCCTGACTCTTCTTAGCACATGGTCATCTGCGTCCTCTGGAGTCTGAGTCTTCTGCCAATCTGTAACCCTTTGCCAGCCCCACCTGTCACTGTGTACCCCTAATAAACAGTGGCTGCTTTGGGAGTGGAGGACCCATCTGGAGCCCCAGCCTGTGATGCATTCCTATTCTTGTTTCCATTTTTCATTTTTCTCACTGTACACTTAAAACAGACAATTGGGACTCCTGGCCAAAAGGCTCAAGCCTCCTCATTCACTCTAGAGTATGATGAAACTGACTGGGCCACCGAGGGTGCACATACCTAAAAGGCCACCAAGTGACTAAAGGATGTCACTCTAAAGAAGAAACGACAAGGACAGGGATTTAGCTCAGTGGCACAAGCACCTGCCTGGCAAGCGTTAGGTCATGAGTTCAATCCCCAGTACCAAGAAAAAGGAAAAGGCAACGACAATACTGGAGCTGGTTGGTGTGGCACGCACAGATAATTGGGCCGGACACAGAGTCAGTGGCCCAAGAAGAGTGCTGAGTTTGCCACACAGGCTTACGCACACGCGGGGCATGATGGAGCTCTGGGGCTCAAGGTAGCGGCCCTGTGCTCACCCATACTGGAAGGGGACAGCCCCCCCACACCTTGGCAGGAGGCTGTGCACAGGACAGAGCCAGAAGAGGCCGGTGAGACACATGCCGAGGGTGCAGGGGAAATTTCAGCATAAGAATAAATGTGAAGAAATAAAGTACAGTGCTCTGGGCCCGGGACTTAGCTCAGCAGCATAAGCACCTGGCTGATCCCGGTACCAAAAAAACAACAAAAAAAGAGTACTCTAAAGTTCTTCTGACACTTAATGTGTTCAAAATGAGATCGTGTGTGTGATCCATACAACTTAGCTCCAGTTAAGGTAAAGAATCATGATTTCTGCAGCAGGACTGTGAAAAAGGAAATTTCTCAGACATCTACTTTAAGAAAGTTTCCTAGTAGCTTCACCTGCCATTCGTTTGACACTTCGAATATCAAAGGGCACTGACTCTGATTCGCCATTCAACAGAGACATAAACTTCAAGGTGGTTTCTCCAGAACAAAGGAACACAGTGTCTGCAAAGCCCATGCTGCTTCCCTTCACACACGTGCACCGGCAGCTGGCGCTCAGCTTTCTCGATGCTCAGCCTAAAGACGCTGGGTCACTACACCAGTCAGCACTGCCACGCTCCCCCCGATCCACGCGGGCAATCTGGACTCTCTTAGCCTTCAAGACTGACAAGGTACAGTTCTGAACAGTTCAACTAAGAGTTTCGATTTGTCCCTCACATAAATTACACGTCACCAGGTGTGAAAGGGCTCTCTGAAGTCAGCAGGGGCAGGCGAGATGGCGCACACATGTAATCTCAGTGCTCAGGAGGCCGAGGCACGAGGACTGCTGTGAGTTTGGTTTAAAACCAGCCTGGGAGACACTGAGTTCAAGGCCAACCTGGATCAAATAGCGAGATCTTGTCTCAAAAAAAACTGAAAAGGGGGTCAGCAAGTCCTCTCACAGGTCAGCAGCTGCTCAGCACCCCAGCAATGGTCCAGGTGCACTTCAACTGGGCACATGGCCCTCCCGTGTGAGAAGGTTACACACTTGCTATGCTGAGATGTGTGTCAGTCAGCCTGTCTGCGTGACAGGCAGCCTCTGCATGTATTAGCACTTTCATTTTAAGTCCAGGCTGCTTCACTGGGAAATTTTTTAAAAATCTTCTGGAAACAATGAAAACCGCATTTTAAAGTGATAATTTAGCTAAATAAAGCACATATAACAAATCACAAGTGAATTTATGCTTAAAAATTCAGCATGGAAGGGTTAAACTGACATGTCAAATTATTTCTTAGAGAGGTATTTATCTTGAAAGAAAACTTTTTTTTTTTCTTTTTGTTTTTTTTCTGAGACAAGATCCCCTAATTCAGGCTGGCCTCAAATGTGTGGTAGAAGGAAGTTTTCTTGACAAGTAGCCTTTTTCTTTGGAATTTACGGGCAAAAAGGATAGGACAAAGCCAGCCACACTGGCACACTCCTATAATTCTAGCATTCAGGAGGCTGAGGCAGGAGAATCTCACATCCTGCCTACAAACTCCCATAACATAAAAATAACAGCCCTGTGGCTGCCCCCACGCCCCATCCAGGCAGCAAGCCACCTGTTACTCTGGTCACTGAGGATGCCAGCCTCCTGGCAGCAGCATGGCAGAGCCACTGGGAGTCGGTGTCAGGCCCCGGGGAGGAAGTTACCTGTCCATCTCTGCTTCCTGCTGACAGTAGGCTGCGTAAGAGATGATGTTTTCATGGCTGCATCTCTCCGTGGCCAAAGCCCCGACATAAAGGACAAAGTCTGCATCCCGGATGCCCTCCTGGTCCAGCTCGCCCACCGCTGTGCAGGGCCACTTCCCGCCTCGGCACACCCTGCATGGCTGCCCATGGGTCACAGAGAGACCAAACAGAAATCGAGTCAGTGGGCGAGGTGAGCTCACGGGGAATCTAGACTCTAAATATAGGACGGATTCTATTCACTATCTCTTGACCTTTGCAAAAGCCATACAGCAGCAAGCACAGTCTGGGCTCAGGAATTGGGAGGCTGAGGCAGGAAGAAGACAACCTGAGTAACACAGCAAGACCAAAAAAACCTCTCAAATCCATAATCCATTTCTCTCTACTCAATGCTTGTGTCTAATTTTCAATTTATTTTACTAAAACCACTGCACAAATAATCCTGATGAAAACAAATGATTGTCATTTATGAAAGTCAACCAACTAGGACAGAGAAAAGACAGAAACAGGAAAGGTTTGGAAACTCTGAAATCAGGTAAAAAGATTTCCTTCCCTATACAGAATTCCTTTCTTGATGCTGTGGATAGAAGGCAGGGCCTCAGGCATGGTAAAGCAAGTGTTTTCCACTGAGCTGCATCTTGTTAGGGGCTGTTCATTTGCTTGCTTGTTTTTTGAGAGAGGTTCACTCTGCAGTTCAGGCTGGCTCTGAACTCACTATGTAGCCCAAGGTGCCCACAACCTTGAAGCAATGCTCCTGCCTCAGTCTCCTGAGTGCTGGAATTACAGATTGGCCACCACACTCAACGTATTACTGACTTTTACAATTTCCTTTGAATCTATAGTTATTTTCAAATTAATTTAAAAAGCTACTGAATGGAAATACACTTTCTGTTGTCAAGGAAATACACAAAACTACTTAAGTTAAACCTTAAAGCCACGGGTGCAGTGGGCACACACCTGGGATCCCAACACTCTGCAGGCTAAGGCAGGAGGAACACTGGAGGCCAGCCTGTGCTACACAGTGAGCTCATAGTCAGCCCTAAGAACATAGTGAGACCCTGTCTCAAAAAAAAAAAAAAAAACCAAAGGAACAAACAAACAAACAAACAAAAAACACACCAAACTTAAAAAACAAAAAAACCCTAAAGCCATCTCATGATATTATCCTTGTTTTTAATTTTGTCTTTTTCTCTCAGTAGTATCTTGACTTATTTCTGATTTCTAAGCAAATCTTACTTGGTAACATTTGCTTCTTGTATCAAAATTTCTGAGCAATCATAATTTTTTTTGCAATCATAATTTTGAAACTGTAATTAGAAAAATCAGTAAACAAGCCAAGTACGATGGCATGTGCCTATAATCCCAGGGGGCTGAGGAAGGAAGATTTTCAAGTTTTAGCTGAGCCTGGACAACACAGCAAGACAACATCTTAAGAAGAAAAAAAAAAAAAGAAAAAAATCCATAAATTATTATTATTTTTTTTTTAGGTTAAACAAAGCTTCAAAGAGCCAGGCATGGTGGCGCATGCAATGAAACCTCAGCATTTGGGAGGCTAAGGCAGGAGGACTACCATGAGTTTGAAGTTAGCCTGGGCTACAAAGTGAGTTCAAGGTCAGCCTGAACAGCATATGAAACTGTCTCAAAAAGATAAAAAAAAAAAAAGCTTGAAAGCTTGTGGAGAGAGTGAACAACCCAGAAATTACCGTTTCCTTTAATATACACTGTTTACTTGTTTTCCTAACTCATATATTTATAATTTTTAAATTCAAGTTCTTTTTTTTTTTTTTTTTTTTTTTTTGTCTTTTTCCTTTTTATCGGTACCGGGGATTGAACTCACGACTGCCTGCTTGCAAGGCAGGTGCTTATGCCACTGAGCTAAATCCCCAGCCCCCAAATTCAAGTTCTTGAACCTACCAATACTTGGCACTATAATTTTTGAGCAATGGCATGTTATTTAATTCACAATACTCAAAAAAGTAGGAAGCAGAATGTGGATATCAAGAAAAATTAAAACAAATAATACCTTAGAAAACAGAGCAAAGAAATTTGTTAAATATCTTAAAATATCTATAGAAAGCCATGTGGGGGAACTCTGGGAGGCTGAAGCAGGAGGGTTACAAGTTCATGGATAATTTAGTGACTTATGGAGACCCTGACACCAAATTTAAAAGGCGCAGGTTCACCCCCTACTATTGCACGGAGGAGGGATGAGAGCTAGGAAATATTTTGGGAAAAGAGACGATGCAATTAACAGACTGTTTGAATTTTTAAATATGTCCATTACCCACTCAAGGAATTCAGGGAAGAAAGGAAGGCTGATAAAGGGTTACCAAGCCTTCGCTGAACTTCAAACAGCTGAGAGAAGACTTGGAAGAAATTTAAATCTCTGTGGTTGTTTTGTCTTTTCTTGAGGCAGGGTATTACTATTAGTTTCAGCTGGCCTTAAACTCATTGTGTAGCTGGGGCTGGCCTCAAACTCACCACAGTTCTCACACCTCAGCTCCTGAGTGCTGGGACTAAGGGTGTGCACCACTACCCCTGGCTTTTTTTTTTTTTTTAATGTATGCTTAATTTTGGTTATAGGAGCCATGATCAATAATGTACTCATTTTCTTTTTCTTTTTTTTTTTTTTTTTTTGGTACCAGGGATCAAACTCACGACCACGTGCTTGCAAGGCAGGCACTTATGCTGCTAAGCTAAATCCCCAGCCCCAATGTACTCATTTTCTATAAATAATGAAAGAACACAGAAATCGAGAAGAGCATCAGTATTTTCCTATTTATATGTGTAAGTTGTCTTTCTGATGTACCCATTAATTTTTTAATTTTTCTGACACTCAATATGAAAAAGCTCAGAACACAAAAATATAACACATACCAAAGAAAACCCCCTACTATCCATCTCTTAAAGAAAACTATATACATTTGAATATTTACCCAGTTTTTTGTTTCTTTGAGACAAGGTCTAACTATTCAGTTCAAGCTGGTCTTAAACTCATTATGTAGTCCAGGCTGGCCTGAAACTCACAGTGATCCTCCTGCCTCAGCCTCCAAAGTATGGGAATTACAGGTGCATGCCATCATACCTGGATCCTACATTCAGATTTTTAATATGCACTTCTCCAGATTTTTTCCTAAGTTTTTATCACATGCAAGTATGTATGTTTTTAAACAAATAAGCTAATTATACATGTGGATTTGTGACTCTTTTTTTTTTCAGTTAAGAACTTAAGCATCTTTCCACATCAGTATATATTTATTTTCTTCTTTAAAAACTGCACCATATTCTACTACATGGCTATATCACCCTTTTTAGGCATGTTCACACTTCTCCTAAGAACACCCTTAAACACATGATACAGTTATGAGTTGGTTTGTGTTTTTTTTTTTTTTTTTTTTGAGATGGGGTCTTGCTATGTTGGCCTAGCTGGTCTTAAACTCATGGGCTCAGGTTATCCTGCCTCAGCTTCCAGAGTGGCTGGAATACAAGATATACCGATGTGTGCTGCTGGGTCTGACTGGTTATTAGTATTTTTACAGGAAATGCTCCAGGTTGGGATGGAGGACAGGACACTTTATCTTAAGAAATATCAAACTGCCCTTCAACAGATGTGGGCTGCATGTGACTCCGGCACAGCATTCATCCTGCCTGTAGGAGGCCCTGGCTTCACCATCCAGCGCTGGAAAACAGAAAACGGAGGCCGGGCACAGGAATCACTGTACTGGAAGTGCAGGATCTCTAAACACTCCTGAAAAGCCAGTGAGAGAAGGAGACAGCACACCCTTGAAAAAGATCCAAACTTTCATTATAGTTATGTAAACATACCACTAGGCAAGGCTCGCTGGTGCACACCTGGAAATCTGAGCAACTCTAGAGGCTGAGGCAGGAGGATCTCAAGTTTGAAGCCTGGGCAACTGAGCAACTCAGTGAGACCCTGCCTTAAATAAAAGTGCTCAGCAATGCAGTGCTGCCTGGCACCTACCCTGGGCTTGAACCCAGCACCACAAACCAAACCACACCACAAGCACACAGTGCCATCTGGGAGCACTCACCTGCAGGTGCTCCTCTGGCACCACCACGGGGCCACACCTGGTCTGGGCCGCACACTCCCCCGTGCAGTAACGGTGAGGGTCGTTCTCCTTCCGCAGGTACTGGTTTGTGGCACACTGCCTGGTTTGAGGAACAGTGCACACGAGTTAGCCCCCAGCAGTGAATGGGAGTGATGTGACTTGGTGACCAGGGTTGCTATTCCAGCCAGGCCATTATACTGAGGGAGGAATGCAGTGGTATGAAGAATCCACCTGCACTGGGTTTTCCAACAAAGAGAGAGAGAGAGAGAGAGAGAGAGAGAGAGAGAGAGAGAGAGAGGAGGAGGGAGAGGGAGAGAGGGAGAGAGAGACTGTGTGTGTGTGTGTGTGTGTGTGTGTGTGTGTGTTTGAGGCAGGGTCTCACTACGTAGCCCTGGCTGGCCTCTAACTTGCAGCAATCCTCCTGCTTCAGCATCCTGAACGCTGGGATCTCAGGTGTGTGCCACCATGCCCATCCCAAATCCTTCATAAAGCCAACAGGGAAAGTGTAGAGGACCAGAGGAAGACTCCGGCAAAAAGACCTGGCAGGCTGGGTCACAGTGGGGAATCGGGCAGAGGGTGAGGGGCAGCTGCTGCTCCCTGCTTTCTAACACACTACGGCTGCACTCCCACAGGAACCCGGCACGACGCCCCAGCACGGAGCACAGGGTGTGCAGCAGCCGACGGGGAGGACCCAGAGGGCTCAGGCGACAGGACAGCGCCTACCTGCCAAGCAGGATCGCGCCGGCTGGTCTGCGGACCTGCAGTGTCTTCTCCAGGTAGGAAATCGCTTGCGGGAAAAGCTTGTTCTAAAGCAAAAATGCACACACAAACCCAGTCAGAATGACAGTCAGGAGATCGATTATGCTAACCCAGGTGAGCAGGGGATATGAAGGCTGAGGGTAAGGAAGCAAAGCTTCCAGACAGGGGACATGACAGTCAGTGGCACAGGAGGGCAGAGGCGAGGGTGGGGACCAGGGGAACTCTCATTTTTGCTGAGCTTCGGTTGAGAGCAGACCAAAAATATCTTCCATGCTCACATTTTCTTAAGAAACAGGAGACAGAAATCTCAGCTACTGCTGGGTGTGGTAGCTCACACTTGTAATCCCAGCACTCAAGAGGCTGAGACAGGAAGATTGCTGTGAGCTCAAAACCAACCTAGGCTACACAGCAAGTTCAAGGCCAGCCTGAACTACACAGCAAGACTCTGTCTCAAAAAAAAAAAAAAAAAAAAAAAAAAAAAGGAAAAGAAAAGAAAAAAGAAAAAGAAAAAGCAGAAAGAAATCTCAACTATTTATCTGCACTGCTTCAAACCTGAGGCTGATTTCGAGCCCAGCATTGGTCAGTATTAAGGTAAACGTATGTTTAAAATTATCCTACTTCCACAGCCCCAGTCTCCCTGCCCTGGTGAGACCTGGCTTCCTGTGCGCACTCCAGAGTTAAAAACAAACGTGCTCACGCCTATGTCAGTCACCCCTACACAAACCACTCAGGGTAATCACACACTCAGGTCACACATCTTCAGGAGGATGAAGACTCCCAAAGAGAATGGGGCAACTCAAACTATTTCTATTTTTCTTTTGTCTTTTTTTTTTGTTTGTGGAAGGTACTGGAGATTGAAACCAGGGCCTTTTCCACAGACCTATTATCTCCAGACTTTTGTTTTGTATTTTTGGTGCCAGGGATTGAACTCATGATCTTGCATTTACCAGGCAGGCGTTTATGCCACTGAGCCAAATCCCTGGCTCCTCCAGCCCTTTTTTTATTTGGAGACAAGCTCTTACTAAGTGTCACTGACTTGCCTAGGCTAGGCTCAAACGTGTGACCCTCCTACCTCAGCCTCCTGAAGTGCTGGGGTGTTTTGTTTCTTGAGACAGGGTCTTGTTCTGTAATTCAGGTTGGCCTTGAACTCACCATGTATCCCAAGCTGCCCTCAAACTTGTGATCACCTTCCTGCTGCAGCTCACAAATGCTGGGATTCCAAGTGTGTGCCACCATGCCTTGCTCTCCATGTATTTCAAAATTTTTCCTTTTCACTGTATCCTCAGCAATAAGACAAAATAAGACAGTACATGTACTATCACACAGCAACCCAGTCTTGGTGGGGTGCGTCCTAGACAGCCCCAGGGCACAACAAACATCCACTCCCTCTGACTCGGGTGCCATGCGAGAGGCTGATGCTATGGAGGAGAGAAGCGCCCATCACCAGTCCACACACTGGGCTGTGGGCCTTACCTTCACAAGGTGCCTCTTCTCAGGGAGCAACCTGCAGAGGAGGAGAGTGAGAATCTCAGTATCCACCTGCACCACCTGCTCTGCCTGCACCTGGGAGCCCAAACCCAGGCTCCGGAGTTTCCCCTCCCGGTAAGTCCCGAGACGCCGGGCCACAGCTGCTGCGCACAGCCAGTGTCACTCACACAGGTGAAACGGGAAAGCACTAAAAGCATCTTACACTCTTTACAAACTACCAGAGATTCGAGATTTAGCCCCTTTCTGCTGTGTGGTTTGGTTTTCTTGAGACAGAGTCTTACTGTGTAGTCCAAGTTGGTCTCGAGCTCATGGCGATCCTCCTGCCTCAGCCTTCCTAGTATTGGGATTATGTGCTAGCGATAATTTATCCACTTCCTGGGCCCTCTATGATATATAAAAATTAGACTATAACCTCTCTGGTTACTGAAGTGTGAACTTTTAAAGTCATGGTTTGTATTAGACACTCCTACTTCTCTTCTCAGTACTTACTGACAGGTGACTTCTGGGTGTGACTAATCACATCGAAACAGAGGCACATCTGCTCTATTTAAATCATTCACGAGGCCAGGGATTTAGCTCAGTGGCACAAGCTGCCTGGCAAGTGCAAAGTCGTGAGTTTGATCCCTGGTACCAAAAAAAAAAAAAATCACTAGCGATGCACTGACCTCAATCCCTTCTGATGCACTTTAGCTGTTCAGACACTAAAATCATTTTCAGCTTAACTTCATTTTAAAGCTACACTAGCCCTTTTTTAGTTCATCTAAAGACTTTCTATTTGCCCAAAACCAGAGATTGATCTGAGGGCATCAAATGTGCTAGGAAAGTTCTCTAATACGAGCTACTTATTTCTCCAACCCTTTTTTTTTTTATTTTGAAATAGGATCTTGCTAAATTGCCCAGCTGGCTTCAAATGTATGAACCTCCCGCCGCAGTCTCCCAAGTAACTGGGATCATAGGTGTGTACCAACATGCACACCTCCATGTCTGATCTTTTTCACTTTAGGCAACAGATGAAAATATCTTTAATATTTAAGGTAGGTATAGTGGTAACATGTCTGTAATCTCAGCACTTGGGAGGCTGAGGCAGGAGGACTGCCACAAGTTTGAGACCAACCCAGGCCATGTAGTAGACCAGTATGGATACACAGTGAGCTTGTCTTGAAAAGCAAACTCAAAAATCTTTGATACTGGGGGCTGGGGATTTAGCTCAGCAGCATAAGCACCTGCCTTGCAAGCAAGCAGTCGTGAGTTCAATCCCCAGTACCGATAAAAAGGAAAAAGGAAAAAAAAAAAAAACTTTGATACTTAGACTGACAACAGACAAGATGACAAAGAGCATACTTACTCCTCAATGCTTCTATCGTAGACAGTCTTGATTCTTAAATGGTCATCAGCGCCCCTCCTTACAACATGATTTCTCCGAAGGTAAACCTTATTTATGACCTATGAAAAGAACAGGTTTGAAGTTATTAAAGGTGTGCCTATTTACTGAGGTAAAATTGACATGTCCGAGGGCAACCCACTCAGGACCCCTCCTGTCTCTCCCAGGTTTTCCCAGTCCCCTCCTAGTTTCCATTTCTTTTCTCCAATATAGTTTCCTAGTCTTAACCTCCATTGTTCCTTAGATTCATTTTTCAACTTTGGGAAACACAAACTTGGGGTATCTGGCATTTAGCACTTTCCCCTGTGTCATCCAGAGGTCCCACCGAGATCTCTGGAAGCAGTTTGAAAACTAAAACTAGAACGGTTACTGGGCTAAGGAGCCAGCCAGCCACTTTTTGGCCCTGTCCCTCCTAGCTCAGAGGCCCCAGGCCGTGAGGAAACCTTTTCTACAGGGGCCTACTCAAGGGAACGGCAGATGGAACCAACAACGAACGTGCCTGACTCCTCTTCTCGGGGTCCCCAGGTCGCCCTTGTGAAGGGGTTCCTAACCGCTGACTGCAACATGACTCCCAAGATGAGCTCTTGGGAGAAGGCCCCTGACTGCTGGCTCCCTGACCCTGACGCCCCTCAGCTCAAAGCAGCTGGATGGGAACTGAGCCCCTTCACCCCTGACCACCGTTAGAGACACTGCTTCAGAGGGGGGACACTGTAGACCACTAAGTTAGGCAGAAATATGACAGGCAGGCAGGGGATGAGGACACAGAAGACTGCGGCCGGAGGCACATCTGAAGATTAGTCACGGTGCCCAGATCCGCACACTCCCCAAGGCATGCACAGAGGCCTGAAATTATTGGCGCCACCCTTCAGAGACCTCCCATTATCTTGGGAGAGGGCCATCCTCTCCCACCCACTAGTACTAAAGGCAAACTAAGACTGTGGTTACTGACGGCACCCAAGCGGCCTTGCTATCATCAGATCAACAGCACCTAAGCGACTACCCTTGCAATCTTACTGGCTGATCATAATTTTGGCCCACTGTACCCGCCTCACGATTTTGCTCTATGAAACTTCCTTTGACAAGTGGGGCTGTTGGCAACCCTCTGGTACACCTGTCTTAAAAAAGGAAAACACAACTTTCATAAAATGAAACTACCCACTTGTTTAACCAAATGAGATCCAAAGTGGTAATAAAGCAACCAAATTTCTTTTCACTTTATTTTTGGGACAGTTTTTTGGTATGCAGTTCAGGCTGGCCTGGATCACTCGGCAAACTTCCTGCCTCAGCCTCCTGAGTGCTGGGATTACAGGTGTGTGCCACTGTGCATGGCAGAAACATTCTTTTGCAGCAGTTTTTATCCCCTTTCAAAGTAATTTAAGACAATTTTCGTTTTTTCCTGTCATTTTCTGAAGCCAACAAAGCCAGAATTTATATACGAAACTATAAAGCAGGTATGGCAGCACGTGCTCCCCCAGTACCTGGGAGGCTGAGGCAGAACACAGCTGCAAGGGCCAGGCCAACCCGGCTGCGTAGTCAGCGTCCAAACAACAGTTACGCTGTGGCGTTAGGAGACCCAGGGAGGGGATCGAAGCCACTGCGCAGGTCAAGGCAACACTGCATAGGTCAGGTCCTGATTAGAAGGGAGGCTGCGTCTGAGTCCCTCAACAAGCCCCAGTGCCCTCGGGCAGCTGTGCTTAGAGTCACATCCTGGATTTACCCCATGACCACTCTTCACCTGGCCCTTGGCACTCTGCCCAGGCGCCTGACTCCTCTGTGATCAGTTTTTCTTGTGTGTTGTGCAGTTAACAGTGCAGGTTAATTCACACAACTCTGACAGTAAGTACAGGTGTAAAATGTATTCACTGTGATATTTTTATTAAGATGACTGTTCCCAGCTGAGCACGGCGGCGCACATCTGTAAAACCAGTACCTAGGAGGCTGAGGCAGGAGGACTCCCATGAGTTCAAGGCTAGTATAGATGACATAGTGAGTTCAAAGTCAGCCTGGAGTGAAACCTTGTCTCAAAAAACCCAAGGGAAAAAAGATGAAGAGGAAGAAGAACAACTACTACATTTCCTTCCTTTCTCCTACACTTCCTTCCTCTAGACAAATACTTGCTATTTTCTGAACAGATTCTGATGTCCTTTTGTTTTGTTGGAAACAAGGTCTTGCATGTAGTTTAGGCCAGCCTTGAACTCACTATGTGGCTCAAGCTAGCCTCAAATTCAAAATCTTCCTGCCTTAGCCTCCCAAGGATTAAGATTACAGGCGGGTGGCACCACATCTGAGTTTTACATCACTATTCCTCACCTCTTCATTTGTCCACTCTGCTGTTCATGCTTGCTTCTGCGTTTCTTTCTCTGAAACGACCCCTTCTCCTACTCTCACCTAATTTGTCATCCTTCAATAGGGTGCCATCCAGGAGAATGCACTTGTCTGTAAACGTGCCTTAGGGATTTATAGAGTCTAGCGTTTCAGGTTTAGTGTGTGACATTGTGTGGCCTGTTTGGTGCCAGAGCATCTCTTGTGTAGTGACACACAGAACATATACAGCACATAAGTTATTTATTTAAAAACTAGCATTTGACTGGCAGTCTCATGTTGGTTCAACCTACAGCTCTTATCACAAATAACTGGAACAGGGCCGAGGATATAGCTCAGTGGCATAAGCACCTGCCTGACAAAATGCAAGGTCATGAGTTTCATCCCTGGTACCAAAAAACAAAACAAAACAAAACCAAAAAAAAAAAAAAAATTAGCTGGAGCATGAGAGAAAGGCAGATACCTGAGTCCAGAAAAGATCATCACCATAAAAAATCCTAGTTTTACATCTCACAAGACCTGTATACCTGGAAGGCAGGAATACATTTACTACACCATGAGATTAGCAATAGTGAATGTCATAGCTCTATGGAAACCTCTGTCTTTTAATTTAGTTTAGTTTTGTACCAAGACTTTTTTTTTTTTGATACAGGGGATTGAATTCATGACCTGGCACTTGCCTGGCAGGCACTTGTACAGCTGAGCTTTTTTTTTTTTTTTTTTTTGAGACAGGGTTCTACTAAACATTTCAGGCTGGCCTTGAATCACTTTGGAGTCTAGGCTGGCCTCAAACTTGCAGCAATCCTCTGCCTCAGTCCTGAGTGCTGGGATTATAGGTGTGTGCCACCATGCCTGACTACCAAGAACATCTTTTAATGAAGCTTGTTTTAACCACAGAAAACTTAGCCTTTTGATGATGACCAATGTAAACCTATCACAATACCATGGTTAGCAATGTTTCTTGGATTGTGTATCCCATAAGCCTACAGAAATTCTCAGGGTCTCAGTGAAAAAAGACCAGAAGAAAATATTTCCAGCCAGCTGTGCCTTTATTCACCCAGGAGAGTCTGGTCCAGCAGTTCTCTTAAGCCTAAGAGGTCCCCATTTAATTACCTTAGTAAGTTTTTGATCATTTATGAGAAACAGATCATAACACACTCTTGACAATATAAGATTCTTAAGTTATTGTTCATTGGGCTAGGAATTTAGCTCAGTGGCATAACCGCCTGCCTGGCAAGTGTGTGGTCATGAGTTCGATCCCCAGGACCGCAAAAGAAGAAAAAAAAAAAAAAGAAGAGAACTATTAGCCAAATTATTGTTCATAGATGACAATACGCACTGTATTTGGGGATGACAATGCGCAGTGTATGTACCATTATTGTCCCCTGATTGACGTGTTTTGAAATTTTGTTGTAGTTTTTTTCCCTTTCTTTTCTTCCACTTCTTTTTTTTTTTAACCTTGAAATAAAATGAATTTGGGGGGAAAATATGCACTGCATTTGTAAAGCCAGTGTGGACACCATTCTGAAGCACGTCCTCAACTCTAAAGACATCAATAAGTCAACTTAAATTATAGACAAATACTTTAAAAATCCAAAAAGGCTAAAAGAAAAAACTGTTGCGCTCAAGTAAAAACAGCTGTAAATACTGTAACCAGTCACAAAGTGAACAGATAGACAGGCACACATAAGACAGCTGTTTACAAACCAGGGTGTACTCAGATGGATTTGGCCAAAATGAATTATCATAACTGCTTTACAGTTTCTAAGTTTGTAACTACAAACAGACTAGTCAGAACCTTTTTAGGTCAATGAACAGGGCTATCTTGCAGTAAGAATCAGAAGGAATGAAACCCTCTTACACCTGTGAAAGCAAAGACAGTCTGTTAAGAAGCGGCCTTGGCTGATGGACACCCCTGCACAGGCTTCTCACTGCTGTTTTGACAGCAAGGTTGTTGGTGAGCTGAAGCCCAGAAGTGCTGTTTTGATAGCCACATGTAATGGTGATTTTAACGATTTTCAAGGGATATGCAGGCCAAAGACTAGGGGTCACTCTTTAGGGCTAAGGATGAATTCAAAACAGTGTGGGAAGAAGGACTGCCAACACCTCAATCTACTCTGCTACAGACACCTACTTCTAGAGTTCATTTTTTTTTTTTTTTAATCTTTTCATTTTTATCGGTACCGGGGATCGAACTCATGACCGCCTGCTTGCAAGGCAGGAGCTTATGCTGCTCAGCTAAATCCCCAGCCCACAGACACCTAACAGTTTTCCCCATTTTGCCTGAGACCCTTGGACATACTTTGGTACAGGCCTTTCTTTTTAGAGCTCTATTAGCATATCTTCAAGAACAGTGGCCAGCCTGGCAAAATGTTTTGTAGAGAGATCATAAAACGAGAGGCAATGGTCCTCTGGAGATTGGAGCTTGTCTATTTTTTAAAATACTTGTTCCCATTAAAAACTGTTATTAAACTCTTAAGTTTCAGGGCTGGGGATTTAGCTCAATGGCATAAGCTCCTGCCTTCCAAGTGTGCGGTTGTGAGTTCAATCCCCCGTACCGATTAAAAAAAAAAACTCTTAAGTTTCTATAGGAATGTTTTGTTCTATTACTGAACTTATCTGTATTATAAAAATCAGCCAGTCTGTCCTGTGCTAGAAAAATCAGTCAGCATCACTGACTGAGGGGAGAGAGGATTAATCTCCAGTTCTGTCTAAGGACTAAAAGCCAGATAAACTCAAACTAAAACTTGCATATTTATTTGTCAAAATTAAATCGGGACCAGTTTTTGAGTGGCCCAGAGATAAATGAAAGTCAGCTTTACTCTGTAAGGGCCCAGGGAGGGGAAACTCAACATTCTGGAGCCCTGGCCTTGACATTCAGTAGCCATGAAGAGAGAATTGTCTTGGACCAAACACTGTTGGGAACTGTGTTACTTCTCTGGGGCAGGACACTGGAGAAGGGACAGAAGTGACTTCAAGTACGGTGCAAGGACCAAATCCTAACCATCTCAGCTGTAGAAAGACACTTAAGATCAAGAGCTTTTTTAGGGTGCACTTTTCTAATCCTTAGCAAAACATGTCTCTAAAGACAAAAGCCATAGCTGACTCTAACTGCATTGCCAGTCAGGAAATTAAATTGATAACCTGAATGGCTGCTTTTAACCTTTTGAAAAACAGAAAGAAAATGGAAGTGTTTCAAGAACATTGTTTAGGGCTTACTTTTTAATAAATGACTCTGAATCAAAAGTTCTAGGGCCAGAGATTTAACTCACTGGCATTAACACCTGCCTGGCAAGCACAAGGTCATGAGTTCAATCTCTGGTATCCAAAAAAAAATTCTAAAATTGCAGCCTGCAAAAGAAACCTGTCACCTACAGAAATAGTCCAGAAGAAATCTCTGTCCTAGAACAAAGAGGTCTCCGGGACATTTTGGGTTTTCCACCCAGTCATATAGGTAACTTCCCTCTACAGCAATGCTAACTAGGCTCTACTGAAACCCACTCTGAAAATATGTATCCGTGGGTATCTGGAATACACTTTAAAAACTCACAGATTATAGGCTATACCCACTGTCTCTCATCAGAAGTGAATACTTGATTTTAGTTCCCAGGTTTGAGTCAGACCTCACTGTACTTAGCAGGGTTCTCTGAAAACCTTCCCAGATCTCACTTGATCTTTTTAGGTCACTGAGAGAAAAAGACACATGAATGCAGGTGGTTCCAAGTTCTCCATTATTTCCAGTAAGAGATGCTGTCCTTGAGGAGCTTGCACAAAATCAACCAGGGATGGATGCAGCCTCATGGAGGCTTTCATCACAGCCGGCCTACAAGTTTCACCCTCAGGACCTGAAGAACAAGAAGGGGAAGCCTCAGACTCAGTAACAGTGGGCAAGGCTTTGATTACGGTTGTCCTGAAAACCTAACCTCAGATTCCCTAGGTCAGGGGCCAGCAGCCTCAGACTCAGTGACAGCAGATCCCGAAAGGCTAGGGAGGGGTCTGGTTTCCTGTGGCTTCCTCACATTCACATCTGAACACAAAAAAGGATTATTTCTTAATGCAAAGGAAGTCTGAACATTTTTCATCTTTTTTACAGTACAGCTCTAGTGGAATATCATACTCCACACTTCCCTCTGCATTCTGTCTTAGCTCTGAGGTAGGCAGGCCACGTTTGGGTGCAGGAAAGCAGTCAACAGCTCTTTTTCAGTTTGTGAGGGTTGAACACTTAAGGATACATTCCAAAGGAATGAAAGATTTTGACATTCAGTTCCCTAGCAAAATGCAAGAAAAGAGTCGGCGTCCCTTTAATTCCCATTTGATTTCAGTACCTTTAAGATGTCCCTTGAGTTGAGTCCACTAGAAAGCAGGAGACAGACCATGATGGTTTTGTTTTGATTTGTGTGATATGAAGTTAAAAAAAATCTTTTAGTTCGGAACAAGTTACATGAGTCAGTGTTTTGTATTTTACCACCAGCATCACAAGAAAAAACAAACAAGCAAAATGGTTACAGTAGTTTCCTGTAGCGTTTACTTTACCAGAGCTGTAACTTCCAACGCGTGTGTAACAGTTCTATGTTCTGTCCAAGCTAAAGCAAGAAGAGCAGTGTGGAGGGCTTGTTATCATAGATCCTATGAAGCACTAGGGAAACAGATTAGCGAGAAAGAACTCTGGAGAATTTTAAACAGCTTGCCTTTGCTACCGTAAGTACTCTCACTACTAAGCTAGTTCAGCCAAGAGGCACAGAGATGCCGCAGGCCGAAGTATTAGGAAGTTTTCAGCTTTATAAAAAGAATGTTCATAATAGTCATCTCCAAAATGCAAAGAGGCTGCTAGAAATAAACAGCTACCAGATGTGGTAACAGAAGGGTAAAATGCTCAGCATCTAAGCTTCTTAGCTGACACAGTCCTAACGGGATGTGCTGGGCAAGGCAGCCACCGACAATGACTACACTCCAAGGCTAAAGGAAGCAGCACAGGATAGAAGTAGATATGAAAACCACCCTTTCCTTCCCTGAGCTAATGCTCTTTCCCAAAAAGATTAAAACGTACACACAGCCTTTCTAAACCTGGAGAGCTGTTTTAATACCTAAACAGGAGGGCCTGACAATTTGTAACAGATGTAGAATTTCAGTGACAGTCCAGGTGTCCTGGAAGACTAACAAGAACAGGATGACCTGCGTCTCCAACCCTTCCCTACATCTGCAGATCCCTGTCTCTCACCAGGCTAGGAGATTCCCCTCTCAGAAACTAGCCCAAGTCCCTCTTGACCATGCAGCCTAAGTAAACTCTTGGCTTTCCTACACAGTATTCCTTTTCTGTTGGTAAACTCTTAATTTTTGTTTGTCTATTTTATGGAGACAAGGCCTCACTACATAGTCAAAGATGGTCTTGAACTTACTATGTAGCACAGACTAAATTGCTTTATTGCCTGCATGACTGGGCCTTCATATACTTCCTGGTATAGCACTACAACATACAAAGATTTTGCAGATGTTTTAACTGCCTTCTATTTTAATCTAAATTCAAAGAAATGCAGAGAGTGGTCAGGCCTGGTGGGGAATTCCTGTAATCTAGCACTCCGGAGACTTGAGGCAGGAGGATTACCAAGACTTCAAGGCCAGCCTGGACAAAAGGCAAAGCCCCTGTCTTAAAAAAAAAAAAAAAGCAGGACTTTGAGGGATTTTTTTTTCCCTTTTATAAAGAATTCAGCAAAAATGAAGTGTTAGCCAAATGTGGTGGTACATGCCCATAATCCCAGCACTCAGAAGACAAAAGTAGGATGATCACTTTGAGGTGAGGCCAGCCTGGGCTACAAAGTGAGTTCAAGGCCAGCCTAAAATGTATAGCCAAACCATCTCAAAAAAACAAAGAAACAAAATGCAGTGTCATGGTAAAAAACACGACAGGCACAAACTTCAAACTTAATATTTTGGCTTACATAGTTATAAATAATACGCTTATAGCATTTCTGGAAATTACTACCAAAATGAGTGTACTTAGGACTCGGCAGAACTAAAATTTCTACATGAATCTTACTTGATAACAAAGCCAGTCACAAGATGCAGCTCTGCTTCTGATCTCGTTCTTCCTGAAGAATGAGGATTATTTAGAACCCACCTCGGAGCTAAGGATCGCAAAGGAAACGCACAGCTTGTTCCAAGTAACCTTACAATTTAAGGAGAGAAGCAGGAAGTGCCAAAACAGTAAGCCAGTTGGTAGAGCACCCGGAGAGAGGACAGAGAAGACATCCAGCGGTGTAACAAACCGGAGGCTGCAATAGTTTTGGAAAAAGTGTGTACAGGGAAGGAGGCAGGGATTTCCAGGACAGCGGGTAGAGAATAGAGCAAGGGAGGTGCTAAAATAACTTGAAAATAAACTGAATGCTGTCTCCAGAGAGCCTAACTAGCCGCCCAGCGTCTTTGTCTGGCTCTTCAACCAATGTCTCTCCAAGTCTCTAGGTCAGCGGTTCCCGAAGTGTGTGTCTCAGACAAGCACCACCACCATCAGGGAGAGTGCCCAGGCGGGATTCGGTGCCCAGGCGAGACCCGAGTCCCAAGGGGGACGGGCTGGGAGCGGGCTGCATTTTCACAAGTGCTGCGGGCAGGCGGACGCCTCGCTGCACGCTCAAGTTTGGAAAGCGCCACTTTGGGGCTGCCGTCTCCCGCGGAGATAACAGCAGGGTGCGGGTCGCCGACGGCTGGTCCCAGTCTCTAAGGCTCGGACTCACGAGCCGCTGCCCCTCAGCCCCGCTCCATCACTGGCTCCCCGCTCCACCTCCCGGCCCGCTCCGCCCTACCTCGCTGACAGCGGGGACCTGGTGCCGGCACACGGGAGAGCTGCCCACGGAGACGGAAGCGGACGCGGCGCCGGCCGGGAACCCGCCCAGCAGGAGCAAGACGCCCCGGACCCACAGAGATCCGCCACGGCGCTGGCGGGCGCAGCCCGGGCCTGAACCCACGGGACCCGCTCCGCCGCCCCGCTCGCACCCGGCAGCCATCTTCAGCCGAGCGTCGTTACCATGGAGCGCGTGACGCCTCGGCCGGCCGCCCCGCCGCTCAGGGCAGTGGGGGGGCCCGCGGGATTCAGTTGCGATTGGCTGGCGTCATTACACGTGCAGCGCGGAGCACAGAGACCCTCGCGCCAGCGTCACTTGGCAGCCCAATAAGCGCCGGGGAGGGAAGTAGAAAGACTCAGGTGGCTGGGAGGGCGGGGGCGGGTAGTGGCGGAGGCCGCTGGCCTGTTCATTCACCAGGTTGACAACCACTGGTTCCCAGGTGGACACGTAGGTAGCTAGAGAGCTTACAGTATAGTCTTTCATGTGAAATCTGTTTTCTTCTCATGAGCCACTTTCAGTCCCATTCAATCAAAACTATTTACTTTTTTTTTTTTTTGGGGGGGGGGGGTCTTTTTCCTTTTTATCGGTACCGGGAATCAAACTCACAACTGCCTGCTTGCAAGGCAGGCGCTTATACCGCTGAGCTAAATTCCCAACCCCTCAAAACTTTCCTATTAAGCCAATTATGCTCTTTAGTGTTCTACCCAGCCCCTATTTTACCTTCACCGAGACTTACAGCTGCATTAACAGGCAACATGAGTGTATCCTAACCATTAAGGAAATGGCCTTCAAAACTAGGCCCAGAAGGAGCTATGAGTAACTGCAAACTGGGTCAGCTGTCCCTGGGGCCCATGAATCTACCAAAAGGAGGCTGGAAAGGAAGGGATGCGCTTGTAGCTCTGTGATTAAGTGTTCACATAGCCTGCATGCAGGCCTGGGAGGAGAGCAAAAAACTCTCAGATCCAGCACCTGAAAACGGTGACTTGCAGTGCAGGAAATGAAAATTGTTTACAAGCTGTTGTCATGTGCTGACATCAGCGTCTACTGACTTCACCTGCTATAAATGTGACAGGAATTAAACATTACCTCTCTCTGTACACCTAAGCCAGGTCTGAGGGATCCATCTGCCTTCCTGGACATATCCATTGCCTAACACTGGGCACCTTCCTGGAGTTCATTTTAGGGTGCTAAGGAACCCAGATCCTCTAGGTCCTGGCCAGCGCAGCACTTTTCCTAGCCCTACAAAGCTGGCTACTTCCTCAACCTTGCAGGATCCGTATCAGCAGCCAAAGTTAGAGTGCTGCTTAGAGGCCTCTATCTTTCTCTTGCAGTTGTTAAATAGTGGTCACTCCCACAAATCAAGTTTTTACAATTGCAGTACTTAAAATCCTCTTATGAAAACAATCTCACATAGTTTTTAGACTAAATTCCCCCTCACCCACTTTGTGACACTAACTGGCCTAATTTTAGTAACTAATCGAGAATCTTTTTTTTGCCACTCCCTTTCCTGAAATGCTAAGCTCTTCCTCTATACATACTTTGTAATTTTATTTACATAGGCAGTATTTTCTTTCCTCCTTTTTTGAGCCAGTCCTGCTGGGTAGCTCAGGCTGGCCTCAGACTCTGGGTAATCCTCAGCCTCCCAAGAGCTGAGATTATAGTAGTGCGCCACGCCCAGCATAAGCAGGATTTTTTACATCTTTGACCATCATATCTACCTAACTGACATAATGAACACTGTAGGGACACTCTGTTGCATTTTGAGGGAACTAAATCTCACCAGCATAGGACCAAGTTCAGCACTTCTTGCCCCTTGAACCTACATTCTCCAAATGTAGTTCCTTAGAGTTTACCAAACAAAATTCCAAATGCAATTCGTGCACAACTCAGATCTGCAAAGCAGGTAACTCCCAAACTGCTATTCCTTCCTATACATCTTTTTGCCTGTAGGCTGCATTAAAAATGAGACTGGGCAGGAGTTTATTTCAGTGGCACAAGCACCTGCTTGACAAGGGCAAGGTCCTAACTTCAATCCCTAGTACCAAAAAAAATAAATAAAAACCAGAGCCTGGTTCAAATCTAAGTTTATTTCTATGAACCAGTTTACTGCTGCTATGTAATGGAAGGAATTTCCATTGCAGGACAATCACCTATTTATCAAACCTTTCTTAGAACTGCCACGTGACTCTTCCTACCAATCCTCCAAGATCTCTCCTCCAGTGCACTTAAAGCATCTTTCTTTACATTTGAAAGAAAACCTAAATTTCAAACTTAAAAAGGATCTGTTAGACAAATCCCATTTTCAGACTAGGTGTTATGCTTCAAGTAATCTACAGCCACACTGATGCTCTGTATCTAATTTTTTAAAAACCACTCACATTGGAAATATGCTGGAGCCCAGCCTACCATCCTTTGTGACATGCTAAAATACTTCATTTTGGCGCCATATTAAAACGAAACCAAGCCTGTACCACCGCACAGGCATATAACCCCACTTAGGGATGCTGAGGCAGGATAGTTAACCCGTGGCCAGCCTAGGCAATCTAATGAAATGGTCTCAAAAAGCCACCAGGGAAGGTTACCTGCCTGTTTTTTTTTTTTTTTTTTGGCTGAGAAATCAAACTCGGGGACTTGTGCATCCAAGACTAAACCACTGAGTCACGTCTCCAGCCCTGGAGCTACTTTTTGAGGTGGTGTCATGTGAGTGACACTTTCAGCTTAACATTACTTCTACCAGGAAGCAGTGAAATCGTCTGCCCAGTCATGCATCTCAAAGCCATGCCCTTGCTTTCTGAATGAGCTTAGGACACATAACCCCATACCATGCCCACTTCCTCTTTAGCTTAAGCCTCCCCACCAGTATGCACTGAAAAAGTACTTCTAGTACTGCACGGTGCTTTAGGTTTTCTTTCTGTAGTCTGTAAAACCAACCAGGGTCTCCAGACTGCAGGTTACTGCTAACCCACACCCCCAGCTCCCAAAAGACAATTCTACTCCCCCAAAGTAGATTTAACCTCCCCAATATGTACCTTGGTGGATACTCACAGAAAATCCCTACTACCTTTATACCTGCCCTACAATGAGCACTGCATAGTTCTCTCAATTTCCTTGTACTCTGAAAATGCAGGACAATCCTTCCCATATGGCAACACAATTCAGGACCGTAAGTTTCTTAAGCCATTTAAAAAATACCAGAGCACAAATCCACTTTTATTTTCCATTAGTTAAATCCTTGAGGGGTACAGCATCTAGAAAAAGAACATAAAAACACTAGGTGAATGTTATATAAAATTTACCCCTGTTACTGAGTACCCTAACATAGGTAACTATCCAGTCATTTCACCACTCATCTGGGAAAGGCATCAAATCAAATGATGCCTTGTTCCACGGCGAAAGTACCAAGTTTTTATGGCAGTCTTCTGCGTGAACACGCTTAAGAGCCTATGCTTCTAAGCAAGCACACAAAACACATTTACTTTAACGTCTTCTAATATCTGATTTTAAAACCCTCATGATAAATTATCAACTGTTCACAGGATTTAACAGTACCTCATGGTTGCCAAGTGTGATGGCCCATGCCTGTAATCCCAGCAATTGGAGAGTCTGAGACAGGATTACAACAAATTTAAGGCCTGTATGAACTACGTGTCGAAAACACAACCATCAGTACCCCAAGGTTCTAAAACTGTATCAGTCTCTAATTAAAGAAAAAGCTGGAATCATTTAAGGAAAATCTCCACATCTGACCCCAAGACTTGTGCCAAACTCATGAGATGTTGGACTGTGAGCACCTGTTCTATGTACAAAATTAGGCTAAGAATATCTGTTCTACTGTAAGACTGACAGGTTGAAGAACACCTTTCTTTACTGTGAAAAGAACCAATGTTCTATGATACTCGTTTACATAATGGTTAACTGATCTCGCCACAAAATTTACTAGTTTCATTTCACAATCACAAAACGGGGGTGGGGATCCCACAACCCAATCCTTTAAGCTTGGTTTGACTCTACAGAAGCTCACTCGCTACTAACTGCACTCACCACACGGATTCGGTGTCCAATGGCCTTAGCAGGAAGGTTGCTTCGGAACTTGGCACGAACCATGCCGCTGTTTCCATGGGCCCGAGTTACCTTTCCCCAGATCACTCTGGTTTTGTTTGGTTTGCCACCTGGAGTCACTGTGTTGCTGATTTTAAAAGTGGACAGAAAAGAAATGAGAACTCAGGCTACCGATAGTTTGATACAAATTCTTCACATCTCTAGACTTGTGGCTCAACCCAGGTTACCCACTAAGAGCCACCACAGAAACTTACTGTCTGGAATATCTTTAGTTTAGATACAGTATCTATTTAGGGTAGGACCAGGACAGATACAGCTAACTGTGCTCAAGATCAGAAGAGGAAGCACCTCCATGGTAGGAACAGCCAGACACTAAGTGCCAAATTCCCACTGGAATCAGTGGAAACATCGATTCTTGGAGATTCCTTAACAGGTTTATCTTTGACTGAATGAGGTGAACACTGGAGTTTAAGCAAGGTACACATGACCTCACTTCTAATTTCAAAGAATATTCTGGCGGAGAAAGGAGGACAATAATATTAAAGTATCTTCTCAGACTTCTCTGAGGAGCTGGGGACTAAATCCAGATCCTGTGCATGCTATGCAAGTATGTACACACCACAGAGATCCACCCCTAGAGAGTTCCACAGCTCTGGAATGGGTTATGAACCCAAGAACCAAGATTCTGGGCTAGACACAGCTCAGTGGTAGAGGCACATATAGTATGCACAAGGTCCTGAAAGGGTGAGGAGACAAATGCTCTAGAGACTGTGACACCTTAAAACTATGTATAAAAATACAAGTATTGTAATTAAAATGAGCACAAGGAACTCCTTCTTTGAAACAGTTAACAGCTACAAATCTTGTAAGTGCTCAAGACTACCCTACTCAACACTACCCTTAGCAACTAACAACCTTCCTTAACTTTCCATCAAGTTTCCTGAAACCCAAAGTAGAAGCCACAGTGTCACTTTTTCAAAATCCTTCAACAAAAAAGCTGAGGCAGATAAAAACTCCAATGCATACCAAGGTATAAACTTACTTTTTCGCTTTGTAGACATAAGCACATCTCTTGCCCAAGTAGAATTCAGTTTCATCGCGGGCATAAACACCTTCAATTTTAAGAAGAGCTGTGTGTTCCCTCTGGTTCCGGAGACCTCGCTTATAGCCAGCAAAAATGGCCTTGCACCACAGTCTAAGACACACAAAAACACATGACATTTAACACAAGATCTCTTTTCCTTCCACCACCAATATAATTTGACTTGTAATGACTGTTGCCCAGAAATGATTTATAACAAACACCAAGTGTTTTCCCACCAATTTCAAGCTTGAGATTTACACTGAACTGAAAAAGCAACTGTATTTAAAACGCTTACCTTCCAGACATATTTGCCTTTGAGAAGTCCGGTTCCCAGCAGGCCTGAAATTTTAAAAAAAGTCGGTGTAGAACCAAAATTAAGTTTCCCCTCTTACAACTTTTTGCTTTTTAAGCCTGTCAAATACTTTCTTGATCGGCATTTCGTATTAATTTGGAGAACTTAATTTTGTCAAAGCACCCGTATCAGGAGCACAGCTTGGCAACTCATTCCAATCGCAGACAACGGTTGAACACCTCGTTTTGTCCAAAATGAAGACAAAACGAAATGCCAGTGTAATCACTTCAAGTTTCAGCAGAAAACCCTGAGAAAGTGCATGCCACTATCAGTAGTCCAAACTAACTTTAAAACAAAGATTTATGACACAGAAGCACACAAGACTTTCAAAGCAGTGAGTGGGAGAAAGCTGGAGATTCTGAACAAAGAGAGCTTCGATACGGGACCAAAAGGGGATTATCAGCCTAAGAGCCACTACACTGTGAGCAATTACATACATAAAAAACGCCATCTATTTCATTTCTCCCAGGAACCAACTCCAATTACCCGGGCCACTCGTACTCCCGGCATCAGAGACCCAGCACTATCTACCTCGAATCTCCTCCATCCCGTCCTCCCTGCTCTTGGAATCTTCAGCTATCACTGGCTGGCAGAATCTCCAATTCGCCCCAGCGCCTCGCCGCGGTATACGGACAAACCCACCCGGCTTATTTGCCCCCAAACAGCTGCACCTAGCGCCCCCCTCACCTCCCCGAGCTCCAAGATGGCGGGAAAAGAAGGGCGAGGCCCCACCGCGTGGCCTTATGGGAAAAACTTCCCTGTCCCGCCCTCTTTTAGGCATCCTCCGCGAACGCCGGAAAAACACGCTACAGAAAGCGTCTTCGGGTTGAAATAAGTCACATTTAACAACACGCCTACAATTCTTTCCCAAAGTCCTTTTAACTGCAATATTCAGCTGTAATATGTAGTATTTGGGAACGGAGAGCGGCAATACGGTAGTCAACAAAAGGTAGGAAAAGAGGAAAAGGCCCCCTTCAAAAAAAAAAAAAAAGTTGTGCGTTGCTAATAGCACCAAGGAGTCAACGCATTCGAGCTAATCTAGGACTCTCCTTTCCTCACTAGAGTAGACCTAGCAGGCAGAGAAGCGGGAACACGAAGGCAAGAGGAGCTCTTCTATCCTTTTTCTTATTTACTCTTTTGTGTCTTTAAAGAAGTGACTTAAAGGGCCGGGGATTTAGCTCAGTGGCTCAAGCGCCTGCCGGGCAAGCGCAAGGTCGTGAGTTCGACACCCCCCCCCCAAAAAAAAGAAAGAAAAGAAATGACTTAAGTACGGGGCGTGCTGGCGTGTATCTGTGGTCCCAGCTTCTACTCAGGAGGATGGGGCGGGAGAATCGCAGCAATACCAGGCCAGGCGGGCTACACAGTGAGTCAAGGCCAGTCTGAACCACACAGTGACACCCTGCTCGAAGAAAGAGACAGAGACAGAGACAGAGAGAAAGGAAGAAAATAAAAGCCAGACGCGGCAGTAACCGGTTCCTCTGGAGGCCGAGGCGGCAGGACTTCAAGTTCGCAAACCAGGCTAAACGACAGTCTCACAAAGAGGGTGGGAGAGAAGGAGCCCCCGCTGGCTGTTACCACCTCAACTGTAGGGCGCCCCTGTATTGATGCAAAATTCAGGACCAGGCCAAATAAGACACTTTAGAAAAGACTTTAAAAGGTGGTTTTATTATGGTAGCGGGCTGACAGGAACCCCAGTTCCAAATCATCAGCCGCGATTGGAGTTTTTAAAATCATTTATATGTGATAAAATAAAATCAAATAAAATCATTCATTTATGTTTTTAAAAGGACGTACAGAATGCAGATAACATAATATCCCACGGTTGGTTACACATGTCTATGTTATCAACTGCGAGGCAGAATTTACTGTTACAGAAACAGCAACTAAATGAGGTTATTATCCTACGACATAGGGAAAAAATCCATTATTGTTTGAGGTCTGGCAGAGGTTGTCCTTGATAACTCTAGGACTCGGAAGCCAGAGAAACGTGCCTTCCTGGCTGAGCTATGCTTATCGTGCAGTTGGCACCCTAAGTGTCACAGCTCATCAAGTTTGTAGCCTTCTGACCACAGGAACAGTCTGCATCTCCCACTCATTTTTGAGCAGTGTTAGAAATATGCATAGTCTTAGAAATACAAGTTTTAAAAATTTCTCTGCATTAAAAGGGCTCGAACTTCAGGATGGAAACACTACCAAAAAATATGAGTTCTTCAGTCTGTTCTTTCCTTGAGTAAACCTCCTCTTTCTTCCCCTCAGGAGGAGGTTTATCTCTAGAACTGCTTTCGGAACCTGCTGAGAAACGTGGTGGGGACTGTGACTAACAGGGATCCTGAGTGCCAGGGATTTGTGGGTGGATAGGAGTGAGGGAGTAAGGGTGACTCCACAGTTATATGAAACAGGTGCACATCTTTTACCTTTCAAACAAACAAAAAATTTGATAAATAAGCCAGGCAGGAGGATACATGCCTGCCATCACAGAATTCTAGGAGGCTGAGGCAGGAAGCCCCCAAGTTTGAGCCCAGTTTGGGCAAATTAACAATTTAGTGTGACCCTGCTTTGAAGCAAAATGAAAGGCTGGGGATGTGGCTCAATGCAAAGGCCCTGGGTTCAAACCTTAATATTAAAAAATAAAAAGAAGGAGCTGGGGATTTAGCTCAGCGGCATAAGCACCTGCCTTGAAAGCAGGCAGTTCGATCCCCGGTACTGATAAAAAGGAAAAAGACAAAAAAAAAAAAAAATTAAAATTAAAAAATAAAAAGAATAACACATATATAGAGATTATCAATTAAAATGAGAACACAAACATACTAAACTCACATTAGATATTAATGTACCTTAAAAGGAGTCATGATGAGTTTGTGTATCTGCAGTTTTGGTAGACCAATAATTGTGTGTGTGTGTGTGTGTGTTTGTGTGTGTGTTGGACTTGAATTCACTGTGTAGCTCAGACTCATGGTGATCTTCCTGCCCCAGTGCTGGGATTACAGGCTGTGTCCTCCTGAGTGCCGGGACTACAGGCTGTGTCACTGTGGCTGGCTTAGGTTCAGAGTAATAAGCTGATGGTTCAGAGACCTTCATCCCAGGCTACCAGTGGGCTTTCCACCCCAGGACTGCCACACTAAACAAGAGGAAGGGGTGAGCCACAGATCTAAAACTCTTAGTGAAAAGGCATTAAGCTGGATACAGTGGTACATGCCTGTAATCTCAGCACTCTGCTGAGGCAGGAAGACAGCTAGGAGTTGAGACCAGCCTGGGCTACATAGTGAGTTCAAGGGCAGCCTGAGCTACATAGCAAGACCCTGTCCCAAAAAATAAAACACAACAACAAAAAAAAGGCATACAAATAACTGGAATGTACCTCAATACCTCTTAGGTAATCTCAGTGTCTCTTTATTTCAGGTGCCTGCCTTTTGTGAGATTATAACCATACTGTGGAAGCTGACAAAATTACAGAAGAATGGCAGAGTATGTTCCGAATTCCAATGCTATATATATATATATATATAAAATTTTTTTCTGTCTGTATGAAATTTCTGCAGACTTCTGCACTGCCGTGTAACAAAATGCCCCAGCATGTAGTGACCCACACTGCTGCACTCAGTTCCCCTGAGTCCGGGTTCCGGGTGTGGTTGCAGTGAGGTCTCCCTGAAGGCTGCATCAGCCAGGGCTGTGGCCACGGGGACCTGCTTGGGGTGGGAAGCTCCCAGTGGCTCCCTCAAAGAGCAGGGGACGTGGGCTTCTCACCTGCAGCACAGGGGCTCTGCAAGGCCACCTGGTATCGGGACATGGATGTCCAGGCTGCCCTCATCAGAGTGAGATGGAGCCAACAGGAGACTGCTGTGGCTCTCGTCACCTGGCTTTAAGGTCCCATGTTACCCTCACAGTGGTCTCTTGCTTACACTGATTAGTTCCACTGCCCATGGGGCAGTGAAGATGCCAAGGCAGAAATCCCAGAAATCGAGGACTGATGCTGCCCGCAGGCCACTACCACCTCTGTTTCTCATAACCAGACGCTTGTGCTTGATTTAAGGATGTGGCTTGAGAGTAAAGTCATCCTGGCCTGGCTCACATTAAGCATAGCTAAAAGGATGGGTTACACTGTCTGCCTGCCTTCCTCCCTGTCCTTCCCTTTTTCCTTCTTTTGGGGCTAGGGTTTGAACCCAGAGCCTCAGGTGTGCCACACATGCGCTCCACCGCTGAGCTATAGCCTCAGTCCTTTTAAAATGTTTTGTTTTGTTTTTGAAACAACTTCCGGGAGAACATGGCGGACAAATAACAGCAGCCACGAGGCTCTCTGAGATTACCAGCTTAGAATCCAGGAGCGGTGCCGTGTGAGGAGTCCCACACGAGGGGAGATGTACCTTGCCGACCCAGGAATGAACTAAGCTGAGAGAAACCAACTGGAAATGCAATCCCGATGCTATAACAGGAACAGATGAAATCTCAGTGCGGAAGCTGGATCCCGCGCCATTGGAAGCCGCGATTTGAATTTCCTGCTGCCCATACTGCGTCCCAATCCGCACGGCAGGGAGAGAGACGCGCGAAAGCTCTGAGAGCTAGAATTGGTGAACCAAACAGCATTGAGAGCGGGACTGGCAGGGAGCCCTGCATCGACCTGCGATGAGTGAGAGAAATGGGGACCCTTTCATAGACTAGGAGGCTCCAACAGAGGACATTCCGGAACGGGCAGACTAACCGGAACAGGGCCCTGCAGTGACTTTAGTCGCATATTCCCCTCTCAAGCAGGAGTGGTGGGGAGCGCTTGGCCTGGTGACGCCGCAGACTAAGATCCAGTAGGCTAGCCCAAATCAGGTCCCTGTGCCTGGCGGTGCACCCTAGCAGTGAAGCATTCACTAGGTTGATCTAGAGGGGCAGGCCCAGCAGAGGCTGCCCAGGTCTGTGTCTCCCTAGTACACTGCAGTGGGCGGGAACACCTAGCCGGCGGATTCAAACAAACTGTAACAGACAAAGAGAAAAAAAAAATCTAGGCCTCCTACATACGCTTGTATGGAAGGAACAAAAAGTATGGGAAAAGGGAGCAACAAGAAAGGGTCCTCAGTCCCCAATCCTGAGAACACTGATCCAGGAAAGGTAAAAGCAAAAGAGAATGAAGACAGAAAACATGCAATATCAGACACAGCACCTATAGACAAAAAGCGGTATCTCCGGAGCATCATAGACGAGTTCAAAAATGAAGTATTTAATGAAATAAAGCAAGAAATAAGTAGAATAGTTAGAGAAATGCTAAGCACCACCCAAGAAAAAACAGATGGTGGAATGGAAGAACAGAAAAAAAGGGGAGAATTGTTTGATGGAGAAAATAGAGAAAACATAGAATACGTGAAGCAGGTTCAAAGAGATTACCAAGAAACTAAAAACCTCTATCGAAAGCTGGCATAACAGCTTGAAAGAAACTAAGGATAGATTATCAGAACTGGAGGACAGATTTGTAAGGTGGAAGCATGAAATGAAAAACTTCTTAAAAATAACAAGAAAACAAACAGCAATAATACAAAGACTAGAAGATGATAAGAGGATCTATAACTTAAGAATTAAGAACATAAAAGAAGAAGTAGGGACTCAAACAAATGAACTACAAAAGTTATTCACAGAAATAATCCAGGAGAATTTCCCTAATTTAGCAAAAGGTAAAGATACTCAGATGTATGAGGCATACAGGACCCCAGCCACCTACAACCCAAACAGAGCTACACCCAGGCATGTAATAATCAAAATTCCAGAAATCCAATATAAGAACAGAATACTAAAAGCCGTCAAAGACAAGAAACAGATTACTTACAAGGGAACACCCATCAGAATTACAGCAGACTTCTCGGCACAAACCATCAAATCACAAAGAGCGTGGGGTGAAATAATTCAAGCTTTGAAAGATAATAACCTCCAGCCAAGATTGATATATCCTGCACAACTGTCCCTAGAAATTGATGGAAAAACAGGGTGCTTCCAGGATAAAGAGGAACTGGGGGATTTTGCAACCACCAATTCAACTCTACAGAGATTAGTGCAGAATATTCTAAAAATGAAAAATACCAAGATTCCAGAAACAGTGGCAGAGAGGCCACAATGAATGGAGCAGAAAGCAAAATGAAGAGGACAAACTGACAACGAATGACAGAAAAAGAGCTCAAAAGAAATGAGGCAGAGAAGGTTGGATGGTAGGAACAGCCATTTTGGAGAAAACAAGACATCATAATAGATAGTGCTGATTTAATATCCTCTTGTTTTGAAGTCCCATCAAGCTTTTGTTCTTCTGTCTCCATCGGTTTTAACGTGTTGTATCTTATTGGATTTTATTATATGTGATAGTATAAACAAAAACTTTTATAGACAAGGAGATTATACAGAAACCATTGTTCATTTTCTGTTAGTTGATTCTAAATACCCTGTAATACTGTCATTCTCTTGAACGGTTTTAAATTGTCTTGATATGTTTGATGCTACAGTATACGAAGTTATACCCAAAGATTTTAAGGGAAGAGACACTATGGTAACTACTATTATGTCGAGATTATCTTGTGGTGAAACACTATTTTGCTTAAATGGCTATGTTTTGTTTTTTGTTTTTTGTTTTTTTTTTTGTCTTTTTTGTTTTTACCGGTACCAGGGATCGAACTCACGACTGCCTGTTTGCAAGGCAGGCGCTTATGCCGCTGAGCTAAATCCCCAGCCCCTAAATGGCTATGTTTTGACCTGCGCTGTTTTGTTGTTATGCCCTCTTTTTTTTTATCTCAATCTCCTTTTTATTATCTACTTTTTCATTTTTATCCTTTTAATGGAAAAATAAAAAATAGCAGGATATATTATAGTAACCCACTTTGATTTCCTATTAACTTGATTTGAAACTCTGTATTGCTCTCACCATCTTGTTTTGACTGATTTTCCTCTATTCTGTTATGCTTGATAGTACCAAGTTTGAAAGTATAGGCAACAACTATGAAGACAATAAGATTCATTGTGACGCCCATTCTGGTTGACTATTATCTTCTTTTGAAGTCCTCTAATGTCTCCAATGCTTTGGTTTTATTGGTCTTATTCTTTACTGTTTTGTTCAATTTTATTATAACTGATGATATAGGCAATTCTTTTTAAGATAACAAGAGGCATTATGGTAACCATTGTTGATCACCTTGTATTTTGTTTTTACATTATGTATTATGTCCATCCTTTTGATTTGACTGACTCTGTCCTGGTATGTCACATTTGGTTTTACTTTCTTCAAAAAAAAAGTAATAAGAACTGTGGGAGTAATAAAACCCAAAATGTGTAATTGTTATTGTACAAAAGAAAGGAAAAGAAAGTTCTCTAAAAGATATAACTGCATGTATATTTAAGTGTATAAGATAGATAACCATATTACTGAGCTTTGTTGGATCATTGAACAAAACTGTTTGCAGTCTCACTGTTTGAAAGTCCCCTCTATATGCTTTAATTTTGCAACTTCAACAACTATTTCTAAGATGACAATATGTAATTAACTAGTGATTTCCTACTGTTTATTTTTTCTGAAATTCTGTATAACTTGTACCCTTTTTCTGTTTTTTTTTTCTTTTTTCTCCTTAAATAAAATAAAAAAAAATAAAATGTTTAGCTTTATTTTTGAAACAGCATCTTGCTAAATTGCAGGCTGGCTTAAACTTGTGACACCCCCCTCCCCGCCGCCACCTTAGCCCCCCAGGTAGCTGGGATTACAGGAGTGCAACGGCTACTCCTCTTTATGAAGCAATAAGCTGTTGGCCTTTGGTCTGTCAAGGTAAATGGGATTTACCAGAATTCCGTGCAGACACCCACTTTCACTTTGTGCTGTGGCTTGTGTTTTAGTTTTTTGGAGACAGAGTCCTAGTGTGCAGGTCAGGCTGGCCTTAGCCGTGCTGGTTATGTAGCCCACAGCGGCCTTGCGGTCACAGTGCTTGCTGGGCTTACTGGGAGGCACCTCGGCCTGGCTTGCTTGTGTCTTTGAGCTGCATTTTTCTGTGTCCTCTCCCTAGGGACAGCGGGGAAGCCTCCCCGGTTCCTTCGGAAGCCTGGCCAGAAGGGACACTGGTGACCGAGGAGCCACCCGGTGCGGCCACTGAGGAAGCAGCGACCCCTGAGGCGCCGGAGTCCGAGGCTGAGGAGGCCGCCGCGGCGCTGTCCCTACTGGAGGTGCTGAGGGTCTGCGCGGTGCTGGAGGACGCGGGCGACCAGCTGTCCATTCTAGGCTGCATCATGCCCTGGCCGCTGGAGAGGCGGCAGAGTGCGGCGGCGCCAGTGAGGGCGGTGAGTGCGCTGCGGGGCGCCGCTGTCCCCCCCTTCCCCACCCCCCTCCCAGGTTACAGGCAGGCAGCTGTACCTCGGCCCTGGCTCTGATAAAGGCGCTGTCCACCGATGGGGGAGATGGCCACAGCTCCAGGTAGTCAGGAGCAGAACAGCCTGTGTCAGGATAGCGGCGTTATTCAGAAAGGCCTGCGTGAAGACAGAATGCTTGGGCCTGCACACACATGCACGCACACACAGGCACACACACAGACACATACATTTACACACATGTTCTGCACCCTTCGCGCAACCAACCTCGGACGGAAAATAGCAAATTACTGTCTGGGCTCGCCTGTGATCCCAGCACAGGGGAGGCTGAGGCAGGAGGATCGCCACATGGTCAAGGTCAGCCTGGGCTATATAGTGGTACTTGACTCAAAGCCAAAAAGAACAACAACAATAAAAACAATGATAGTGTGTTCAGATTTGCTTACTTGTCATTGCTTCGTAAAGAATAGAGTGTAACAACCTTTGTATTCGACACAAGGGAGGACCCTTGGTGGCACTCACAGGCCAAACGCAAACAGCGTACCACTTCACACGGGGTCCCCACTGGCCACAGGGCCCTACCGCTGAGCTGCTGTGGGTCCCTAGGACCAGTGTGTGCGCCTGCGAAAGGAAGCCACTGTGCCCAGTATACCCACGCCAAATACCCCCACTCTCCTCTGCCCTGGTCCTCGGTTGCTAGAAGATGACTGAACGCTAGAGGGAGACGTTCACCCGCACTGTCCACATTGCTGGTTGAATGCCCAGCAGCCTGCTTGGGGACGTCCCACCTGCTGTTCCTCTGCTGTTACATTTGCTACAATGTTTGGACCCCTGAGCAAAGGAGTTATTACAAAACCTCACTTACTAAGGAGCAGTCTTTGTTACTGGGGGGGGGGGGACACATATTTTTAGATCCATTTCCCCTGGTTGGTCCTGGAGATTAAACCCAAGGCCTTTGCATTACACACCCAGCCACTAAATCCCCCAGACTGGGTTTTAGATTTACGATCCTCCTGCCTCAGCCTCCAAGACTGCCAGGATTATAGGTGTGTGCCACCATGCCCAATTAAATTCTTCTAGCTGGGCACGGTGGCACACGCCTGTAATCCCAGCACTGGGGAGGTTGAGGCAGGAGGATTACTGAGTTCTAAGCCAGCCTAGACTCCATAGTGAGTTCCAGGGCAGTCTGCACTACATATCCAGGTCCTGCCTCAAAAAAAGAAATTTAAGAAAAAATTAACCAGGTGTAGTGGCACACACCTGTGATGCCAGCACTCTGGGAGGCTGAGGCAGGAGGATAACAAGTTTGAGCCCAACCTGGACAACCTAGTTATTTAGAGAGACCCTATCTCCAAATAAAAAATGGTCTGAGGCTGTTGCAAAGGCCCTGGGTCAGGTCCGCAGTATATATTTAAAATGAGCTACAGTCTCCAAGACTCTCTGCCTCCCACAGGGGAGTACCCTCTTACAGATGTTTCACAAGGAACTCTGTGTGTGTGGTGTGTGTGTAGGGGCAATGCTGAGATGGGACCTAGGATCTTGCATGTATTAAAGATGTGCTTTACCCAGCACAGTGCTACACACCTGTAGTCCCAGCTACCCAACAGGCTGAGGCAGGAGGATCACAAGGCCTGCCTGGGAAGCTTAGTTTAGCAAGATTCTGCCTCAAAATAAAAACAAACAAAAAGTTTTTCTGATACAGGGTCTCGCCGTGTAGCACAGACCAGCCTCGAGTCACAGTGGTCCCCTGTCTCAGCCTCCCGAGCACTGGGATTGTAAGTGTGTGCTAGCACACCTGGCACAAAATGAAAACACTTTTTTTTTTTTTTTGTCTTTTTCATTTTTATCGGTACCGGGGATCGAACTCATGACTGCCTGGTTTCAAGGCAGGTGCTTATGCCGCTGAGCTAAATCCCCAGCCCAAAAAACACTTGTTAAAGTGTTGGGGACACAGCTCAGTGATAGAGGCTCTGGGCACCAGGACAGTAAAAATAAATTAAAACTAAGATGTGTCCACATGGAGCTGCACCCTCAGCCCCAAACTTACACCTTTAGGGAGCCACAGAGGGGACATTGCAAAAAGATACAAAACAGGGCCACGTAGTTTACTGATGTGGAAGAAAGGAGCAGGTTTTCTTGAACTATAGCAGACTAATGGGGTAAAGCAAGGCTGAAACAGGTAGGCAAGACCTTCTTTCTTGGAGTACTCCGTCAGTCATTTAAAACACTTTTTTAATATCATTGGCTTTTAGAGAAGCAATAGCCCAGACAAACCACCAGTGCCCTCCACTGCAAGGAAAACATCGATTCCATCATCACTCAAAGCACCGGCGTCACCGGAAGTCAGACCAAGAGGCCAGCTGGCTGCCGAGGTTAACAAAATGCAAGATCTTGCCTTTAAAACATCTACAGGGCAGGCCATCATGACCATGGAAACACTGAAGAAAACTCAGAGCGATAGGTGAGGATGGAGAGTGTGTTTCACAGTGTAGAGAGTGACGGTGCATGCCTGGAATCCTAGCACTGAGTAGCCGAGGCAGGACAATTGCCACTAGTTCAAGGGGCAGCCTGCACTGCACAGGGATATCCTGGCTCAAAACAACAACAACCGACAGAAAAAGGACAACATGTGATGTGCAAAGCTAAGACTGTTCTTTGTCCCTTTGTAGAAAGTTTGTCATAGCCCTTTAAAAATTTTTTTTGAGACAAGGTCTTGTTAAGTTGCCCAGATTCAAGTGGCCTCAAACTGACGAGCTTCCTGCTTCAGCCTCCCAAGTGGCTGGGTTTACAACTGAGTGCCACCATGCCTAATTTAGTAATAGATCTCCTTGGGCTAAATGATTCTTGCATTAATTTCATCTTAACTGAGATGCTTTTCTGGATTTTCACTTGTGTAAAGCCAGGGAACTAGAGCTTACAAGCCTGCTTCTCCTCCCAGGAAGTTTTTCAGTGATGTCATTGCGAGCACTCTGCAGGAGCTGCAAGAGTCAGGAACCTTCGTGAGCCTCTTGCAAACCCTGCGCAAGGAAAAGGAAAACAAAATGCACTTCTACGACATCATTGCCAGGTCAGAGCAAGCGGGGTCTGCCTTGGTGTGTATATGTGTGAGTGTGAGTGCACACGCACGCACGTGTTTGGAATGGGATCTCACTGTGTTGCTCAGGTTGGCCTCAAACTGTTGGGCTCAAGAGATCCTCTGGCCTCAGCCTCCCAAGTAGCTGGGACTACAGGGCTGTGCCATCCTGCCCAGCTCTGCTTTATTGTATTTTAAAATTGTATAAAACTCTTACTAAGGGCTAGGGATTTAGCTCAGTAGCACAAGCACCTGCCTGGCAAGTGCAAGGTTCACTGAGGAGTTCAATCCCCAGTACCAAAAAACAAAAAAACTCTTACCAAGCCAAGTGTAGCAGTACATACCTGGAGTCCCAGCATGCTGTGAGGCTAAGGCAGGAGGCTCAAGGTCAGCCTGGACTGCATAGCTAGACACTGTATAAAAGTAAATAAATGGAAGGGAAGGGAAGGAAAGGAAGCGGGAGGGGAGCTCTTGCTGAAATTCTTTTCTCTAAAGCAAGCCAATTGTGTACTTTCCAAGGAAGATAACTAGACGTCAGAAAAGTAGGTTCTACTCCTGGATTTCCTGGGACAATAATTCAGATTTCTGCAGAACTTAGTTTTCTGCATCTACGGTATGCAGCAAGGATCCACTTGGTATGATGGTGCACACCAGTAATCTCAGAACTCAGGAAGCTGAGGCAGGAGAATTGCCACAAGGTCAAGGTCAGCCCGCACTCCAAACTTGAGACCTTGTCCCAGAAACAACAACAAATGCCACAGCACCTGCTGGCAAGCACGAGGTCCTGAGTTTGATTCCTGGTACAAGAAAAAAAGAATGTTCAGCACAGGCGTGTGGGTATTGCTCAGTAGTTCCATCTGCAGAAAGAAAAGAAGAAAATAAGGGAGGGAAGAGGGAAGGAGGAGACAGGGTTCTTTAGGACAAAGTCTTCTTACGTGGACCCTTCTTTATACCCGTACCTTGGCACCTGCAAGGTTGGTTCCAGGACACCTGGCAGATTCCAAAATGTGCAAACATCCAAGTGCCTTGCAGAACACAGCCTGCCCATCTCTGTATCTAACTTGAGTGGCATCCTGTGTTTGGTGTGGTCACTCCTGGGTCCCTGCTAAGACCTAATACAGCACACGTGCTGTGGGGATGAAGAGGAGAAAGAAGGCGTCCCGTGTTTCTCGTTTGCTTTTCTGTGGCACTTTTCTGAGTGCTGGTATTGAAACCAGGGCCTTTGCACTGCATCTCCAGCTGCTTCTTTTTGTTTTTAAATTTTGAGGCAGGGTCTCACTAATTCACTAAGCTGCCTGGGCTGGCAGGAAGTGTATTTGCCCCACAGCTGGTCGAGTCCCCGGATGTGCAGCCCACAGGCTCCGAGGGCCCCTATATTTGGACATCCAGGTAGATGTGAGGGCTTCTCCTGCAATGCTGTTCTCCGCTTCCTGCCCCCAGGGTCGGTGATAAACTCAGCCCCGCATGAGAGTTGTCATGGGCAAGGCCAGCCTGAACCACATAGCAAGACCCTGTCTCAAAAAGACAAAAATATTTAAGATAGTTACACGACTGACCTCTGAGTTCACTGAAGAGAAAGATTTGTGCAAACACAGATGTCCTGCCCCCTGGGTGAGTGATTGGGGGATGACACATCCTTCTGTGATGTGATGTATGTATCACTGTTGCCCCTGATTGAGGTATTTTGAATTTTCTTTTTCCATTTGAAGCAAAATGGTTTTGAAAATAAAACACAAAGTGCACATAAAGTGAAAAATTAGAGTAATAATTATATATAACACATAACATTGCCAGTTCTATGAAAGAAAAATTATAGTTTGTATTGACTAGAAGGAATTATAGAAAATTTAAACTTGAGATAGTGGGACATGGGCAAATTTTCTTTTACTTTTCTCCTTTTTTGCATTTTCTAAGGTGATCATATACATACATATTACTTATATAAATTATTTTTAAGACAAGGTCTTATATGTAGGATAGTCTTGAACTTGTGGCAATTCTCCTGCTTCAGCCTCCCAAGGGCTGGGATTACAGGTGTGCACCATCACACTTGGCTTGTTTCTTTAAATAAATCTGCACTTGAGGCGCTGCATTTGACAGCTGAACTAAATTGTGTGTTCTTTGTGCTTCATACCCATTTTCTGTGGTGATAGTTTGTTTTGGTGGTGACAATCTCGACTTTTAAGTCCACGCTTCCTAAAAATTCCTGTGTAGCTGGGTGTGGTGGCACACACCTGGAATCCTAGCACTCTGGCGGCTGAGGCAGGAGGATCATCATGAGTTCAAAGAGCTGCCTGGGCTACATAGGGACACCCTGTCTGAAACCACCCTCCCCCTCAAAAAAATCCCTGTATAGATGCAGTTTCATGCCAAATTTTTGGTCATTTTGCTTTTTCTTGTATCGTTTTGGTGCATTGTTTTGTTTTTGAGACAGAGTCTCGCTATGCAGTCTAGGCTGGCCTTGAACTCATGGCAATTCTCCTGCCTCAGCCTTGGGTGTTCTGGGATCACCAGTGTGTGACACCACACCAGGCTAGGCATTTTATTTGTTTTAAACTTAACTAATGGAGTTGCCAGAGAAAGAATTGTGTTCCTCAGGGCAAATAAAGGTCCAGAGTGTAGTTGAGTTCTCGGGCTTTGTGTTGGATGGAACTGTCCTGTTTGTGTGACCTGCGAGCGTGTCAGTCCTGGTCCTGAGAAGCAGATGTGGCAGGGATCATTCATGCCAGGGAGGCCCTGGTGTGGGGAAAGTGGGACGACGAAGTGGCCCCGTGAAGGAGAGGACACGGTGAGTGCGAGACCTCAGGGTGGCTCTGCGAGGTGGTCAGGGCATCCCTGAGTCAGTCACCCACGCCCACAAGACAAGCCCTGGGCGCACCCACCATACCGAGCAGGTGGCTGGATGCAGTCTGGAGGAAGCAAATGTGGCCTCAGAGGTCACCCAGGGGGGCTCTCTGGGCCTGGAGGCTGGGACCTGCCAGCCACGCTCCCGGCAGCTGAGGGTCACTGAGGCCCCTTCTGTGTCCACCATCAGTAAGGTAAGGAGAACGTCCGCTGGCGTATATGATCACTTTAGAAATGGCTGTGCACAGCTGTGATCCCAGCATTCAGGAGGCTGAATGAGGCCAGCCTGGGCTACATAGCAAGACCTTGACTCAAATACATACATACATACATACATACATACATACATACATACATACATACATACATACATACAATTAAATAGGATAATGTAACGTTAGATCACCTCTTGAGGCCGAGGGAGACTATGTAACACTGTTCTGAATGAAAGGGATTCTCCTCCTTCCTCTTCTGTTTTTCTCAGCAACTTCTTCGCGTTTCCTTGGCAGCAAATATTTTAGATGCAACACGGAGAGAAGCCAGGGAAGTCTTGCAGTTGACCTGCACACCAGTGCCCGGCAGGGGTGGCAGGGTGCAGGTGGCCCTGAGCCGCGATCCCGGGCGCCGAACCGGCAGTGGTCGGGGGCCCCGTGCACCCCCGGGCTTGGCAGCCCCACTTCACAGACAAACCCTTCTTTTTTAGGGAGGAAAGTGGACGAAAAATGATAAAAACCCTTCAGAAACAGCTGATCAATGTTAAGAAAGAACGGCAAGCGGAAGTGCAGGTAAGCGCCCCCTGCCGGCAGAAGGGGCCGGGCTGGGGAGGGACGCGGAGCCGCCTCCCCTGCAGGAAGAGCTGCGTGTGGAAGAGCCACGCTTCTCAAGGTGCGGTGTCCACTGCGGAGAGAGGAGCCAGAGAGCAGAGCCCCAGGACCCCAGCTCCCTGGAACTCTCAGTCCATTGTCACCCTCGATTCCGACCCACCCACACCACCACTGTGTGGCCCAGGCTGGCCTCAAACTCATGAAGATCCCCTGCCTCTGCATCCCAGGTGCTAGAGATACAGGGGAAAGAAACTGCCAACCTGCTAGATGTGTTCTTTAAAACTGAAGAATAACTTTAAGGAACAGTAGAGGTTAAGAACAGAATATATTTATAAAGGGAATAAAGTTTCTGTCTGAGAGACAGAAGGGGTCCCAAGTGGGTTGCCAAGCACCCTGCCTTTTCAAGGAATTTTTATAGAGCAAAACCACAAGGTGAGGCAGGTCCAAGGTGGGGAAAAATGAGAAATCACAAGGTTGGCACGAGGTGGCACAAAACTGTGGTCAATCAATAAGATCAGGAGCATAATTGCTCAGGTAATATTGATTAAATAGGGACCCAAAGGGGAAGCAGGTCACACAGCAAGCAGTCAAGAAACACAAGAGGGGCTTTTCCTGGAGGGGGCGGGTCAGCGGCTCTCCCTGGCTTTCCCAAGGTGGTGACATCTATTTAGAACATCACTCACTGCTGCTTCTCCTGAGGGGAAGGATGTGGGTGCCTTGGTTTTGGCTTTTGTCTTGGGGTCTGGCCCTCAGCGGAAGTGTCTGTCTCCCCCACCGCTACAATGAATTCTGTCTCCTACACTGGCTCCTTTGAGGGCCCAGTCCTGTCTGAATGCCTGTAATCTTCTACCTAATTTACAGCACCACCACCCCCAAAGAAACACCCCAAACTGATAATGAGAGAGCAATGGGCGATGACCAATCTGGCTTCTTCAGTCTGCAGGGGGTCGTAGCTGTGATCGGCACAGATCCTTCAAGGGTCTGTCTAAAGGCCTTCTCTAGACACCAGGCATTCACTCATCTTGGGGAGGTGCACAGCTTTCAGTCTGGAGGAGACAACGCCAAAGAAACAATTAAGTATGCATGGGCCGCATAATAAGATGAACAGGATTATTATGAGTACAGTCAACAAAGGTTCCCACTAGGGAAAGTTACTAATAGCTTCCCATAAAGAGGATAAGAAGAAGGTCCAGAGAATTTCAGCGTCTGACATGTCATTAGCTTGTTGTCTAATATCTTGAACAGCTATTGAGATACTAGCAGAAGGATCAGGAGTGTTCACACAACATTCAGATTTTACAATCGCTCCAGTGCCCCCTGTGCGGCTGTTAGAATGTCTAATGCTGTCTGATTTTGGAAGGCAGCTTGTCTAAATAATTTTTTCTTTCTTTCTTTCTTTCTTCTATTCTTTCTTTCTTTCTTTTTAGACAGGATCTCACTATGCGGTTCAGGCTGGCCTTGAGCTCACTTTGTAGCACAGGCTGGTCTCAAACTCACAATGATCCTCCTGCCTCAGCCTCCTGAGTCCTGGGATTACAGGCATGAGCCACCACACCCAGCTGAATAATTTTATTTCTTTAAGAGAGAGAGACCATTTAAGGCCCACTGAGTATAGTTAGGGCCTCAATATTGCCATATAACCTTCTCTCTGCCAGGTCGACCTGGTGGATCCTGGTAAAAGGAGTCTAGCATATTTGTCATTTTTGTTTTGTTTTGTAGTTTTGCTACCAGAAATTGATCTCATGACCTTGTGCTTACCAGGCAGGTGCTGGGTCACTAAGCTATACCGCTGACCCTTGTCATTGGTTTTATCTGTATGATCACTCAGAGTTTGGCAGCCTCTAGGCAAGAATATACAAATTTTTGAGAAATTAGAGCATGTATAGTTAAACCGGAGCAGATAGTAAGTCCAGAAACTGTGCTGAAGGGACTGGCATAACACTGTAACCTTAGACTTCAGACCTCTACTGATGGAGTCTCAAATTTTGTCATAAATTCCTCCAGCATTAACTGTAATTATTTTTAAATTTTTGCTGACTTATGAAAACCAGATTATAATATTACATTATTTTGACCAATGAAAAACTCAAGTTTTCGTACATAGACAATAGTAAGTATTGTATTTGTAAAACCAATCTCAGCATCATTTTGATCAGCTGGCAACCTGGGTATACATAATACATTTGAGTACAATTTAGTTTAGGCAAGTTATTTTTCCTGGTGACTCTCTAAGGTTTGATGGCTAGAAGGCAGGCCAGGGGTGGAGAAGGACAAAGGGACACGGGCCAGTGTCCAGCAATAGGCTGGTTTCCTTTTCCTCCATGGTCGTGATTACCTGGGGCTCTTCTGTGGAGGTGACAGTCCAGCCAGAGGGAGAGGGCAGAGTGTCAGGGCTCTTCAGTCTTGCTGGACCAACTGGTAAGAATGGGTCTAAACTCTGGGGCCTTCACCTCAGAGGCAGCCTGACCTCCAGGGGTCATCTCTGCAGTTAAGGCATGGTGCAGGGTCTTCTGAGGACAGTTCCTCTAAAGTGGCCTGGCTTCGGGTGGTGGTGGCATGTGAGTGTAGTCACCGAGCCTTGAGAATCAGACTTAGGTTCTGTTTCTTTAAAGGGTGCAACAAAAGCAGCTGCTTTTGGCTGCTGTCTCTTTGGCTTCTTCCTCATCTCCTTTATAAAGTTCTGAGGAGGGGGTTTAGTTCAGGGGCATAAGTGCCTACAGGGCAAGCGCAAGGTTGTGAGTTTGATCCCCGGTACCCCCTCCAAAAAAAAAAGGTAATGTGCGAAAATTCTGAGGAGGCAGTTCATACTCGAGTACCAAGTATGGAGCAAAATTATTTTTCGTGATTTTTTTCTTTTCTTTTTTCTTCTTAAAAATCTTTTTGGGACTCTCACTATGCAGTTCTGGCTGGCATTAAGCTTACTTTGTAGCCCAGGCTGGCCTTGATTTTGTAGTGGTCTTCCTGCTTCAGCTTCCCAAGGACTGGGATAACAAACATGCTTGTAACTTTTTCTTAACATCTGGAGCTGACTGGGTACTAAACATGTCTTTAAGCATAATCTGTTCTTCTGTTCAGTCAGGACCCGTGGACATATGTTTAGTCAATGCCTCTGGCAAATGATCTAAGAAGGCAGAGGTGTACTCTTTTTTTTCTCATTGAATAGTTGCCAATTTAAAATAATTGAAGGGCTTAGTTCTTGTTCTTCTTCAACCTTCAAGAACACATGCCTGGCACGCACCTGTAATCCCAGCATTTGGAGGCTGAGGCAGAAGGATTGTTGTGAATTTGAGACCAGCCTGGGCTACAAAGTGAGCTCAAGATCAGCCTGAACTGCATAGCAAGACCCTGTCTCAAAAACACACACACAAGGGGGCTGGGGATTTAGCTCAGCAGCATAAGCACCTGCCTTGCAAGCAGGCAGTCATGAGTTCAATCCCCGGTACCCATAAAAACGAAAAAGACAGGAAAAAAAGAAAAAAAACCACACACACACACACACACACACACACACACACACACACACAAGCCATGCCTGGAGATGTCTCTTGCTCCAGTCCTCCATCTGACTGTTGGGTAGCAGGGGTCCTGGGTGGTGGCTGCTTGGGCTCTGGTGGGAACTGGTTGTCCCCCTGACTGTGTTATCTCCTAGTCTTCTAAAATTCACACTATGATATTTGTCCCCAAATATAATAGCAGCTTGTAATGCTGCTTGTCTCGCATCAGAAGTCAAGGTTGGATTTAAGAGTAACATTACATCTTTCCAGGACTCACTCAGTCTGAGTGGGTCCTCCAAAGACCTCAGTGTACTTAGCAGGGTTCTCTGAAAACCTTCCCAGATCTCACTTGATCTGCTTCAGGTCACTGAGAGAAAAAGATAGATGAATTTAGGTATTCCCAAATTTCCCATTTACTTCCAGTAAAGGATGCTGTCCTCGAGGAGCCTGCATAAAGATGGACACAGCCCAGTAGAGATTGGCCTTATAGCTGGTCTAGAAGCACCATCCTCAGGACCAGAAGGGCAAGTACAGGAAGCCTCAGACTCAGTAACAGCGGGCGAGGCTTTGATTAAGGCTCTTAGAAACCTTGTTCTGGGGTTCCCAGGTGGGGAGGAGCAGTCACAGGCTCAGGGACAGTGGATGCCTTACGGGCCTCAGGTGTCTGGTTTTCCTGTGGCTCATATTTACATTCTGAACACAAATAAGGGCTGTTTCTTAGTGCAAAGAAAGTCTGAACGTAAGGCAATTCTGACCGTTTCTCTCATTTTTACGCAGTCTAGCTGTAAAATAGCATTATAATTAGTATTTGCCACAGCATTCCATTTCAGCTCTAGAGGGTACATATGCCACATGCATGTGCAAAAAAATATCAAACGGCTTTTTTTCAACACATGGGGGCCGAACATCTCCCCGTGCCTAAGAATGCTGGGGATTTAGCTCAGCGGCATAAGCCCCTGCCTTGCAAGCAGGCAGTCGAGGGTTCAATCCCTGGTACCAATAAAAAGGAAAAAGAGAAAAAAAAAATGCATTTCACAGGAGTAAGAGTGACACTGAGGCCCTGGTCTATAATGCAGAAGGAAACAATTTGGGCGTCCTCTTTGATTTCTATTTGAGTTTTATACCCTCACGGCATTCCTTGAGTAGATTCCGGTCCAGGGCAGGCGGATGCTGCCTGGAGAGACCAAAAGACAAAATCCCACCCGCCTATTCACCCTCACACTGCGCAGCAGTGTCATCTTCCCAGGGAGCTTGTGAACTTAATCCTGGGTGACACCTAGCAACACAAGTTACAGTCGGTCCCAGTCATGGTTAAAGAAGGGGTAGGGAGCTGTTACAGCTGGAGATTGATCACACATGTGGAGCTAAAGCAAGGCCAGCCCTGAAAACACAGAGAGCCCAAAGCAAGCCATGCAAACAAGTTGTTCCAGCTCCAAAAAGGCAAGGGGCCTGGGCCAGCCAGGCAAACCAGTTGCTAGGCAGAGGGGTTGAAACTGACGTCCTCCTCCCGAGTGTAGGAATAAACCTGCTACAGTAGCTGAGCAGTCTCCACCCGACCTCAGCTTTTGCGTCTTTTCTCTTTATTATTATTAGTCTTTTTTCTTTATTCTCTCATCCCCTCTTTGTCCTCCCCCCAGAAACATTTACAGCTATAGCAGTCACTGCAAGATGGAAGCATTGCTTAGCATTAAACTATTGCTTTCTTGTTGTTCTCTGAGAGAGGACACTTACCAAAGAGCGAGTTGGCAGTAGCTGGTGGCCTCTCAGACTGCAAAGGAGGTCGCTGTAGAGCTAGACAGAAGCAACTACTTGCTTGAGGAATTCTGCCCCGGGCCCTAGGCAGAGACACAGACATGTGTGTTACCTATCTCATTACCTAGGCAACCTTTCCTAGCAGCAGGACAAGGCTATGCTTTATTTATATCTTTGAAGCTTACAGGTTAAACTTATATTTATCATCTAGCAATCACAATTTACATGGTAGTAAAGGCACATTATTAGTCTTTTAGGTACACATGAAAGAAAGGGCTAAAATCTCTTCCTTACTGTTAGCATAATAAGATCCAAATGTAAATTGTTCCCCTCATAGCTGCTGTAAAACTCAGGCAATTGTTGCAAGCTGCCTCAGCCTGATGTTTGGAGGGAGAAGAAGTCTAAGGACAAAGAGGTATTAAAGTAAACTCAAAAGCTTAGGGAGAATTTCTAGGTCAACAGCAGAGAGATGAGAGGCATGATGCATAAGTGGAGAGTTTTCTGTGGTTGAGAGCCAGTTTCCACTTAGGGGCCTTTGAGTGTCCACCAGAGAGCAGCGTGGCCATGACCCCTCAGTTGCTCTCAGTTTCTGTTGGTCGGCACAATCAGAGCTCTGTCTCCAGAAAGGATCCAGCCGCCTGTCTGGTCAACATTCCATTGCCCATTGGCTTCAATGGGACTCACCAGAAGATGCTGGGGAAATCTGTCCTCTGCTTTACGAGTGGCAGCTGCTCTGAGAGTGTTTACCTAGCCAGCAGGATGACCAGTGTTTGTCAAAGTTCTGTAAGGGATAGGTAAAAGCCAAGCAAGATCATTACCTAAAGCTTTATAAGTTTATAACAAAGATGTCAAAGTCCACAGCTTCTTATCAAAGTATTTTTCTCCTATACACGTATATGATAACTAGACCTAGGAAGGAAGAGGGAAGGTTGGAGATCCTCCCTTAGGCTAAATGTGTTTGGTCCCATAAGTGTGGTGCCTTGGAAATAGCTCCTTCTGGTTTCACCCAGAAGTCAGTTCTTTCCACCGTGTCTCAGGTTCAGCCTCCTGAAGGAGACCGTTGTCCAGAACACTGAACCAGGACCTGGGTTTTATGTGTGTTCTCCTGGATGGGCAAAATTTTGATGTCTCATCTGACCCAGAGACTGGGTATGTGTCCTTCATCTGAGATGACTTCTCTGTCTTCAGCATTAGCAAATGTTCATTTTCTATGGGCTTCACTTAGTTGTTGAATAGGAGAAAAAGGTTTGGAACAGTGTAGAGTTCTTTTCTCTTTCCCCTTACACACCTTCTCCAAAAAAGGAAAGTACAAATTGGAGGGAAAAAGGTCTGAGAAAGGAAATCTTTTTATTGGTACCGGGGATCAAACTCACGACCGCCTGCTTGCAAGACAGGTGCTTATGCCGCTGAGCTAAATCCCCAGCCCCAAGAAAGGAAATCTTCTCACACTTACTGAGGTGTAGATACAGTCTACCTCTGCCTCTAAGTCGTCATTTCAGCCTAGAAGTGGGAGAACGGGGAATCTCAGAGCTAAGACTGTCTCCTCTGCAGCAGAAGAGCGGACCAGGAAGGAAACCGGGGCAGGCCAGGCTCACATTTCCTCTAGAGTGTAGAGAAGGATCAGAGCCAGTCTGTTCCAGTGAAACCTGTCCTCCAGGTCTTAGGAATGCCACCAACCTAGTGTCTCTGAACTGGTGGAAGGAGTCCCATGTTTTATTATATAGGCATGTATGCATTTTTCTAAGACTGAGCTAGATTTTATTTTAAAAGATCCATTTTAGAGAAGTTTATATTAAAGTCCACTAGGGAGAGCTCTAACATTACTCTTTCTAGTGCTATTGTGTAAAGTGAAGCAAGGAACACTAGTAAATTCAATAACTTGAATGCAGCATACACAAAACAGGAATAAAAATGTCCCATTAAAAAAGCATCATAGGGGGCTGGAGATTTAGCTCAGCGGCATAAGCGCCTGCCTTGCAAGTATGCAGTTGTGAGTTTGATCCCCGATACCGATAAAAATGAAAAAGACAAAAAAAAAAGCATCCTAGAAACTGGGCATGGTGGTGCACACCTGTAATCACAGCACTCGGGAAGCTGAGGCGGCAAAAGAATTACTGCAAGTCTGAGGCCTGTCTGGGCTACATGGTGAATGTAAGGCCGGCCTGAACTGCAGAGTGAAACCCTCTCTCAAAAAACAAAACAAAAAAGCATCGTAACCTTATAACCTTCCCATGTTTTTAACTTAAATTTGTCATCATTTTAACAAAACTATGTAAGAAACACAGCGTGAGGAATTATAAGCAATGGGTAAAGACATATCAAAATTTGAAATGCAATATTTTTACCTAAATGAGTCCCAATTGGAGTGTATGAAACAAAGGCAAACTTCTACCTCTGTCCTATGATCTTGGTGGATTGATATGGGGGACAGACACCCCCAGCCTGCCAGGTGTCTGATATGAGTTCATGACCGCTAAAATCGAAAAATGAATTTTAGGAACAACAGAGGTTAAGAACAGAGTATGTTTATTAGGAAAGAGCTTCTGTCTGACAAAGAAAGACAGAAGGGGTCCAGAATGGATTGCCAAGCACCCTGCCTTTTCAAGGAATTTTTATAGAGCAAAACCACAAGGTGAGGCAGGTCCAAGGTGGGGAAAAATGAGAAATCACAAGGTTGGCACGAGGTGGCACAAAACTGTGGTCAATCAATAAGATCAGGAGCATAATTGCTCAGGTAATATTGATTAAATAGGGACCCAAAGGGGAAGCAGGTCACACAGCAAGCAGTCAAGAAACACAAGAGGGGCTTTTCCTGGAGGGGGCGGGTCAGCGGCTCTCCCTGGCTTTCCCAAGGTGGTGACATCTATTTAGAACATCACTCACTGCTGCTTCTCCTGAGGGGAAGGATGTGGGTGCCTTGGTTTTGGCTTTTGTCTTGGGGTCTGGCCCTCAGCGGAAGTGTCTGTCTCCCCCACCGCTACAGTGAATTCTGTCTCCTGCACTGCTCTGTCTGATTGCCAGTAGTATTTCTACCTTGCTTAGCTGCCTGTAACACTAGCACTCCAAGGCTCACCTGCCTTTCGTGGGTTTTTAATGGCCTGTCATCCGAGTCTCACAGTGCTGACCACGTTACCCTAAAACACGGTGCACAGTGGGCCGCATCCTCTGATTACTGCAGGCGCTGGCCCTGAGCAGTGTTTATGCAGCCGGGCTGCTGCCCCGCATGGTTGGGCATCTGCACCACTGAGTGCGGTGCGGGCGGCACTGAGAGGATCATCCATTCTCCAAGGCAGCAAGGGGCGTGGCATTTACTAGGAAAGAAAGAAGAGAATTGCTGTCGTGCTCCCTGGGAGGGGCACAGCGCACAGAAAGATGAAAGCAAGGTGGGGCTAGGCCTAGGAAGGGAGGTCAGGCAGCTCAGGTTGATTTGGGGCTCCTGTGGATGCAGTGTCCTTAGGTACTGGTGGGCAAAAGGATTAATTTCATATACAGCCGTACCTGTGCCAATGGCTTTTGTCACTTCAGTAGATTACGCCCATTCTCCTCTTGTCATCTGTGACGGTTGATACATTGTCTCTACTTGAGCAGTTTAGAAGTTTAAATGAGAGACTCAGCAGGCAGCCAGGGTTCTTACTTTGTAAATATCGTCACCCTGTGCAAGAGGAGGGCAGGGAGATTCGTGAGTGTTAACTGGCCCTAGTGGAGCAGAGCACCTTGCTTACAGCCTACGGGAGGAGAGAGGCTCGCTCTGCCCTCTTTTGCTCTGGCGGCTTTTACTGTCTTCTGCCACCTTCAAGTGTGGCCTCAGTGCCAGGCCACCTGCCTTGGAGCCAGCTGATTATGGAGTGAAACCTCCACAAACTCTGAGCTAAATAAACCCTCCCTCCCTTAATTTTGAGTGTCAAGTGTTTTGTCTCAGCAATGAGAGAAAAGTAACAGAGACACCATCCAACCAGAGTGGCAAGTGGAGTGTGAGACCTAATGCAGCTTCTCTGGAGAGTAACCCCAACCCCAGAGCGGCACTGTCTTTCCTCTGCACTCCGTAAGGAAACTGAGCCTACAAGAGGTGCCCATGGCTTGCATCCCCATGCCAGTCCTCAGAGCATTTTGAGCTACAGCTGATGATTTCTTTTCACTACTAAACCATGCTTCTCTGAGTTCAAATAAGTCTAGGAAATGCAGTGTGAAGCCGTTTTGGAGCTTGGGAGTAAAGTTGGGTCTGCCATGAAAACCCACAGATATACCACACCCGCCCTCGGACTCTGTCTGTGGACAGGGCTGCAGGCTGTGGGCAGCTGAGATTAGAGGCCTGGCAGAGGCAAAGCTTTTCTCCCTGAAAGTCTTCTGTTTGTTTTTGTTTTTATTTTTTGAGACAGGGTTTCACTATGTACTAGCCTCAGCTTCCTGAGGGCTGGGATTGCAGGTGTGCGCCCCCACAATCAGCATCAGTGAACATATTAAAAGGAATTCATGCAGCCCACACCTTATCCTAGACCTGCTGCTTCTGGTTTGCATCTTGTTGCTCAGGGGACAGGAGAAAATGACTGGCACTTCAGTTTGCTTGACTGTGATGCCAGGCTCATGACATTTCCATGGCTCGCTGCTCCGTATTTTGTCTTCCTCTCTTTTTCCACAGTCACCATGGAGGCTGTGACGACGCCTGTGCAGAACTGGAGCCCAACGCAGCACCATTAACACCAGAGCCTGCAGGGTGGCACAGTCAGGTGATGGGAACTGGCACAGTCACGGACCATGACGCTGTCAGCTTCCCACAGGCAGAAACCAGGAGCTCTAACTGTGCTTCTGATCTTCATGTTGCTTTGGAAGACTTAATATTCAATTTAGTTAAAACAACAACAACAAAAAAGCTGGTGGGCTGGGCATGACTTAGTGGTACAGTGCCTGCCTGGCAAGTGTGAGACCCTGAGTTTGATTCCCAGTACCAAAAAAAAAAAAAAAAATTGACCAAAGTATGCTTTTGGATTTTGAAAGCATAGTTTCATATAGACATTATTTAATGAACACAGTACTACCCAATGCTCTCAGACTTTGTGAAAAGCAAAACTGTATTGATGTGGGCTTCAGTTTTCTGGAAAAGCCTGTGTGTGTGTGTGTGTGTGTGTGTGTGTGTGTGTGTGACAGGGACTAACACAGCACCTCGAACTTGCTAAACAGGTGCTCCCCATGAATTTTGTTCCTGCTTCTGGGAAAGGGGCTTTGTTTTTAAGGGATTGTAAAGTGGACCTTAAGAAGGATTAGACAGGTAAAAGAATTCACACTAATGAAGAAATGAAGCCATATTTTACTTTAGAGCTCGGCGGGGTGATGCACACCTGTAATCCCAGCACTCAGGAGGCTGAAGCAGGAGGATTGTCACAAATTTGAGACCAGTCTGGACCACACAGTGAGTTGGAGGCCAGCCTGGATTTTATAGCAAGACCAGTCTCAAAAACCAACCAAACCAACAAACCCTCCATATTTTCACTTTAACATGAGTTTTCTTAGATAGCCAGATCTTGTCACTGAGTGTCATATAATCTGGAAACACTTTGGAGATGGAAGGAGAAGTACAGTGAGGAGAGAGGAGAAGAGAAAGGGGTGGAGAAGGTGAACATGGAGACAAGGAACAGCAAAGTGCTGATGCTAAGCAGGCTGAGAAGAGCCTGGCCCGGGAGGGAGGGAGCCTAGTGCCTGGCAGGGCCGCTCCCCGCTCCCCTCCTGTCCCCTCTCCTCCTCCTTCCCTCTCCTCTCCCAGTGAGCAGCAGGACAGACACTGAGGCTTCCATTCTGCAGGAAGGAGAACTTGGAGAGTGGAGCACTGTGCCTGTAAAAGAACTTCAGTCTTGACTCTTATTTTATCTTTTATTTCTTGAGACAGGGTCCTGCTATGTAGCCCAGGCTGGCCTAGAACTCATTATGTAGCCTAGTGTGGCTTCAAACTCATAGCCATCCTCCTGCTTGGGTAAGCTTCCCCTCGCCTGACAGCATTCGCTTTCGGTTCACACATTAGGAAGTGAAGCCGAAGCCACGGACCAGACCCCACAGAGGCAGACGGTGACTCCTTTTAGAAACTCGGTCTTGTTTCCGCAGAGCCGAAACGAATATATTGCCCACCTCAAGGACCAGCTGCAAGAGATGAAGGCCAAAACCAACCTGGAGAATCACTACATGAAGCGGAACACGGAGCTGCAGGTCGCCCAGACCCAGAGGAAGTGCAACCGCACCGAGGAGCTCTTGCTGGAGGAGATCGAGGTAGCGCCTGCTGTGGGGTGGCGGTTCCGCACCAACCCCAAAGGGGAAAAAGCAAGCCCGGGGCGAGCAGGCCTGATAGCGCACACCCTCAGCCAGCAGCGGGGAGGGGGCTGTCAGCCCCCAACGCTGGGGGCCGAAAATGAAAGATGAGTCCTCAGTGTTAGGAAGCGGAGACTGGCACGCAAGCCCGTGTCGCCTGCTGTGGCCAGAACGGCAGCCTGGATTGGAGGCAGCTTTGTTTTACATAGTGGGTGCTGATGGGGCTCATTCCCAAAACAGCAGGTCGCTCGCGAAGGCTCAGGGAGGGAGGTTTCAGGGTCTGTAAAGGGAAGGAAGTTCAGCGGCAGAGCACTGGCTGGCTGTGATTTGCTCCCAAACTGCATAGTGACCAGCTGTGCATCACTTCTAAGAAACAAAATGACAGAAACTGTAACTAGAACTGTTACCAGGGCAACAAAAGAACCAAGTATGTTGGCTGGCAGGGGGTGCGGGTGGGGTGGATTTTCTGCTACAACTTAATTTGGCAGGGCTTGGGGGAGGGACATGGGGTCACCCTACGTTGCCCAGGCTGGCCTTAAACTCCTGGTCTCAGGTGGTCCTCCTGACTCAGCCTCCCTAGGTGGGACCACAGCCTGGCTGATGACCTTTACCTTTTCCTTCTCCTCTTTCTCCCCTTCCTCCCTCTTTCCTCCTCCCCATCTTTTCTCATTGTGGTATAGGAATTGAATCCAGGGGGTTGAGCTCCACTCCCAACCCTTATTTTATTTCTTTTTTTTTTTTTTTTTTTTTTTGGTCTTTTTTCATTTTTATCGGTACCGGGATCGAACTCACGACCGCCTGCTTGCAAGGCAGGTACTTTTGCCACTGAGCTAAACCCCCAGCCCCCCCCCCCTTATTTTATTTCTGTTTTTTGAGACAGAGTCTCCTTAAGTAGCCCAGGCTGACTTGGAACTCACAGCGATCCTCCTGCCTCAGCCTCTTGAGTGTTGGGATTACAGGCACATGCCACTATGCCCAGCTCTTTCTTCCTGTTCCCGGATACAGGGTGACCATGGGGGCTCAGACAAGCATCTTTCTTGCTGATGCTCACCCCACACTGAGGCACCTCGCACTCCTGCAGGAAGGAACTGGAGATCTGAGACAATGTGCTCTACGCAGCCCTGAACTCAGGGAGCAGAGAAGTCAAGGGACACTCTCCAGGCAAAGAAAGAAGGGGTGGCCCTCATGAGAGAACCCCAAGTGACAAGAGGGACAGCCAGCAGGCTGGGGTGGGCATGGCCATTGGCAGGGGCATCGGAGGTGGCAGCTCACTTCCCAGCGGGCAGCTCCCGATGACTTGCATCTCTCGCACTCTGGAAGGACACTGGTCCTTGTCTCTGTAGCACCGGTGACTGTGGGTGCACTGGATGCCACCCCAGAGCGATGCCTCCTTCTTGGTCCCTCTGACGCCAAGCCTCCACCTGTCACGCGCCAGCTTCGGTGCCCAGCCCTGGCCATGCAGATCCTGGCATTGATCCTTATTCTTCCAGAAACTGAGGATGAAGACTGAGGAGGAGAACCGGATCCACGTGGAGATTGAGATGTTCCTCAAGAAAGAGCAGCAGGTAAGGCACAGAGCTCTTTTGTCTTTTTCATTTTTCTCGGTACTGGGGATCGAACTCATGACTGCCTGCTTGCAAGGCAGGTACTTAAGGCACAGAGCTCTTGTATCCTGATTTTTAAGAAATTCCACACACAAATGCTGAGGGACGCAAAGGCTTTGGGTAAAGGAAAGAAGGCTCAGCCACAATCCCAGCAGCCTGACGAATGCATGCAGGCCATGTGTTCTGACTGTTACTCATCCGAATAAATTGTTTTGGAGAGGGAGGTGTTTTTTGAGAGGGGGGCTCACTTTGTAGTGCAGGATAAACTCACTGCAAGGCCCAGGCCTGGAACTCATGGTGATCCTCTTGCCTCAGCCTCCCGAGTGCTGGGCTTACAAGCATGAGCCACCAAGCCTGGATTGTGGTTTTGTTTTTTTAAGAGGCTTTTGGGGTTTTTTCCTCTTTTTTTGTACCAGGAATTGAACTCAGGGCCTCACACTTGCCAGGCCGGCTCTGTGCCGCTGAGCTACCTCCCCAGCCCACATCCTTCTTTTTTCTTTTAACCAGACGACAGCTGGGTTTTACTAGGTCACAACGTGTCGGGGTAGCAAAGCTCTGTGCGGCAGTGTCATTAACTCTGAAACAAGTGCCACTGAGTGCCCCAGCCAGACCCTCCTGGCAGGTACTAGAATGGAAAAGCAGCAGCTGGCGGGTTGACAGCAGCCCCTGCACGTCCTCGAGCGTCCCCTATGGACAGAGCCAGGACTTTCCAGCAAGCATTAGATTTCACTAAGGCAGGGAACAGTGAATTCGGAGCAGGAAATCGATATCGACACGAATGAGGACTTTTTCCCCATTTATCTTCAAGTATAAGGTTTACTCTGTAGGCTTGAAGGTTTGCTGGGACAGCGTCTCCTTATGTAGTTCAGGCTGCTTGGAAGTCACCCTGTCGCCCAGGCTGGATTCTAACACATGGTGAACCTCCTGCCTCGGCATACCGAGGACCAGCATGCCCGACCAGGGTTTCTTTTTTTTAAAGTCAATAAATACTCAGTTTTTTTTTTTTTTCATTTTTATCGGTACCAGGGATCGAACTCACGACTGCCTGCTTGCAAGGCAGGTGCTTATGCCGCTGAGCTAAATCCCCAGCCCCTTAAATACTCAGTTTTATGCGATGGATTTTTTTCATCCATTGAGATACATTTTCTCCTCCTTTAATATGCTAACAGAGTAAAACTCATTAATATATTTGTTGATCTTGAGTCATCTTTAAATTATTGAGATGAATACAGCTTGATTATACTGTATCAGTCTTTTTAGAAGCTGCTAGAATTGATTTACACTTTTCACTTTTTTCATAAGCAATATAACCTATAGATTTTATCCTAACTCTGATTTCAGATTTGTTAGTGTAAGGCTGTGCTCTATAGTGTTACAATTTGAAATTTTCCTTTATTTCTGCAGTCTTTTTTTTTTTTTAAGACAGGTTCTTACTGTGCAGCTCAACCTGGCCTTGAACTCAGTGAGGCCCAGACTGGCTTTCAACTCACTGAGATCCTCCTGCCTCAGCCTCCTCAGAGTGCTGGGATCACAGGTGGGGCGTGGGTAGCCTAGGGAACATTTTCACATACACCCCCATGCAGCCGCCCCCACAAAGTACTGAGAACACCCATGTGCCTCAGAGGAGGTCTCACCCACTCAGAGTCGGTGACCCCAGCCCAGATACCACTGCTCTGCCTGCTGTCACTGCTGGGAAGTCTCGCTTGTCTTTGAGCCTGGTATAAATGGAACCAGAGGGCAGATGTTGCTTGTGTCTGGAGGATGTTTCCATGTTCTTTGGAACAGAGACTTGAGGAGAAGCTAGAGTTCTGGATGGAAAAATTCGACAAGGACACGGAAATGAAGCAGAACAAGCTGAATGCTCTCAAGGCCACCAAGGCCAGTGACCTGGCTCACCTGCAGGACCTGGCGAAGACGGTGAGGGGGGAGGTGCTCCGAGGGAGGGCTGCCCCAGGCCTGGCTGATGGTGACAGCCATGGGGACTAGAGGAGCGGATCCCAGTCACCTTACCCCATCCCAAGCTTTTCTAGGATTTTAAATTAGCTTTAAAACCTCATGACTCCTTCAGACACTCTGCTATCGTTTCCACTCCTGGTCTCTGAAGACAACATGTAGGCAATGTCTTTGTTTTTGAGACAGGCCTCACTTTGCAGTTCAAGCTAGCCCCTTACTTGTGGCAATCCCCCTGCTTCAGCCTCCCCAGTGCTGGGATTACAGTTGTGCATCCTGGTTTATGAATAATGATTTCCAGAGCTTCTGAGTATGGCTTCACCACTGGATGAGCGTGGGACTGCCTAAGCGTTCTTTTTTTGTTTTTGTTTTTTGAGAGTCTCACTATGTAGCTCAGGCTGGCCTTGAACTCATGGCGATCCTCCCGCTTCAGTCTTCTGAGGGCTGGGACTACAGGTGTGTGCCACCAGGCATCACTGAATGAATGTGGAACTGCCTAAGGTTCTCTCTTTAAAGACGGTTATTGGGGGGTGTGCATTCTACCAAAGTTCACAAAGCTCACACTATGCTGAGGTAAAGGATCATACACTGAGTTAGGATGAAAGGTTTTAAATCTTAGATTTGAATTACACTGAACAAACTGGGGATATTATAAAGTTAACGTAACTATACTTCAGTAATACCTTACCATAGTTTACGTCTGGATTTAGCATGTTTTATTTTAAAACTTTGTATTTAAAGTGCAAGGCTAGACAGGCCATAGTTTAGCCAAGGAAGTCTGGTGACAGGATCATTGTCTGCTTTTGCAGATACGGGAGTACGAGCAGGTCATCATTGAAGATCGGATAGAAAAGGAGAAGACCAGGAAGAAGATAAAACAGGATGTGCTGGAACTGAAAAGTGCCATCAAGGTAGAGAGCTGTACCTGGCGGCGTCCTGGGGCCCCCGGGTCATAGCTGCTTTGTTGCCAAGAGATACAGCTTTTCTCATCCATTATCAAAGACAGGGGCTGTCTGAGTGGACTATGGTGGTGCACATCTGTAATTACAGCACTTGGGAAGCTGAGGCAGGAGAATCACTGAAAACTGGAAGCTAGCACAAACTACATAGCAAGACCCTGTCTTAAAACCCAAACACAAAACCAAAATAGCACACGGCCCTTTGCCATGGAGCAAACCAGCATGCAGGTGTGGCCTTTTGTTCTGTTGAACTTTCCCACAGGTACACAGTGCAGAGGCAGCTGGGAGCAAAACCCAGAGCCAAAGAAAACCACCTCTGACCCAAACCCACTCTCCGCAGTGTCCCTGAGTACCCTGCACTTAAAACCCTGCTTCTGTGCTCGCCCAGGTGGCCACTAAGGGCGGTGTGAGGTACTTTCCAAAAAACTGAGGGGTCAAGCAGTTGGTAGCAAAGGAGATGTTTGAGCTTTCTGCGAACTCACCTTTTTCGGAGAGATGAAACTAGCAGGTCACACATTTTTGGGAAAAAAAAAAATTTTTTTTTTGTTCCCAGGGATCAAACTCATGACTGAGCACTTGAAGGTGGGTGCTCATGCTGCTGAGCTAAATCCCCAGCCCAGGAAATGTTTTAAACTAAAACTGTAATACAAAAATACTATCCAGGCTCAAGCTGCCACCTGGAAACCCGCCCTGTCAAGGGGGGCCTCTGCAGAGATCCCAGGTGACAAACTACTGTTTGCATTGTAGATGAGGGTGTAGACTAAAAAAAGGAGTCCCCCCCCCACACACACTTTTTCTTGGTCTTTTTGAGATGGTTTTGTTATGCAGTTCATGCTGGCCCTGAACTATGTCACTCAAGGTGACCTCTAACTTGCAGCGATCCTCCTGCCTCAGCCTCCTGAGTGCTGGGATTACAGGTATGTGCCACTAAGTCCACTCCTTACATTTCATATAGTATATATTTTGTTATTTTATACTAATACATTCTCATATTACAAAGACAATTTAGTGGGAGAATCTTTCCCAAAAAAAGGGAGCTTTGACGTCAACTGTGGACCAGGTATCTTAATTAGCAGACAGATGTTAACAAGTATTTCTCAAGCCTCCATCTTCTCCATTTGTCATTCTTTGAGTGAGGGCCACAATCCAAGAGCTGGCTGGTCTGCTTTATTTTCATTGGTGGAGCTGTTCTAGTCCTTTCGGCTTAAGACAACTGTCAGGTAGCCTTGTCATATTCCTAAGGAGGAAAATAATCAAGGCGTTCTTTAAATTTTTTTGTTTTGCTTCGGCCAGCCTTGACCTCACAATGTAGCTTAGGCATGCCTTGAACTCAAGGAAACCCTCAGGCCTCAGCCTCTGTGTGCTCAAATTATAGGCATGCATCACCATGCCTGGCCTTTAAATCCTTTTTTTTTTTTTTTTTTTCTGGAACCAGGAATCAAACTCAGGACTTTCTGTTTGCCAGGCATCATGCCACTGAGCTACGTCCCTCACCCTAAATCCTGTGTTTGACAGTAAGATTTGGTCAATTACTAAAGATAAGAAACAGACTAGGCAGCCGGGTGAGGCTATGCAACTGATCCAGTAACTGACTCTCTGGACCTTCCTGGAGGCAGAGTTCAAGGAAGTCAGGGTTCTGAGCAGGAAGGAAAACCAGCCTTGTTGGATTCTTTCCAGGTCATGCACACAGGGAAAGTCACTGTAGTGACAGTGGCCTGGCCACTTTGATGTCCAAGGCTCTTGGGGGAAGGGAAGTGGCACGGCAGGCACCCGCTAAGTGGCACTAACTTCCCCTTCCCCTTCCAGCTGCAGGCCTGGTGGCGGGGCACCGTGGTACGGAAGGAAATCGGAGGCTTCAAAATGCCTAAGAAGGAGATGGAGGATAGTAAGGATATGAAAGGGAAAGGCATGGACAAACAAAAACGAAGAGGCAAGAAGTGACCTGGTCACCACTGTCCCTGCCTCTGGAATCCTGGGGACTGGGAGCATCCCAGGGAACTCGTCGTGCATTACTGATCTGGACATTACCAGGCTGAGCCTGGCAATCTGAATTAGGATTCTACCAAGGCTTTAGGGTTTCTTCATGCACTGGAGTTTGCTTGGAAGAAATATTTCTAGTAGCCTGTTCCTCTTGCTTTCTTACCAGGAAAAAAATAAATAAGAGTTCCTGGGCTTTGGTGTAGTGATGATGCACTTAAACTTCAGTAATTCCTGTGTGTTTGATTCTGATTAGTCTGAAGTGAGAACCTTACGCGCAAAAGTGAGTTACTCAGTAGGAATTGTAAGGTTCAATGTTAATAAAACAATAAATTTTAACAAACACTGGTTCATGCCTTAACAGAATATCCATAAACTGGGGCTGGGGGTTTAGCTTAGCAGCATAAGCACCTGCCTTGCAAGCAGGCGGTCGTGAGTTTGATCCCCGGTACTAGAAAAAAGGAAAAAAAAAAAAAAAAAAAAAAAGAAAAGAAAATCCATAAACTGCTTCAGTAAATCCTGGGAGATCCTGGGAGAATGTGGGGATGTAAATTATAGACAAGCTAGAAATGGGACGTTAGGATCCATGGCGCACATGTGATGGTGACATGCAGGTGCTCTGGAAGGCTATCTTGGAGATTTTCTTTTTTGAAACAGGATCTTTCTATGTCGGTTAGGCTTGCGACAATCCACCTGCTTCAACCTCCCAAGTGTGACATTATAATCATGTGCCACCAATGTGGGTTAAAATCGGGGGATGTTTTTGACAAGACACAGCTATCCCATCTTGGGGGACAGTAAGGCTGGAAGAGGGCAGGCACTCAAAAACATTTCCCAGTGCCAGCCAGGTATATGTTACAGTTGTGCCATTCCCCTCTTCCCTCACAGAACAATGATCCCACCAGGCCATGCTTGCAGCACAGTGCCTGCCTGGCAATCCTGAGGTCATGAGTTCGAGCCCTAACGCTTTCTCTATACCACAGCGGAAAACTCCGGAGAGAAAAGCTGTCCTACAGTGTCACGTGTATTTTATGAATTAAGCCCTCTATACAACTTCAGTTACAGCACAATCTCGTTATCCGTTCTTCCTTAAAGGAAACTGTAGTCTCAAGGGGCTGTGCAGTAAAATGACAGTGGTATCCACTGGTGGTCCTCCAGGAAGCGAAGATGCCCCATCCCTGGTTGCTTTGCTAGGGTAACTGCTTTAGGAATGAACATTTTCACACTCATTACATGCTACTTAGGTGTTGGCTTTATTTGCATGTCAAAGTGTAAGGTGGCATACAGGCAATTTAAAATAACGTACATGGTATTGACATATTTATACTTAAACTTATGCAGTATATTTACAGACACATACAATATAAGACAGTGTTTTACAAAATGTTTTACTAATTACATGTTTATAACTTTCAGAATAAAACTCATCTGCTGTAAACCTGCTCACTGTAATGTATAAATAAAAAGGGCTCCTACTACCCAAGTTCTCCTTCATTTCCAGATCCACCTAAACACTTAAGTTTTCAAATTCATCAGCTTCGTCAGCACAGTCCCACATCATTAGCTGCTGCTGACTGCAGGAGGCACAAGAAATTACAGACCTGGGAGAGGCGGTGGGGCGCTGTAAGCAGCTGTTATGGAGTGTGCAGCCCTCCTGCGAGGCGGCGCCTCCTGGGTTCTAGTCGGGTCCCAGGCCCCTCCTGCACTTTCCAGACCTGGTTCTTAAGGGGAGCGCTGGTTTGCAGTGTGACGCAGACACATTTGAGGACCTGGAAAATGCTGATGGGAAATCACTGTAGGTGGCAGGGGTCGCCAGGACTGATGGCGCTCTCAGAGCCAGGAGGTCCCTTCGACCTGGCCAGCACAAGTGTGACCGGGCTACATTCACCATACAAGTCTAGCAAGCCTAAATGTTAAGTGGAATTGTTCCAGTTTTAAAAAAAATAAATAAAAGTATACTGAATACCAAAATTCTCCAATAAAAGCATCATGATTTTTTTTTGGAGAGTGTCTATGTAGTTCAGACTGGCCTTGAACACATACAATCCTCCTGCCTCAGCCTCCTGAGTGCTGAGATTACAGTTGTGCCCACCATGCCCAGCAACTGTGGTGTTTTACACAATGAAAAAGAATTCAATATATTTGACATTTTTCTATCAGCCAAAACTGAACAAATTTTTTTTCTAACAATTCAAACACAAATTTGAATTGCCTTGATAAAGATACAAGGTTTCAGAATAAATGCAAAATTTAAAATAAGTTGAAATTCCCACTTATTCCTATGTAAAAATGAGATGTGGTCAGTGGTACATTCTGTAATGCATTCTGTAGTTGTTCCCTACAAGATGTATCATCATTTATAAGCTGGAGACTTTACTGAGGTTTGTTGACTAGAAGGAAAACTATCTAGTTTAAAAAAATACTGCTAGGGGCTGGGGACATAGCTCAGCAGCACAGCACTGGCCTGGCAATGCAAGGTCCTGAGTTCAATTCCCGGTACCAAAACCAAAACAAAACAAAAATAAAACTCCCTGCTAAATTCCAACCAAGTCAGAAGGTTAGTGGATGTGCCTGGACCTGTACAGTAGTGGGTCTGGCTCTGCGTGTTTACCAACATTTTCATTTTGTGCAGGTTGTGCTTTCAGCTTGATGTTTGTTACATAATGTTGAACAAAGTTGCAAGGTTATAAAGAATATGAAAAATTTACTCTGCAAGAACACAGAACATTATTTGTGTGGATGATCAGAATGACTTTGTCTCAAGCTACTTTGAGCTGTGGTATTTACCAGCGCTTACTCTATTTGGTTACAAAGGCAGTGAACACCAAAGCTGTAAGTGACAGCTAACAAGGTTCACGGTTGGAACTGTGCTTGCTTTGAACTTGAGGCTCTGCCTTGGTGCTGTGGGAGGAGTGTTCAGCCCTCTGCTCCCACAGCTGGGCAGAGAAGGCACTGGAATGGGATCCACAAGGGGAGATGAGAGCAGTGTTCCTAAGCAGCCCTGGGTACTCTGACCTCCACCCCCAACCGGCAGTTGCGACACACACAGGAAGCCTGGCCTCCTTCGGTCCCTTGCATGCTGCCCCTCATCTTCCACTGGCCAGGAGCTAAGTGTCTGCAGGGGCTGAAAGGTGCCTGCAGGCCTGGGGTCCTGCGAGCAGCTCGGGGGTGAGGAGGCTCCCTGAAGCCAGCACTCGCAGGCTGCTCCAGGCCATCCTCTAGCAGGAAGATGGCGCAGGAGACACTGCTGTAGGCACGCTCTGCCTGCCTCACTATGTGAAATCTAGGCTTTCTCTAGCATTCTTGTTTTACCTTTCACAAAACAGGCCAAGTCAGCCTAACGTAGCTGTTGATTGTAAATGTGGCTAAATGCAAGGGAGGCAGTGCCCCCAGTTTGACAAACATGGCTTGAAGCTGTGTCTCCACATACAAACCATTGGAAAGACGCGGAGAATGGATTCCCAGGCCTCAACCCAGAACTACTGAGTGCAACCCTGCAAATGCTCGGGAGAGTCTCACAGACACCTGGAGAGAAACCAGCAGCTCCTGGCTGTCTTGGAAGCTACCAGGATAACAGCACATCTGCGCCTTCCACGTTATGCCATGCAGAAGAAGCCTGCCTGCATCTACCCCTCAGGGGCTTCCGGCCTGGGATCTCATAAAGTTGCATTTGAGAAAACCAACCATGTCTTCATTAAAGGGAAAAAAAAAAAAAAAAATCAATGGACATGGATATAACCTCCCCTAAAATGGAGAAATGAGGCCCAAATTCCCGGCAGGAATCATGGAACCGTCCATTCTAGAATGCGTAAGAGCTCTGGGTAAGCAGATGGCCAGCAGCAGCAATCACGGTGTCCTGCTCGTCTGGTGGCCACACCAGGGCCCGCAGTCCTGTGGTCCTTACATGGCAGACAGCCGTTGCTGCGGCTGCTGCTGCTTGGGGGGGGCGAGCGCCAGGAGGGCCTGCACCGTCACCGCAACCTGGCCCAAACCTTTCTCTTCTAAAATGTGGAGAGGCAAGCACAATTGCTCCTAAAGTAGGACAATGTAACATGAAAACAAAAGAGAACATAAGATAAACATCACAGGACTGAAAGGAAAAAATAAGCACTTCTCCCTCAGAATCACTAAACAAGATTGCAAGTCAGTGCTTAGAAGCGGACCTGTTAGCATGAGTCAGACACAGAGTATGCCTCACACTCACTTGTCATTTATTCAAACTACCGTCCAGACAGGGCATTGAAAACTCAAAACCCGACAAGTGGCACACAGTAAACATTCAACAGGGGGAGAATAGAACACTGTGGAGTAAAATCAGCATGTTTTATCCTTTTTTTTTTTTTGAGACAGGGTCTTATTAGGCAGTTCAGGCTGTCCGTGAACTCACTATGGAGCCAGGTTGGCCTAGAACTCTCAATGATCCTCCTGCCTCAGCCTCTCAAGTGCTGGGATTACAGGTATGTGCCACCATCCCCGGCTAATGACTTTATCTTTGATAAAAGACCAATGCACATTTATAAAACAGGCAGAGGAAAAATACTCTTTCCAGTTATCAGGATGATTCCAGTCTGCAGCTACAACTGCCATTTGAGAAGAGTGAGCTTTGGGAGGTACACACCACAGGAACACAGATGGGATCATGACTCTGCTGGGGTCTTATGAAAGGGAAGCCACCTCCCTGCTTCCTCATCCTGTCTTTGAAAACCAGGTTCTCAGACCAAGCAGGGATCACAGGAAGAACCTGGGTGTATCCTGAGCTTCTGAGATTTAAATATATTTTAGAAACTTCCCTTGATATTGGATATTTCAAAGAGGGCCTAGCCTAAATTAGTTAAAAAACACAAATTACAAAATTAAAAGGAAACTATATTTGAAAAAGTCAAGTACTTCATATTCCGGAATTTGATAGATTAAATTATGCTGGAGAACTTTATATCAGCTTAATAACAAGTTAACTACCGGGGCTGGGGATTTAGCTCAGCGGCATAAGCGCTTGCCTTGCAAGCAGGCAGTCGTGAGTTCCACCCCTGGTATCGATAAAACAAAAAAGACCAAAAAAAAAAAAAAAAAAAAAAAAAAACAAGTTAACTACCAATATGTCAGCAGTTTTACATGTCTGCTTAAGAAGTTAAACACATCTATCTCGACTGTTTTATTAACTGTTTGACTAATTCTTTCTTGTAAGTGAAAAGGGAAAATCTGAAGTATACCATACATCATTGGCTTTTAAGACCAAATCAGACAGAAAATGAGCCTACTCCCAGCAGACTTCTGGTTTTGTTAAAAACAGATTATACAAAAAAAAAAAAAAAAAAAAAAAAAAAAACACAGATTATACATGTATCAAGGATGGTAAGTGGACTTCTCTCTGCTTCTCGTATGGCACTTTTTTTTTACAGTATATTACTAGAACATTTTACAAAGCGTTGTATGTAATAAAAATATAGCAAATATTTTTGAGGCAGTTATCGGTACTTGTGCTTACTTTCCCTTTATTTAATAGCTATTTTGGTAACCCAAAGTAACTGAAATCTTTTTTGTCTGTTTTAAGACAGGGTCTCACTTTGTAGTTCAGGCCTTGAGCTCACTTTGTAGCCCAGGCTGGTCTTGAACTCTCAATGATCCTCTTGCCTCAGCCTCCCCAGTTGGGATTACAGGTGTGCACAACCACTCTTGGTTTTAGAATCTTTTGACCTTCTCTATCACGACTTTGAGTCCTACGCCAAACACATATTTGCTATTGAAAATTAATCTGTCTGCTGCTTTGCTTTCCGCAGGGCCGACCCAGGAGCGCTGTGTCTAAGCCCAACCCATGGGGCCACTCCTTGGGACTCGGGCTTCCTGTATCTTCCCGTCGGGGTGGAGGGACTGCTGTGTGTTCAAGAGAATGCACAACCACCCTAAATAGTACCTGAGACCATGTTTTGTTCTTGTTGTTTTTAAATTTTTTTTTTAAGTGGGACAAAGCTCTACAAAGAATAATCACTGACTCTTTAGATATCTTAAAAATAAAACAAACTCAAACCCTAAGCTCTGGAAGGCACTACTGTACAAACCTGAAGATTTTCTCTTTTTTCTGGTACTAGGATTGAACCACGGGTCCTCACACTGAGCTACGTCCTTAGCTAGCCAGCTAGCCAGCCAGCCTGCCTTCCTTCCATATTTATTTGTGTGTTTATTATGTATAGATGTGTGTATGTATGTATGCACATATGTATTTTTTTTTAAAACTTAAGAGACAGGGTCTTACTAAGCTGCTAAGTAACTAGGCTGGCTTGAATTAGTGATCCATCTGCCTCAGCCTCCAACTGCTGGGACTACAGCTATGTGCCCTATCCCTAGCTAATAATAATAAAGTAATTTTAAGCATTAAGATCCAGAAACCAACATACTAAGTAGTTTGAAAAGGACTGACAATAACCTTTGCCTTAGGTACAGAACAAAGACTGAAATCCAGTACTGTACACCCTACTCTTCAGATATAATCTCCAAGACACTATATAATACCAATTCACCTGTATTAAAAATTAGATAAATTCCAACTTTAAATTCTAAATAGGATTACAGAAGTGAATCACAGTAACAGATAAACAAGCTCAGTAAATCTAGACAAGTAGCTGAAGGTCACATGGCCATGTGTCTCCTGCATACTATGTTATGTACTTACTGGGCTCAGAGCGGCAGTCTACAGAAGAATGACCTTTAAGCTGAACATTCAGACCCAATTAAAGTTATAAAGACTAATTGGCCAATGTCTTCCAAATGTCTAGACTTCTGACGGACCTTTGCCTCCCAGTGAAGGGTGAGCTCAGGATGTCATGGCAGACAGCTACGCGACGAGTGTCCCTAACCACCATTTTCTGCAGAGCAGCTGACGGGGAGGTTCAGCAGCTCACACGTCAGCCCTGAAACTGTGCTGAGGCAGAGATGCTCAGGCGAGGGTTTCACTGCTGTGTGGAGAAAATACAGTTTCTATGTCATGTTCTCAGAATAGGTACAGGGCCGTATTAGTAGAAATGCTTCAGCATTTAGGATGAGGAAAAAAGGCCACGTGATCAGGAAAGAAAGTGCTGGTGTTTTGGCGGCAATCGTGACTGCTGAGCAATGTGATGGACTGTCTTCTGGGCCTCTGAGGAGAGGATTTATCTAAGATTAGTTCCCCAGGGGGAAGCACATACTACTCTGCCTGAGAAATAGGCCAAGCGCAGGAATGCAGTGGAAAAATCACAGGAATGCAATCTTTCAGCTAGAGGGGAAGATCCAGGAATAAAGCACACAGAGAGTTAACATCAAAGTACAGTAAAATGCCACAAAACCCAGAAGCTGGATAGACAGAGAGACAAAACTGGATTCTTCTGAATGTGCCCCAAGAGAAAGCAGTGATTCAACAGTTCTTTTAACGCTGAGGTTTAGCTGAAGGATGTCAGAAGGGGAACAAAGATTGTCCTGTCCAAAGTGTGAGCAGGAAAGGAAACAGAAAAACAAAGTCAGTGGATCAGAAATGCAGATTTGAGCACAGAATTCAGTATGATCATTTCACTCACAGTCAAAATTACATGGCTACAATATTTTTATTATGATGAATAAAAATAAAATGCTGAAAAACCAAATGACCTCTAGGTGCTGATTTCTGATTTCACTACTAAATAACTGCATGAGGTCTGCTTGCCAGTGCCCAGAATGAACAGTAAAGACACACGCAGAACTGGAGGCTGGCTGAGAGGGGGCTCCTCAACATTATTATTGTTATCTTTCCTTTATTGAAACAGGGTGTTAATATGCAGTTTAGGCTGGCGTTGAATTCACTATGCAAACCAAGTTGGTCTCAAACTCATGGTAATCCTCTTGCCTCAGCTTATCAAGTGCTGGGATTATAGGTGTGCACCACCATGCCCAGCTAGAAAATATTCTTTAGTGCATAAACAAGATACTAGACTCGAATATCTAGATGATATAAATATCAAATATTTATACTCCAAGAGCTTTTTTTAGTGCAACATGTTTAACAGAAGTTTAAAAATGAATACTTACCCTCATCATAAAATTTTTAGTAGCCTGACTCTTTCATGCTCCCTAATGTAATTTGTGTAACACTAACAGTTACACCAAGAGGAGAAATTATTTGCCACCATGCATATTACCTGGTAATCTGATAAATATGTACAATACTGAGTTTTCTGTTTAACATTTTCAAAAGCGATCATGATTTCACCCCAAATTTTCCTTCCAAGCTAACAAAGCAAGAGAGGGTGCTGAGGTAAAGCCTATGGGGCGCAGAGGAGGGAGAGGGGCCTGAGAGCACAAGCTGGACCTTCCCGTCTCTCCCTCAGTCACCTTCCTCCGATTCGTGTGGCAAAGGGAAAGGTAACAGGACGCTTCCTAACCTGGCCACAGCAGCGGCAGCAGTGGTCAGGGACTTGGGTAGACAGCACAAGACTAGAAGGAAGAGGCAGCCTCGTGGGATGCTGTTTCCCCTTTATGGTATGGAAGAGGAAGAGGGGGAAAGGCTGCATCCAGAACCCCAGTCTGAACACTCTGAAAAAGTCTTTCAAAATTTACTTTTCTATTTCTATACTTGGCTTCAAGGAGCACAGCCCTGATAGAAATGGTGGCTGGACCATAATATCATTGACTTAAATGCATGTTTGAAGGTGTACTGTTTTTGTATTTTGCTGACTGCAGAACATTCTGGAAGATTTCAGGTTAGGGACTGAGAGAGGATGATTCCGTAAAGCCCAGCATCATGTCTTATAAAGCTGGAAAACAGCACTTTAAACAAGTACTGGCTGGGCCAAAGGCATGCTTGCTCCTTTTGGAGTCCTATTCCCTGCACCCATTCATGCCCACTCCACAGCCACTGTGGTGTGGAGCTGGAGCAGGGACAGCTTCGGCACAAGGAGAGAGGGACGGAGCGTGGATTGATGTTAATGTGTGTACACACACACGTTAGAATTCTAGTGATACGGAGAAAACGCATGCTAGTTCTCTAGAAGCCATAGTAAATGCTCTGTTAATATATTTAGCATGGTGGCCAGGGTAGAGCTCAGTGGCATGATGCCTGCCTGGCAAGTATGAGGTCCTGAGTTCAAGTCCTGGTTCTCCCCAAAAATAAAAAAAATTAAAAAATATGTATACACACACATGCTTTGAATTTGTCCACAGGAATAAAAAACATCCTTGGTTATTACCACTTGACATACTTCAGTTATTTTATAACTTAGGTTATTAAAAAAAATAAAACTGCAAAAAAAAGGTGAAAAATAAGAGTATAAGGATAATTCCTTTTTTTTTTTTTGTCTTTTTCCTTTTTATCGGTACCAGGGATCAAACCCATGACTGCCTGCTTGCAAGGCAGGCGCTTATGCTGCTGAACCAAATCCCCAGCCCCGATAATTCCTTTTATTTAAGGAGAAAAACCCCTGTGGGAATTCACGTTGGCTAATGAGATGGCCCAGGGGGCCAGACCTTTGCTCTTCTGCTTTGCGCCAGGAAAGGAGCAAGGAAAACACTGCACACTAGCCAAGGGGGCCCTGGCTTCCTTGGCCCCGCTGGGTAGCAAGATGACCCAGGTGAGGAGGTCACTGAAACCCCTGGAACAAGGGCTTCATTTTGAGAGGAGCCAGTGCTACTGCTAGGGACACATGGGCCAATCCTGAGTCTCTGATAGCAAATCCCGGTGTTAGAAGAGTCCTGTCTTTGTCCTTCGCAGGCTGGAGGAAATGTCAGAATTGTGTGGTTGGGGGTGTGGCACAGTGGAGAAGTGTGTGCTCAGCATGCAGACAAAAGAAGAAGCTCACTCGGCACCCTGGTGTTCCTCTCCTTAGATCTGTCTAGGCGTTGTATCATTAAATATAATATTCCTGAAGAGCACACGCTTAGTTCATTTCAAATTGCCTTTTTTTGGTATCAGGAATCAAACTCATGATTTGCCAGGCAGGTGCTTGTGCTGCTGAGCTAAACCCACAGCCCTTCAAATTGCTTTTTAAAAAGGGATAACTAAGGGGCTGGAGATTTAGCTCAGCGGCATAAGCGCCTTCTTGCAAGTGTGCGGTCATGAGTTCGATCCCTGGTACCAATAAAAACGAAAAAGACCAAAAAAAAAAAAAGGGGGGGGATAACTGAACAGAGCATATCCAGCTCATTTTCTTAATCACATCTATGAATGAGTTTAGCTATCTGCACTATTAAAGGGAAAGAAAATTGTAACTGAGGAACTTGGAGGCCATAAATCTTTAGAACATAACTGGTGCTTAGAAATGGCCTCCAGTGTGCTATACACCAAAGCTTAGTGGAAAAACTGGTGGAATCTGAGTGAAATCTGTAATTTAGTTAATAGTATCATTGTTCCAGTGTTTCTTAGTTTTGTTTTTGTTTTGTCTTTTTTGAGACAGGGTCTCTATGCAGTTCAGGCTGGCCTTGAGCTCACTTTGTAGCCCAAGCTGGTCTCAAATTCGCAACAATCCTGCCTCAGCCTCCCAAGTGCTGGGATTACAGGCATGAGCCACCACAGCCAGCTCCGTGTTTCTTAGTTTAGGTAATTACTGTGTACATTTTAGACATTAACATTAAAAAGAGCAGCAAAATGGATACAGGAATTCTCTGTGGGAGTTCTAGAATATTTCTACAAGTCTAAGATTATTTCAAAATTAAATCTTTAAAAAGTATTCGGGCAAATGTTGAAAAACAGACGCCAACTGAAGCAGTCTCAGTCTGAGATGTATTCATGTTGAAAGACGCTGTTGTGCATGGCAGTGCGCATAGTCAAAGGGCAGAGATGTTTAGGGCAATATAAATATTTCTTATTACTTATAATTTAAATTTATATGTTTGCAATTTCTTTATGAGGTCCTTGGAAATAAAGAAACCATAATGAGAAGAATGCTGATTGACTCTTACAACCTAACATTATATTAGTAATCATCATCTTAGTTCAGAACTGTTGTAATATGATTTTAGAGACTTGCACCTCTGGTAGATTTTAGAAAAATACCTGAATCTTTTAGGGAACACTCACACACACACACACACACACACACACACACACACACACACACGAAATACTAAACATATTACCTGAGGGACACCAATTTTTCTGCATGCTTCTAGGAAATTCTCCACATTTCGCCTGCATTTTGCTATTGTTAATTTAGGCTGCAGTGAGAAAAGGAAGAGGAAAAATATGGTGTTACCAGCAAGGTCTATACAATGTACTAACTACCATGCATGGTGGTACATGCCTGTGATCGTAGCACTGAGAAGGCTGAGACAGGAGATCCTAAGTTCAGGCCTGCTTGGACTACATAATGAGACACTAATTTAAAAGAAAGTGCCAGGGCTAGGCATAGAGTGCAGCAGCACGGGGCCTGCCGGGCCAGCACAAGTTCCTGAATTCAATTCCTGGTAAAGGGGTGGGGGAGTGCTAACTTTAAAACACTCTTGGGCTGGGGATTTAGCTCAGCAATGTAAGTGCCTGCCTTGCAAGCGTGCAGTTATGAGTTCAAACCCTGGTACCAAAAACAAAAAACAAAACACTCTTGCCAATTGCTTCACATGCCTATATACTATTGTAAATTAGTGGGTCGGCAAATTGTTCCTCAAAGGATCTGATATTAAATGTTAGTCTTAAGAGTCATGAAACTGGAATGGCTCACTGCTTGAAAGCAGCCATAGGTGATGTGCACACATGCAGGTGCAGCCGTGCTCCAGTGCACAGAAACAGGTGCCTGCCTGTGGGGTAGTCTGCCCCATGCCCCACCCTGACTGGGGAGGTCTCACCTTGCTCTTACTAGTGAGTGCTACACAGGCTGCAAAGGCATAAAGGGTTTTCTTTTGTGTGGATTCCTTCTCCCCTAATTTTATAACAATGTACACTGAAGAGAATTTGGAAGAACAGAATCAATTACCCACAGCTCCTCTTTCAACTGTAACCACCGTTAACACTTGGTTCATTTTCTTGTAGTCTATTTTCTTTTATTGTTGAGCTGATACTGAACTCACTTTGTAGTTCAGGCTGGCCCTGAACCCAAGGCAGTCCTCTTGCCTCAGCCTCCCAAGGGCTGCAATTATTGGCATGTGCCACTACGCCTCGTATGGGAAACAATTTGAGTGACTCCCCTTAAATGTAGAACCATTGCTGTGACTTACTTTTTTTTTTTTTTACACTGATACGTATAGAGTTGTCCATGGTATTTTTTTTTTTTAAATTGGCTCCAAGCATTGTACATAAGGCTAGTCATGATACTGGTATGTCATCTCTAAAGCCATCAGACTGTTTCCTGTTTTTCTGAACAATGCTCTCTATAAAAGCTATGAGCACAGCAAGATGGTACAGCCAGTCAGCTCCAAAAATGTCAACCAGGTATGAGCCTCAAGACAAAGAGGTTGACAGCCATGCTGGACCCCAGGCGGCTGCACAAAGACGCAATTCACCTGCCCTCTTGGTAAATGCCTCTTTCCGGCATGAGCCAGGAGGAGACTCAGTCAGTGTCTTCTGTGAACCTACCAGTGCGTGGGCTGGGAATCAAACATCCCCAATCCCCCGTTTCAGTGAGCAACTGGGGACAGAGGTCTGAGCATCTCTTGGGAGGATGATTGTATGCAATATAGCAAACATGGGGGATCTCCTTCTATCTTCTGTTTGAAAGCAAATGTTGTTTTCACTGTTGTGTTTCATTATGATTGTTTTACTCTATTTAATATTCTCTTTCGATTGATTTTTTAAGGTTCTGTCCTTGGTTTGATTTCATTATACCTAATTGGCTAGACAACTTACTGTGAAGATAATGATATATACTATGGGACCAATTACTGTTATCCTAGTAACCTGCTCTTAAGTTCTATACCAGTTTCACAACATTGTTTCGATTGGTTTTGTTCTCCTTGTTGTGTTAATTGCTACCATCTTCAAAAAAAAAAAAAAAAAAAAAAAAAAAAAAAAAAGACAAGGAGGCTATGTGTCCCTAGGGGACAAAAGTTTATATATCAAAACTAAAGCAACAGCCTCCAAAAGCAATTTAGTTGCCACTTTAAATTATGCAAATTGATCCTTCTGTATATCATTATCCCTGCATTTTGCAGATTTTTTTTTCACTACCTGGCTAGCCTGCTCAAGTTACTCACATAATTCCTGCCATCATCACTGTCACTCATCCTCAAGAGAGAGAGAGAGAGAGAGAGAGAGAGAGAGAGAGAGATTTAGCTCAGCCTGCCTAGCAAGTGTGAGGTTGCCAGTTCAATCCCCCCAAAAAACAAAGTCCATTTCCTCACCCTCTAAAGTGACAGTTTGGCAAGTTTTACATATTTGCATGTGACTTTTTAACTTTATTACCCAAAAAGATTCCTACCTAACCAGTGTACACCTGCAGTCCCATCCACTAAGAAGGCTGATGTAAGAATATTGTATAAGCTTAGGAGGTTTTTCCTCTAACAAGTCTGAAAATCCCTCTTTATCTAATGTCAAAGTACTTACTTAATTTTTAAAAATTATTTAAAAATTATTTTGAGGGCTGGAGATTTAGCTAGGTGGCTCAAGCACTTGCCTGGTAAGTGTGATGTGGTGAGTTTGATTGCAGGCACCACAAAAAAAAAAAAAAAAAAAAAAAATTGAAAAAAAATTTTTTTTTTGGTCTTTTTCCTTTTTATCGGTACTGGGGATCCAACTCACGACTGCCTGCTTGCAAGGCAGGCACTTATGCTGCTGAGCTAAATCTCTAGCCCCTAAATTTTTTTTTTGAACCAGGCACAGTAGCACATGCCTATAACCTCAGCCCTCGGGAGGCTGAGGCAGGAGGATCGCTTTGAGTTCGAGGCCAACCTGGGCTATGAACTATGTTCAAAACCTACCTGAACTGCATAGGGAAACCCTGTCTCAAAAAGACCAAAAAAAAAAAAAAAAAAAAAAAATCAATTTTAAAAAATTATGTAATTCAGATTGGGCTTGAACGCTCGGCAATTCTACTGCTTCAGCCTCCTGAGTGCTGGTGGTACAGGCATGTGACACCCCACCCAACTGTACTTGTTTTTAAAATCAAGAAGAAAATGCCCAAATGTTGGACATAGTAGCACACACTTGTGATCCCAGCACTTGCAAGGCCAATATAAGAAGACTGCTGCAAGTTTATGGTCATCCTGTCTCCCTCCCCCCCGCAAAAAAAGAATTTCAAGAGAGAGAGAGACAGAGATGGCAAAAGAAAGGTGTCCGAGTAAGAGACCGATATTAGCTAGTACAGCAGCACACTAGGGAAACTGGGCCAGGAGGATCACAAGGTTGACTCCTGCCCGGGAAACAGCAAGACCATGTCTCAAAATTTAAAACAATTAAAAGGGGGCTGGGGATTTAGCTCAGCAACATAAGCACCTGCCTTGCAAGCAGGTGGTCGTGAGTTCGATCCCCGGTACCAGAAAAAATAAATAAATAAATAAAACAATTAAAAGCCCAAGGGGTAGCTCAGGGGTAAAACATCCCTGTGTTCCGTCCCCAGCACCACAATGGACAAGAAGGCTGTTGTATTAATCCAAGCTAGAAAAGTTAACAAGTTAGAGCAATCAGAGGAAGAGGCTACCCAGAGGGTTTAAACTCTTTTTTTTTTGAGACTCACTCTGTAATTCAGGCTGACCTTCAACTCACTATGTAGCCTAGGATGGCCTTGAACTCGCAGCAATCTTCCTGCCTCAGCCTCCCAAGTGCTGGGATCACAGGTGTATGCCACAATGGGCATCTCTCTTCCAGTGTTCCAGCATCTCATCTATCCATTGTCACTTAACAGCCTGAGTCACCACTGTAAGCTGCGATCATAATCACAGTATTCCTCTCTTTAAATCCTTTCAGCATTTCCTCACTGTCTACACTAAGACAATTTCCAAGGCCTTGGTAAAACAGCCCTGGCTTGCCCCTCTGGCTTCATCTGTCACTGTCTGCACTCACACCTTGTATGATCCACTTAAAACAATTTAACAATTCCTTGAATATGCTGTGACCCTCTCCCTTCCAAGGCCTCCTGCATAACAGGAAAGAGCTCTTCAGAGGTACACCCTGGTCTCTTCTTTAGCTGTGCAATCTAGGAATACAATGCTTAGATGGGCTTCCCCGTCCTCTAGCTTGCTGGCAAATTCCCGTTAAGCTTTAAGAATTAGTTCATAGTTTACTTCTTCAGTGAAGGCTTTCCTGAACTCTGGAAGGGGAGTTAACTAGTCTTTCTTGTGTATATCCATAGCACAATTACACGTCTCTGCTCTAACATTCATCACACTTTTGTAAATTACTATTTTCAGGTCTTTTTTTTTCTCTAGTAGAAAACAGACCAAGAAGGCAGAAAACAGATCTTTAAGTCTGTATCCCCAACATCCAGCACAATGACTGCCCACTGTTCAGTAACTGTCTCATGAACAGCCAATGCTTCTTAGCACTAAAAGCTCACCACAGGGCCAGGGATACAGCTCAGCAGCACAGGGGCTTCCCGGCAAGTGCAAGGTCCGGAGTTTGATATCCAGTACAAAAAAAGAAAAAAAATAAATAAAAATAAAAACAAAAACTCACCACAGCTGGTGAGGGAACATGAATGCTTGGGACAGATCGAGGCCGCACATGATTGGCCAAATGGCAAAGAACAACACCATCAGTTAGAGCTGCTCCAAGATCACAAGGTAGAGACACTTTTAACCGGTACTCAATGTGCTGAAAGAACAGAATACATAATGCACTCATTGAATAGTATTACAACAGAAAATATTTACAAGATAAAAAGGAAGTAAGTACCACAATCTCTATTTTATCCTTGTCTCAAGTCAGTACCTTAAGGAGATCCAATATATATGTACGGCAGTCAGCCTGCGTGCAGTGCCAAGTACAACAGAATTTCAGAGACAATTTTCTGATTAGCAAAACAAAACAAAACAAAAACGCCAGGTCTGGTCATGCACACATTGGGGAGGCTGAGGCAGGAGGATCGTCTCCACAAGTCTGAGTCCTAGAATACACAGTCAGACAGTGATATCCTGTCTCAAACAAACAACAAACATAAACCAAACAACAAACAAATCAAAAAAAAAAAAAAAAAAAAAAAAGAAGAAGAAGAAAAGGAGGAGGAGGAAGAGGAAGAAAATGTGGATTCTCTTTCAGGTCCAAAATAAAATGACAAATCTTTCACTATGAAGCATGCCATATATGTCTATATGCACCTGATATAAAATTTGACTCTCATAAAATTTCTTTATAACTTGAAGCAGAAAGGAAATGAAAAAAATTTAAATGAGTAAAGCTAGGAATTAAGATTTTAGAATAACCCACCTGGTTTTCTTAGTAAAAAGTTGAAGTTTCTTTAATAATAAAATTTCTTTCATTTTCACCATAAAACACAACATACAATGGACACTGTTTTTCTAGTGTCACAGAGTGAACTAGGGCCTCTCACATGGGAAGGTGCTCTATGTCCTTAGCCCTTTTAAAATTTTAGAGAGGGCCTCACTAAGTTATTAAATTGCCCAGGCTGGCCTTCAACTTTTGATCTTCTGCCTCAGCCTCTCGAGGACCTGGGACCACACCTAGCCTGACACTTACTGGTTCAATAGAAACTGTTCATCAGAAGCGCAAGCGGTTACAGAGATATGAACTAGAGCAGCAACAGGTTAAGTGCAAATCAGAGGTAACATACGCACCTTGCGCAGCTGATCTATTAATTTCAGCTCTTCCTCTCTCTGTCTTGTGATGCATTCTGTAGGATCCGTGGCAGGTGCAAGAGACGTGAGAAGGGAGGAAGTTTGATCTACAGACACAATAAATGCAACACAGAAAGGTGACAATGGTGCTGGCACAGTACTGACATCTGCCTACCTCAGATTTTTTTTTTTTTTTTTTTTTTGTCTTTTTGAGACAGGATCTCACCACTCAGTTCAGGCTGGCTTTGAGCTCACTTCGTAGCCCAAGCTCATCTTGAACTCGCAAATGATCCTCCTGCCTCAGATTCTTCAAATGTACAGTGCAGTCAACTGTGTTGGAGTGACTTTGTAAACATTTATATTATAAAAATTTAAAAATACACACATTAATAGCAAAAGAACATTAAAAACTAGGAAATTTCCATAATCCATTGGCTTAACTATTTTGCTTGATTGTATCCATTTAAAAATGTTTTTATTGAAAATTACACATATGATAAACACAGAGCTCTGCCCCTCAGCTATATCTCTAATTCCTTTTATTTTAAGACAGTATCTTATTATACTGCTCAGGCTGTCCTCAAACTTCAGATCCTCCTGCCTCAGCCTCCTGAGTAACTGGGATTACAGGTGAGTAATATCATGGTTGGCTTCTAAGAAGCTTTCTTATCAAAGCAAATTCAAACAAGGTGCTCCTGATTTATATCATTGAGATCACAGACATCCACAGTTTAAAGCGCTTTTCCAAGGCTAGCCCTTGGTAGAGAAATGTGAAAGTGTGTTAACAGGTAATGCCATTGTGTTAGGCCACCAACAACCCACTGTCCCACCTTTTAAAATGATTGCTACCTACCTACCTTTATTTGTTTCTGCCCTCACAGCTCCTCGGAAAAGGAAGCTCTCGGGGCGTGGGGGTTGATTTCTCTGGATAGCAGCAGGAAAAGAATATGCAGCAGAATGATGAACTAAGTCAGCTGGGAACAGCAAGATGAGATTAAAGGAAATGAAAAGCAAATCAAATACAATATAGATACATGAAGGAAAAATCAAATTAAACATGGCAATGATATAAAATGATAATATTCTTCATGAATGAACAGTACAGAAAAATAATGCTCAAAGTAGGGAGGCTGTGTTTTTAATTCTGAAGTTAATTTTAGTGTATCGACAGATGTTCATATGTTGAAAAGTCTCTTGTGAATCTAGAACCCTGCTAGTTTATATTCACTTGTCCTTAATAAATGGCTAAGTAGTTGTTTAACAAGATGAATTCTTATTTTTTTATTTTTTGGTACAGGGGATCAAACTCATGACCTTGTGCTTGCCAGGCATGCACTTGTGTCACCAAGCTATATCCTGGCCCAAGATGAATTTTTAAAAAGGAAGTGTTTAGAATATTTCTGATTTGCTATCCAATCTCCATCTCTGAACAGTTCTCTAAGAAGAACCATTTCAGTCAGTTCTCTAGGAAATAACCAATCAAGAAAGTCCCAGTAAAGAATTAGTATCTTGAAATGATTATTTATACCTTTATACCTCTTACCTGTTTCCACTGCAGGAGAATGTGATGTGGCATTAGGTCTGTCATCACTCTGTAGAGGAAGAGACACATATCAAGAGTTATTATTCAGGAAGAGATGGTTTCCACATTCATGGCAACTCTGAGACTACGAAAATAAGCAAACTCATGCAATTCTCCTTCAAAATCGTATCTAGAAATGAAAATCTGGTTAAATGAATTAATTTTGCACACTGCTCTGCTCTTTAAAGATAAACCTGTTACTCAGTTGTATTATGGATGCACTCTCTGAAGACAGTCCCATTATCAATGACCCTGAACCGTGATCATCCTAAGGCAGAAAATTTTACTGAAAAATAAAAAGAAATAAGAGCAAAATTTTTCTAATAGCATTTTTCCAAAAACAGTTCTCAAAGTATTTTTTCCTCTGGAAAGTAAAATCTAATTTTTTAAGAGTGATGTAGGTTTTTCATTTCAATTATCAAAATGTGTGGTGAGGAGATGTTGCATGTATTTTCTACAACAGTATCTGAGTCTAAAATGTCTTCATCGAGTAAAAGAACTTTAAAAAAGAGGAAGAAATTGCTAAAATAATATTATAAAATTTACTGAAAAGGGGGGAAATATGATTAAGAAATTTGAAATGTTTGTTGTTTGGATTAAAGATGATGAAGACTTGGCAGGGAAGTAGAACCAAAAAAGGACTTTACACCTAATCATATTTAAATGGAACTTTTTGAAATGGTAACTAAGACATTTCTGAACTAAGAATGACTTTAAAACTAGCACACGCAAAAATCTACCCCCACATTCTTAGTTAACCATAACACTGATTTCAATAGTTTCAGAAATTGTCTTCAAACAAGGAGATAAAATTATTTTCAGAAATATCATATCTATAGTTGAAGTTAATGATGGCAGAATTTTAATTGCTTTTGAGAAGATTTTTCCCAGTTATAATTCTTTAGCTTGATATAATTAAGATTTTAAAAGTAAGATGAACATCTGAGTAAAACCACAGATTACATTTCCAGGGAAAAGACATATGCCTCAGGATTGTAAATTCATATTAACCGAGACTCAGGTGTTTGGCAAAATGGAAATTTGAAAAGCAATTTAATTTAAAACAAGAATAACAGGAGCAAGAAAAGGAACTCAACAGGCGAGTGAGGCAAAAGCTGGCTATCTTTATATAAGGCAACAAAAGACTATTCTGACCTTCAAAGGGTGCCTGCTTGGAAGGAAAAAGCCTGCTTACCAGACATAGTCAAAAATCACTAACGCAGACAAAACCATTAAAGGCAGAGCTTCTCCTTCTAGAGGAAAAGTATTTTTAACAATTCAAAATGTCTCATTTATACTACAGAGACAGGAAATTTAAGCACAGAAAGGAGTAACTGGAGAAAGGAGGCTATAAAGGCAGCTTTCCTAGCTGAGCAGAGCCAAGACAGGGACACCAGAATGTGGCCTCGCTCTCATGCTCCCAAGCCAGAGGCAGAGCCTGCACAACACAATTGGCTGTGGAGTCGGAGGGCAGGACTTGTAAATAATGACTTAAAAATACACTTGTACTGAAAGGAACTATAAATGCCTTGCATTCTAGAACACTAAAATAATTAGTTCAGATCACTCTAGGACTACTTAGCTACATCTGGAAATTCTTGGACAGCAAAAATGGTTCAGAATAATCTCAAAAATCGGTATTAAAAAACCTGATATGAATTCAATTTTTAAGCCTGACAGAGACCAACGAAAGAAACAAAACCAAGCATAAACACAGTGTACAACTGTTGTAAAAGTAAAGATAAAAACCTGAAAACCACTCACCTCCCTGTTTAGCAGTTCTGATAGAAGTAAAGTCAGACTTAACATCTACCTTAAATCTAGTAAACTTTCAGATTTAATTCCACATGAGAATCACTTTTCTAGAGAAAATATGATCTAGATTCCCCAACTTTTGGCATATTCATATCTGGCCTTTCTTAGTTAACTATGACTCTGAGACAGACTAATTCCCAATATCCAAGGTTTCCCTTGAGATAATGAATCCAACTTCTTTTTTTTTTTTTTTTTAAAGGACTGGAGAGTACCCGCGGGTCTCGAACCACCGGACCAATTGGCCCAGGGGGTTGGGAAGCCAGACTCAAAGGAACCGCTGGGCTAAAGCCAGCCCATGAATCCAACTTCTTACTCATATATGTAAGGTGGCACTAGCTGTGTATCTGTACTTCTCTCCAAATAAACTCTGATTCTTTCTTGAGAGAATTCTGGGAAAAACAACTGCTGAAATAACTTTTCTTTTTGGTTCTCTGAGACAGAGTTTCCACTATGTGGTCCAGGCTGGCTTTGTACTCACTGAACAGCTTTCAGCCTGGCTCAAATTCTCCTTTTCCTGCCTTCGCCTCCTGAGAGCTGGGATTAGAGGCATTTGCCATTACATATGGTTGCTGAAATAGTTTTCTATGTCGTGCAAATAAGGACCCCAAAAGAAAAAGGCGAACAGAATTACAGATAACATTTTCTCAGAAGTCATGCAGGTATATACAGCACTTTGAATAACTGATCAGAAAAAGCTCATCGAGGTCAGCATGATGCAAGAATTTGCAAGTATTCTAGTACACTGGTGAATTACAAGTGTTCAAACAGCAAAATTAAGTATTCAGAAAAAACAAAAGATATAAGGAATAGGAATTTGGGAGTAGAGCATGAACACTGAGAATTACAGTAGATATTGAACAAAATAAACATTACAAAATGAAAAAGGCAATGCTGGCATGTAAAGTAAGATGTGAAAATCCAGGCAGTCCTGGCACCAGGCAGGCTCTGCTGGGTTCAATTTCTAGCTGTGGTTGTGGAACCAAAAGGGAGGGCAGAGCGTCATGAAAGATTAACAGGTTGGGAAAGAAAGGCACTTTTATATAGGAAGAAGTCATGTATTAGATCATAAGAGTTTCAAATGCAAAGATGCTTACATGGAGATCTCTAAATAACTGGTAAAAGAAGCAATCAGTGTGAACCACTTTGGGGTAGATATGTTAGACAAAGGGAGGACCCTTTGACAGTGGAATTATTAATCATTTCTTATGCATTCTAGTTTGACAAATGTGGAATTACCATTTCCAGAGGCCTTTAAAAAATAAAAACATTACAGGTGACTTTCTAGCATTAAAGTTAAAGATAAAATACTACAAGTTAATTTCTAGAGTTAGACTTACTTTACTGTTGATTATTTTTGAGACAGGGGTCTCACTAAGTAGCTGGCCTGGAACCTGTGGCGATCTTTTGGCCTCAGCCTCGTAAGTACTGTGATTATAGGTATGTATACATACACCCAGCTTTAATTTGTAGAGTTCAGAGTCAATTTTTTTAGAAGGGGGAATTTATCATCTCTATGACATTATTACTGACATAAAGCAAAGACTGATAATTTTTTTCCCATGCAGTAAACATTTTAGTTGTGCATGTCATTATGATCTCGGTCACAAATATTCTAACTCTACTGTTCACTAAGAAACAGGACAGGGAATTAGCTCAGCAGCTTAAACGCCTGCATGGCAAACACGAAATCCTGAGTTTGATTCCTAGTACCAAAAAAGAAAAGAAACATAGATAATAAACAGCCTCTTAAGTGCTGGGATTACAGGTGTGCACTAACAAACCTGGCATTCTTATGACTGTTTTTGGAACAATAAAACTCCAAAGTTTTCACACGAAATCAATGTGTTTTTTTCTTGAGACAAGGTCTCACTTCATAGTTTAGGCTGGCCTTGAACTCACTATGTAGCCCAGGCTGGCCTCAAACTCTGGGTGATCCTCCTGCCTCAATATTTTGAATGCTGGGATTACAGGCATTCTCCACTATGCCCAGCAGTAGTGTATGGGTATTTCACACACACACACACACACACACACAGACACACACACACACACACACACACACACACACACACACACACAAAATATATATATGGGGGGGGTATTTTTGAAACAGGGTTTTCACTATGCAGTTCAAGCTGGCCCTGAGCTCACTTTGTAGCCCAGGTTGGTCTTGAACTTGTTATGATCCTCCTGCCTCAGGCTCCTGAGTGCTGGGATTACAAGTGAGCACCACCATGCCTGGCCACACAATCTTATATTGCTATAAAACCAATGGACTGGGAAATTTAACGCCTACTCTGTACACTCCCTCCCCAAATCTCTCGGAAAATTAATTTAACAAGAGATACCTTAAGAGGCATGAAAGCAGCAGAATGAGGCAGGGTAGCAGCACAGCCCACTTGATTCAACCCTGACAGCGACTAAATTTCAAAAAAGGAAGATAAAGAACAGAAGACAGCATTTAAGTTAGCAAAATGTCAAGTAGGTATATCTGATCAATGAAATTTAGGAAAGGAATGGTCACTGACAAACATTCAAATATTTACTAAGATAGACAATATTTAAAAATATCATTTATACAACAGTTTTTCTATCTGTATATAATTCAGGATATTTGCAATAGCTCACGATATCAGTCAATAACTTGGGTCATGATTTAATAAAAATGATTTTATACAGAAATAAACCTGAGAATATCATTATTTTCAGCAAAATATTCTTGAAACTCGAGTCCTCTGACGTCCTTATGATGAGCAACAATTTTAGTCAAAGAACTCATTTTAACTGAGCATAGCTGGGGTGAATCAGAACAGTGTTTTCTCAATTTTGACTGTAATTCAACTCCGTGTACAGCGGCAGCACTGGCAATCGTCTGAGGTGGGAGGGACTGAACTATCTGGAGAAAATACTGGTGCAGTAAGTCCAGAGAAGAGGCTTAGACTTGGGCAACATGAAGCCTTTGAAGAGTAGTTCTGAGAACTACTGAGAACTCTCTGAGTTTTCAGAGACAGATTTTAAAATAGGACTCTTGGCATACTGTTGGATAGACACTATTTGGCATACAAAGAAATACAAGGTCTGCTTTTTTTCTTTTTTGGTCTTTTTGACACAGGATGTCACTACACAGTACAGACTGGCCTTGAACTCATAGCAATCTTCCTGGTAAAACACCTCAAGTGCTGGGATTACAGATGTGCACAAAGTTTTTCTTTTCAAAGGCCATTTCACTTTAGAGGTCAGACATGAATACTTTTTGTAGCCTCAAACTCCCAATCCTCCTGCCTCAGCCTCCCAGGTGCTGGGATTTTGGCATGCGTCACCACACTGGGTCAAATACTTTTAATTAAAATACAAGTGTACTGTTTTGACAAATAATTGAAACCTATTTCAAACTTCATGCTAAGAGGATTTTGCTGTTGTCTTTTTAAGCTCTACTTTTTCTTTTACAAGCTGTTTCATTTACAGTATGAAAGGCAATACAGTACAGTGTGGTGTCTCCTACAGGTCCTGCGTCAGCCAGAACTAGAACTACCCACACGACTGTGGACAAGATATTCTCTGCTTCAATAATCAGGATGGTGATGATTTTTAGCATTAACTCTTAAATTTGCCTTGAGAAGTGCAGGAGGTATTTTCATGTCTAATTCAGAGGCCCTCACTATTTCCCTACATTAATTCAAAGTGTTTCTGATTTCTCATGCCAGTTAACTTCTACTAACACTTGAGTCTCTCTCACAACTGTGTTCATCTTTAAGACTACCCAGTTAAAATGTGCTTCATCCATTTCAAAGGAAATGAAACTTAAAGAATACCCAGAAATTTTAACAGACAGTGGGAGCTTGCATAGCAGGAGCCTGATATTCAAGGCATGCGACTCATACCGTACACACAACAGCAGCATTGTAATCTAACAGTTCTTGCTGCAGACACTACTTTTGAACTGTTTGGTTTTGATATCACCATAAAATAGTAGCATAAAACATCATGGGAAAAGCATTTCTATAAATGGTGAGCATTTTCTTGCAAGGCTTATAAAACTTAAAATTTTAAATAAAGTCTCACATTACACTAAATTTCAGTTGGTGAAAAAGGCACTAAAAAGTAACCCAGAGTTAGCTGGGTATGTGTCTATAACCAGGCACCTGGAAAGCTGAGGCAGGAGTATCACCATGAGTTTGAGGCCAGCCTTGGCTAGAGTGAATTCAAGGCTGTCCTGGGCTATATGGTAAGCCAGTCAATAAATAAATAAATAAATAAATAAGTAAATCTCCAAATCAAAAAACCAAACAAGACAAAAAGGTAACCAAGCGTCCAAAATGATCAGTAGTTAGCAATTAAATTTGGGATTTTTTTAGCAGTTTAAAATATATAATAAAATAAGATGCCAAATGTAAAGTTGTCTAATTAGTGTCATGAGACCCCCACTTAATACACTGGTGACTCATGAGCCAAATTAGCAATTAATAAAGTGCACCTGGACTTAGAAGCTGTTTAAAAGGCCGATGGTGTGTTATGCCTCACATACACAAAGCCAGTACAGTTCTTAATGCAAATGCTTTTTGTTGGGAAGCACTGTGGAGACTGTGACACCCAGCTGCAGCCCTTGAACACCAGGTAACACGGACAGTGACGCAAGGACACAGAACTAGCTCCTACAAAGCTTTCAGAAGTAACACATTTTATGGTATTTAGGTCATTTCTTTTTTCTTTTTTGTCTTGGCTTTTTGAGACAGGGTTTCACTATGCAGTTCAGGCTGGCTCTAAACTCACTCTGTAGCCCAGGCTGACCTCAAACTCCTAGCCATCCTCCTGATTCTGTCTCCCAAATGCTGGGCTTACAGGCGTGAGCCTGGCTTCAAGTCATTTCACTTAGAAGAGCATGTAGCTGCCCTTCAATCTCCAGACACAGCAATGTAAAACTTCATTGTTTATAAATCTTACCACTAACAAGGCACTATCATCAGTGTGCTGAGACCTTCTGGGTGGGAAGGGACACTGGAGAGGTGGAGAAAAATGAAGCAATGTCAAAAGCAAACTACACACACAAGTGACACACTTCAAACACAGTAGAGGACAGAGATACTAAGCCACAATTTTGAAGATGGTAACACAAGAATCACATTCACAATCAACCGAATCTATGCACTGTAACAGCCAATAAATTAACTCTGAACCCTGATCTTCTTTCAAAGAGTTTAAACAACTTCAAATATGACCTCACCGTCTGAAAACCTTCTGAAGCAAAGTCAAAATTCACAAAAAAACAATACAAAAATGAATGGTAAAAATAAAGGGGAATGGTCAATTAAAAAGTCAACTATAATAAAGTTCAACAAAAAATTCATTTCTGTAAATCAAGATACATGCATAATATATTTTTAAAAGATTAAGCAATTAATTGTACACATTTATTCATAATGAAATGCAGTGCCATATTTGTGTGTAATATATGTTACTGTTTGTTTTCCTTCTTATGTAGTTGTTGTGGGTCTGAGTAGTACAGGCTGGCCTTGAACTCACAGGGATCCTCCTGATTCAGCCTTCTGAGTGCCAAGATTAACAGACACTCCCTAATATTACAAAACTAACATGCACAGACTTTAATTGGTAATACTGAAATAACCACTGAAGGTAAAACCCTGTATTTTTTTGTTTAATAACAACACTGGTCACCCATGTCATATGCAGATCTTAAAATTCTCTTCCGTGACATCAATACTGCGCAGCGGGTGTGGCTGGCAGAGCTAGTGAGGGTGACAGGTGCTTGGGCAGATGTAACGGAGTCCAGACTCACGGCTGCTGCTGTTTCTGTTTGTTTTATTTTGAGACAGGGTCTTGCTATGTAGTTCAGGTCAGCCTTGAACTCACTACATAGCCCAGGATGGCCTTGAACTCTTGGTGATCCTCCTGCTTCAGGTTCCTGAGTGCTGGGATTATAGGCATGTGCCATCATACCCAGCTAGACTCACAGCTTTTGACGTAATTTTCTTCTCTATATCATCTTTTCTTTGTAAACAGAATTTTGTGATTGTCATGGTTTATGTTTGTGTCCCCCAGGCCTCATGAGTTTGCATTGTTCATTTGTGATGGTTCATTGTATAGTGCTTGGATTGATGGTGTCAGTGCTCCACCCACATAAGGGTGGAGCCAGGATGTGATGTAATGGCAGGAAGAAGGTGTGTCTTTCTCTTTGTTGGTTTGAGCTTGCTGTCAATGGCTGCCATGAACTGCGGTCCAGCCATGCCCACCTGCCTTGGAGCCAACTGAGTGTGGACTGAAACCCCCAAAAACTGTAAGAAATAAACCTTTCCTTTCCCAACGTGAGCATCAGGTATTTTGTCTCAGCGACGATCATAAAGTAACTAAGACAGTGATGGAAAAAGAATGGTAAAATTCTGATCACTGAAACAGGATAATCACATGCAAAGCATTTCATTTCCATGGGAAAAATAATAAATTCCCAAAAAAAAGGTAGTTATGTACTTACCTCACTATCCACTGGGGATTGTTGTCTTTGTGGACTTTGTGATGCTTTTTGCTAGATACCCCAAAGTCCCCCCAAAGAAAAGCTGGTTAGAATGTAGAACACTAGAAATGTTAAATTTTATTTACTAATCACACTTTTTTTTTTTAAGATAGTCTTGCTATGCAGTTCAGGCTGGCCTTGAACCCACGATAGAGCACAGGCTGTCCTCAAACTCATGGTTATCCTTCTGCCTTAGCCTACCCAAGTGCTAGCATTATAGGCGTGTGCCACCATGGCCAGATGCACTTACTTCTTCATTTCTTAAATATACAATAATACTGTTCTACATTTATACTTAAGATGTTGCACCTTTGCCTTAAGTACAGTATCTTACAATTTTTTTAGAGAGCAGTATCTTACAATTTAAATTTAAAAAAAAAAAAAAAAACTCCCCACTGTATCACTATATTTTAAAAGGTTTTTTTGGTTTTGTCTTATTTGAGATCAGGTCTCACTAGATAGTCCAGGCTTGGATTTAAACCTGTAGCAATCCTCCTGCCTCTGCCTACTGAGCACTGGGATCACAGGTAGGCGCCATTCTTCCTGACCTTCTAACTGCTTTAAATACCATGCTAATGCTGATAGCCCAAGCCTTCTATTAGCCAAACCTCAGGTTTTCTTAACAGCCTGTGCAAGCACTCTAGATGGAAAGCACACTATCAAGTCATATCCATATCCAAAAACAAAGTCACAACTTCCTTCCCATACTAACTGCTCTGTGCCCCACTTCGCTGATTTCTGCAGTGTTGACAAACAATCACACCTGTGTGGTCAGTGTTTTACACACAGTATGTCTTTACACACAGTATGTCTTTTTTTCTGGTATGTGTTTGTGACAGGTAATAATTCTGCCCCTCTTGAAAACTGGTACATATCAAGGTCTGCAGTTATTTTTACTTCCCTTTCCCCTCTTGGACTCCTCCACTCCCCCGCCTCCTCCTCAGATCTCCTTTCTGATTTCTACAAACCTCTGCAGAGATCAGACCTCCCTGTCTCCTTCCTCTGTGAGATATACAAATATCATTATTACCTTTGTTTAGAGATGAGAAAACTGAGAAGAGAGGCAGTGTGAAAATCATAAGGTCATAAAGTTGGTCAGTAGCATAACTGAGATTTATACCTGTCTCCTGATGCCAAATTCTATGTCCTTCCCACAGTGCTAGTTTCACAGCACCTACTATACTAGTAGTATCAGGGACAAGTATAATAATTCTGAAATAGTTACCATTTAATTGTTAAGTAGACTACATATGAGGAAACAGCTCAGTGACTTTCAAAGTTAAGCATATAGTGAGTGGGAAAGGTGGATTAAAATTCAGCCATTTCTGACTCCCAGTTCCTGCCAAAGCTGCAACACTAACAGCTCTTTGGCAATTTAGCAATCACCCAGTTTTATGCCTTCATTTAGCAGCACTGTCTAATTACTGCAGTTACTTTCCATTCCATTTTCCTCCTCTAGTCTCTTTCTTCTTGACCTGTGCTAATGTGAGTAGACTACTTTCACAGAAGTGTGTCTTCTGTTTTCTTTTACTTAAAATCTGCTTTTTCTGTCTAACAACAGATCAAGATCCACCTCTAATCTGACAGCAGTCATGAATGTCTGCAGGGTGAGTAGCTTTTACTAGCTAGGGAACTTCTACAAAGGTACACTAAATACCAACTGATGTAAAACAGACAGACGGTACCTCGGGTCTATAAGGCTCAGCTAAGTCCCTTCCTGAGAGCAGGATATGGAGCCCACTCACCTACTAGCTGAGTATTTAACCTTAGCCGCAGGCAAATTGTTATCACAAGAAAATAACTATGTATTTTATAAGACTGAGAGAATTAAATGACTTAATGTATATAAAGTGCTTAGAACAGCATCTGGAGTATTCAGTAAGCATTTGGTAAATTTTAGGAAGTATCATTATCATCTTAACCATCTCACCAATTTAGTTTTCCTTTTTTGTCATCAACACAAACTCTAACCAACCTGGTACTCTTTTTAATCAGCATTATTTTATTTATTTATTTTTGTTTTTTTGAGACAGGGTCTTATTAAGATCAGGCTAGCGTTGAGCAACACAGCCCAAGATGGTCTCAAACTCATAGGGATATTCCTGCCTCGGCCTCCCAGGCAATGGGAGTACAGGTGTGTGCCACCATGTTCAGCTAATAACTTTCAGTTTTTGATACAAGCTCTTACTATGTAGCCCAGACTGGCCTCAAACTCATGATATTCATGCCTCAGCCTCCTTAGCACTAAGATTATAGGCATGCACCACCACATCAAGTTGAATTTTTTTTTTTTTAAAAGAGGCATGAGAAGGATTGATTAGAGGATACACTTGAGCAGAGTTCAGGTGTTCAAAGAAATGAAGCATCCCCATTCCATTCCTGAATCCCCAGCACCTCCTTCTGAGGTCAAGTCTTAAATGATACTTGTTCTTGAAGTTTTCCTTTATCTTTGATTTAAAATTAGTGTTTTACTGTAAGCTGTCATTCATTCATGCATTCCTAGTATGATCTAAGCTGTCCTGCTGAACAAGACTTATACTTCATGCATTTTTATATTCCTTGTACAAGTACATAACTAGCATTCCATAAAGAGCTATTAAATCAATAAAACTAGGACAAAGTGGTGCATGCCTGGAGTCCCAGCACCAGGGAAGCTGAGGCAGGAGGATCGTTGCTGAGGCCAGACTGGGCTACGTAGTGAATTTAAATTAAGGTCAGCCAGAATTACAAAGTGAAACCCTGCCTCAAAACAAAACAAAAACCAATCAACTCCCAACTCAAAATCAGCAAATAAGCAAGTGAACAAGTTAGGCTTTGAAAAGTTTAAGTTTATCTTAACTGTAATGGTTACATTGCTTAGCTTTCCTAGAAAGACAAGTTCTGTCTCTGTGAAACATAAACATTTTCCTCTTCCCTATCAGAAAGATTAAATAAACCAATAAAGAATTTTCTAAGAGACTATACAAAAAGTAGTCCACCCTTTTCCCTTACTATTTAGGGATTAAATCTAGGGCCTCTGCACTGAGCTGCACTCACAGGTCTCTTTGTTTTTTGGGTACCAGGAATTGAACTCAGGACCTTGCGTTTGCCACACAGGCACTGTGCCACTCTGAGCCTATATTTCCACCTCCTCTCAGACCATTTTGAAAAAAATTTTTCTTTTAAACTTTGAGACAGGGTCTCACCAAGTCACTAAATTACCCAGGCTTTGTTGGAATTAGCAATCCTCCTGCCTCAATCTTCCTGAGTGCTGGGTTGACAGGCATGTGTCCCTACACCTGGCCCTCAGCAACTTTCTCATTAAAGCGCACAGTCTCACCTGACCAGCCACTAAGTTATTTCAGAGAATTAGCAGTGAGTTCAATTGCCTCACCTTGATAAAGTCCAGGACAGCCTCTCTTTGAATCTGCTTCGTCCTGACTTTTTCCTCCTCGTACTGCAGGGCCGCCAGCTGCGCCTCTCTCCGAGTGCGCTCTATCAACTGTTCTCTTCTCCGGTGGGATTCCAAGTCTGTGTGTGGCAGCTGCAACAAAGGAGTCAGTTTGCATACAGAAGTGGGGCTGCTGTTAGAATTAGGGTATCTGAAAACACGGTCAGCAACTATGTCATGTGCATGTGTTATATTAACAGAGAAGACAAGTAGTAAAGTTTATAGATAAGTGGCAATTAATAGCAATTTAAGTATTATAAAAGAAAACCACCTTGGCTTTTAAAAATAAAATAAAAATAGCAAAAATAAATAAACTAAAAATTACCTGATTGTGACTTGGTGACAGTGACAAGAGAGAAGGCGGCTCAACTGGAATTCTGACCCCCCCAAAAAAAAAGAATAACCTTTTGATACCAGACAAACAGACATGAGAAACAAGTAAGCTTTTTATTATTAACACAGCTTTCTATTAATCATAGGCAAGCTATCCAGTTAGCACTGCAAGAGTAACTTTATTTTGTAAACCTGAGCCTGAGTCATTAAATTAAACCGTAGCAACACCGATGCTCCCAACTCACGTTTCCTGTGATATCTCTGATTACTCTAAAGCCAGCTAACAACTGTCTGCGACAGCCAGCACTGTGAAATGGCTGAGATCACTTTCTTTCTTTCTTTTTTTTTTGTCTTTTTCCTTTTTATTGGTACCGGGGATCAAACTCACGACTGCCTGCTTGCAAGGCAGGTGCTCATGCAGCTGAGCTAAATCCCCAGTCCCAGCTGAGATCACTTTCAAGTGGTATCACTTATTTATTAACTATGATTGTCATATAACTACGATCATCTTTGTGTGTAAACATAGATGTTTTTATATAGTCATTTTATCCAAAGAAATCTGGAGTTCCACAGAACCTGGTAACTGTACTTATAAAGAATCCCTACTCTTATTTTCACCTAATGAAGCAATTTTAATAGCAAAAGTAAGATTATATTGAGTTTTACTCTGTTTTTTCTTTCTTTGTGGTAAAGAGGATTTAACTCAGGGCCTCCCGATAGTAGGCAAGTGCTGTAGCACTGATACACACCCCCAGTTGTTTTAAAATTTTGAGACAAGGTCTCACTAAGATGCTCAAATTGCCCTCAAATTTATCATACGTCTGGACCCAGTCGATGGAGTAGATGGGATTATAGGTGTGCAACATCATGCCTAGCTGATTTTTATTCTTAAGAAGAAGGTGAAACCCTATTTGATAATAAAAGGGAGGAGAAACTACTTGCTTATTACTATTAATTCTCATAATTTGGGAATTTGTCTTTTTCCTGAAGCTGTTTTCGTCTCTGTAATTACATTTCTGTTTGAAACTAAAAATGGTGGAGTTGTGACTTTCTGATTTGAAATTTGGAACTGATTGTTAAGCTTGAAACACACTGAAAAGTGAGCTGTATGGTAAATAAAAATAAATCCCCCAAACCTTTCACAGTTTTCTACCACCTACTATGTGTTCCCCGCTTTGGCAGTGCTGGGAATTGAATCCATGTAATTGCGCATGCTGGGCAAGTGTAAATCTCCTGAGCTATACCCTCAGCCCCCAACTGCCTCCCACTAATAATGTGGCAGTTTGCTAAGGCTGCTACGCTCATGTTCACTGCTCTCCCCGCAGATAAAATAACAGGCTGTGGAGAGGGAAGCAGTCTCAGTACAAGTTTGAGAAATCACTTCGTATCATTTGCACTGGCTCATGGTGCCAGACCAGTCTCCATGGTGTGGCCTAATTCAAGGAATGAGGAAATCTGTTCAGCTTCCCCATGCCTCAACTTTCTCATTTCTAAATGGAGGATAATTATATGTATCCCAGAGAGATGTCATGATGTTTAAATAAGATATTCTATGTATATGGAACACCATAAAATGCATATACTAGTGATTATATATTTAGAATAATAGGAATTAAGTACAGCTTTGTCTCCAGATTACTAATTTCACATGCAGAAACTTTCACTAGCCTGTAGTATACTTGTACCAGCCATCTGAAGGTAAACTTGTCAAAACATAAAAAGGACCAAATAAACGCAACCCAAGCAGCTATATGTACCTTGATTTGAATGCTGTTGTAACAATGCTTTTTAATCTTCTAATACATACCTCTACTAATTTCTGTACCCTCTTTTTTCCTTTGTAATGCTGGGGATGGAACTCAGGGCCTTTCAAATGCTAGACAAGTGCTCTACCACTGGATTATACCCCGGCCTTATTTATTTATTTAAAACTGTGAGCCAGGGTCTCATCAAGTTGTCCAGGCTAGCCTCAAACTTGTGATCCTCTTGTCTCAGCTTCCATGATAAGCGAGTGTCCAAAGGTCTAATCAGCTACTCTTTACAACAGAGCGTCTTTACAAAGCTGGTCACATCTACTGTCTCTGCTTCGATGGCCCAGCTTGTTTTACAATGGCTGCAGTCTGGACGTTGTCCTCATTGCTCCGTTACACTGCTCCTTCAGTTCCTGAGTCTGCTGTGATAAACACTCCCACACCCAGCAGTCCCTTCTTAGTCCCAGCCTTAGCAAACCCATCAGCTCTCTGTGACAGGGTACCCTTCTCTACAGTTCTTAGACCACTCTTCACCGAGCCTGAGACATCACCCTCTTGCTCCATCCTGCCCACGCTGCTGCATTTCTTTTCCTAGATGTTCCCACCCTATTTCTACTTTACCTCAAATTCACATTTCTAATGCTTTAATCAACACTTTCAAGTGACTGTCCAGGCATCATAAGCAGCGTACAACCACAGCTCAATTCTCGTCTCATCACCCAAATCCATCCTGCTTTGTTCAGATGCTTTTTTAAAAACCTGATCAGTCAATGCTTACTAGAGAAACAGATATAACACAACATATACAAATATGTATGAGTTTACGAGATTGGCTTAAAATGATCAGACTCCCTTGATTTTTGTTGTTGCTGCTTTTTGTTTTGTTTTTCTGAGACAAGGTCTCCTTATGTAGCTCAGGCTGGTTTTGAACTCCCCATGTACCCCAGTCTGGCCTCAATTTGTGGGCTCCTGCCTCAACCTCCTGAGTGCTAGGATACAGGTGTACACCATCACTCCTGGCTTGTCTGGCAATTCTGAAATACAACACGAATCCCTCTACCTCATGGCCTCTGCCTAGACAGCAGACCAGTCCCCACTCTGTCAGGTTTCTACTGAAATATCACCCTGCAACACACTGCTCTCATTCTCCTTCACCCAACACCACATCTTTTGCAATGCTTATTTTCCTTTTCAAAAAGAGTACTTAGAAGAACATTATCTGTGACGTTTTGTCTCCATCTACTTAATGGTAAACTCTAAGCTATCAGAGACCTGGAAGAGATACAGAACCATCTTAGTGCTTAGGAAACACTGTCAGCAGGAATGCAGTGACACTGTCCCCAAACCACAGAACATGGACACACAGGAACCCACCAACCACAGGTGACATTTAGCTTCTCTCAAATCTTGGGACTTTCCTTGTGCTGTACCCACACAGCGAGTGGGGTTCTCAGAGGGGATGATGGGAGGTTAAGAAAAAACAAGACACACAGGAAAAAGCTGGGGATCAGGTGGGACCTGATGTCTCCGATGGAGAGGCAGTGACAATGCAGCGTGTAGGTCATCAGTGTTCTGTTGAGAACACTGAAAGGGAACCATTTTTAGAGCTATCTGTGCTGTAGCTAACAGGGAGGAACACTGAGGCTGGACATTTGTTGGATTGGCTTTGCTCCAGTCCTGACAACTTGTTCCCATGGCTCCCCTCTGGCACTTTGTGTGTTCAGGGCTGGCCTTGCTCTAGCCCCAGATGTGAGGTTGGTCTCCAGCTCAGGTGCGCCACACTTCTAGCTAATCTGTAACTCTAACATCAGTCAGGCAGACTTTCAGCAGCTCTCTGCTTTTCTTTATAAAATCTGATAAATGGTGAGAGGGGGGAAGGGAAAAAGGAAAAAGGAAAAAGTAAGAAAAGAAGGAAAACATGAAAACAAAGTTTTTGTAAATGGGAGGAAAGGAGGAGCTGAAGGTAGGGGAATGGGAAAAAAAGAATCAAGTTATATCATATACAGATACTAATTCTCCATGATGAATGTGATCATTATGTATATCTAAAATGTACCAATAAAATCCAATTAAAAAATCATATGATTGTGAGCTGCTTTTCTACCTTGACAGCAAAATAAAACAAAAAATTTCCCTGTTTTACCCATATGCTTTTCCATTCCATACTATTTCTTATAGAAGCCAGTGTAGGGCCTAGTTGATTCATTTCTCCTGAGCTAACCAATGTCCAGATTGCAAGCAGACTTTTATGTAACTTTTGCTAGTGTCTACTTTAATGCATTTATTTATTTATTTTTGAGTACTGGGGATCAAACTAATGACCTTATGCTTGCCAGGCAGGCACTTATACCACTGAGCTAAATCTCTGGGCACTCTATTTTAATGTTATATAAATTTTTTTTTTTTTTTTGAGACAAGAGTCTTCCTATATATAATTTAGCCTGGGCTTGAACCTGCTATATAGCCCAGGTTGGCCTCAAACTCATGGCAATCCTCCTACCTCAGCCTCCTGAGTGCTAGGATTATAGGCATGCACTGGCTAAAGTTATATAATCTATCCTGGTAAATAACCATAAAATAATCACCAATTTCAACTTGTTTACTGTATCCCCACCTTTATTATCCCCAGGAGAGACTGTGAGGGGGATTGGGAAGGAGAACACTACATATCCAGTGGATGAGGGGACAGAGGGAGAAGACACAAGTAGCTTTCCTTTCCAGCTGAGGTGGAGAAGGCCAGGAGGAGCAGCCAACAAGCAGCAGTTTGTCAACTGCTGAGATGCAAAGTGCTGAGACTGATTCTTTTCATTAATATTATTCAAATCATACATAAGTCTCGTGAGCTTGAGCATTCCCAGACATTCTCAGATGATTTTGCTTTCTAGGTTCTCTATTATTATTCCACTTGAAGGTACGCCCTAGGAGGGCAGGAACTTTGACTGACATTCACATCTATATCTCCATTCCTAGAAAAGTATTTGCTACACAGTAGGTATTTAGCAAGTATCTGTCAATTAAACAAATGATGTATTGATCTTAAGGGTTTAACTAGTTACTGGGGTGACAATATATAGTACTCTTGTTTAAGGACTGTACTAGAATTTAGTGATTTGAAACATTCAATTAAAAAGAAACTGTAGAATTAGTTTCTAGCACTAGCAGACTAAATGTGCCCAAGAGTTCTTCCAATGGAAACAATTAAAGTGCTGAATAAAATATATTGAAATCTAGATTCTAAAAGAGAAATCCAAAAGTAGGAAGTCTGGATTAAGGTGTGCTAGGCAGGCTGGGACACTTGGTTTTATTCAATAAAGTTACTGATCGGCTGGTGTTAAGATGAGATGATTCAGGTGGGCCTAACATAACCATAAGCCCTTAAAAGCAAAAGAGGAACTCAAAAGAATCTGTGAGATGGGCCGGAGGAGAAGCTAAAAGGTTGAAATGTCTAAAAAATTTCAGTCTGCCACTGCTGTCTTGTTCATGGAAGGGATCTGGGAAGCAAGGAATGCAGGCAGCCCCTGGAGGCTGAACATGACCCTCGCCCAGCAGGTATACAGGAACAGGGCACTCAGCTCTTCAGCTGTGTGGAACTGACTCCTGCCAACATGTGTGAGCCTGAACACGGACTCTCCCAGAATCTGCAGTCAGGAATCTAGGGCAGCTAATACCTAGTGCTTGGCCTTGTGGAACCCTAAGCAGTGAACCAGGAGGTCAGTCTAGTCCTCTAGCCTATGGAATTGTCATGTAATACATAGGTATTGTTTCAACCTGCTAAATTTGAAAGAGACATGACAGAAAACTAATACATACACTGAGTGAAAAAACTGGCTTTTACTTTGAAGATTTCTACTAAAACTAAATTCTAGAGAACTTGCCCTTCATCAAGGACAGACCCAGGAAGTGAGAGGAATAGGAGATAAAGCTAGGTCTGACCACGGTAAACAAAATGTGACAGAAAACCTGGGTGTGAAATTTGGATTCTTGGTTGTTTTTGTTTGTTTGTTTGTTGCTACCAGGGATCCAACTCCTGACCTTGTGCTTACCAAACAAGCACTTGAGCCACTAAGCTAAATCTCAGCCCCTGAAATTGGATTCTTAAAGAAGTCACTCTGAGAGAAATTTCAAAAGCATATAAAATGTAACTAAATCTCTTAGAAATAAGTGGTAAGACTAAAAAGGCCAACTTACAAGACTTTTTTCTTTCATGATTTCTCCAGTTTCTTGATTCCATCTGTATTACAGTCCCTGAGACAATTTTAATACACTATGAAGATGAAGAGTTATGTATGACATATCTACAGAGTAAATATAAGAATAGGTGTACGAACTCTACTATTTTAAGACTCCATAAAAACAAAGGGGAATCAAAAGCAGAAAATTTTTCAATCACTGAGATAAAGTTTATGGTAAGAAACCTTTTGGAATTCAAGAATGAGAAGACACATTCTGAATAATCAAACTAATTTTAGAAATAGTTGCTAAATGTAATGGAAAGGTCCTATTAATTGAGCTAGGAATAAGAATATATATCATTGCCTCTTATCTACCTCTTGGTTATGCAGTAAAAACTTCAGGTTAAAAAAAAAAATTTGAGGGGCTGGGGGTTTAGCTCAGCGGCATAAGCACCTGCCTTGCAAGCAGGCAGTCGTGAGTTCGATCCCTGGTACCGATAAAAATGAAAAAGACAAAAAAAAAAAAAAAAATTTGAGAGCCAGTAGTAGCACTGCATGTCTGTAATCCCAGCTACCTGGGAGGCTGAATCAGGAAGGCTAAAAGTCTTAGGATGGTCTAGCAAAAGGGCAAGACCTTGTCGAAAAAGGCTGAGTGGTAGGGTGGAGAGCTGGAGAGATAGCTCAGCACTCCCTGGGTTTATTCCCTAGAACCATGCCAGAAGAAAGAAAGAGAGAGAGAAAGACAGAGAAAGAGAGAAAGAAAAAGAGAAAGAGAAAGAGAAAGAAAAAGAGAAAGAGAGAGAAAGAGAAAGACAGAAAGAGAAAAAGAAAGAAAGAGAAAAAGAAAAAGAAAAAGAGAGAAAGAGAAAAAAGAGAAAGAAAGAAAGAAAGAAAGAAAGAAAGACAGACAGACTTCTGAAAATCTTTAATGTATTTACCATGGGGCCATAATTTGTGTCTTATTGCTTGGAGGCTTCAGCCAATTCATGCATGACTGTCCCAATGGGTGGTTAATTAATTTTATTAGTAAAAAGACGATAAAAGTTTCAGATCTGTTTGTACCAGCAGTGATACAGGTCATCCGGTTCAAGTTAGCAAAAACATGTTAAGCTCTCTTTACGCATGAATCCACTTTATCACCACAAAATCTCTTTGCTATCAAGTGCTTTCAAATCAATTAATTGCACAGCTAACAGGTTAGGTAGTCTGACTTTAAAATACATTGATTTTATCTTTATTTTATGGCATGAGCACACAAGCACACTGTAACTTAGTTTTAAATAAATGGTCTTTAAAGTCTATAGCACAGCATTAGAGACAAATGAGAAAGCTAAAGTTTATTTGACTGTCATTAAGCAAACTTAAAAACAACAGACTTTACAGGAACCCTTTAAAGAATTTTCCTATTGTTTGAAGATTATGGAGTCTAAAAATCTAAACAAAATTTGTTGAAATGATGTTTACAGACAACAACCATCTTAAATAGTTGAAACTGAAGGATTTTTGAGATTTTCCCAACTTATGGACCCCAGCTACAAATGTCCTTTCAGAAATTAAACTTAATTTTAGTTACTGGGAAACATTTTATATGGCTTATACTTTACAGTGCACAGACTCATTAGTGGTACTCTTAGATATGCACACCTCGACATGTAGAAACGACCAGAAATGTTCTTTAAAAATTCACATAATGGATTAATGTTTTTGTTTTACTTACTTACAAAAATAATTAGTTACTAGTATGTTTAAAAGAGGTTTAAAGGAACAACCATTTATTTGCTCACAATTCTGCAGTTGGAAGTTTAGCCAGAGCTCAACTGGATCCTTCCCATATCTAACAAAGGGTCAGCATTTATGATCAACCACGGGTCAACCAGGAAAGTATGCTTTCAGATTATGCCTGGATGTATAAAAACAACAAATGCTGAGATGAACGGGTAAAAAAAATGTACATAGCACAGTATCTCCACATCTTTGTTATATATGGATCTACACAAAATCAAAATCACTTCACACCTTATTACGGAGATTTAAGATGGAAAGAAATAAGTAGAATTGCTTTTTCAAACCTGTTTTGATGTGAGTATCGTCTCATGTCTTCTGGTTTTTGAAATACCCTAATGGCTACTGGCTTTACAGGTGAACCCTAGAAAAAAAACAGCATAAATAAGTCAATTTAAAATATGCATCCAGAATCCTGTAATTATATCATTTACATTTGACTTCACATTTAAAGACTTGTAAATTGTATGAAAAGTTATTTTAATATAATCTTCAAATGTGAACTTCATGCTTAAAAGCATTGCAGATTACATGACATATGCTTTGATAAAAATATTCATAATCTACATTTTATTTAAATCAAGATTTCCTTCTTGCTGTATTATATAAACTACAGTGACCTAACATAGTAATATTTCCTGAGTGGTAAGGAAGGATTTTAGAGGTCATCTGGTAGAAACTTCTATCTAAGACAAGACTTCTACCTTCCTTTTCTACCCAACATCTGCTCAGTTTCTCTTGAACAGCTATTGTAATTGGGAGTTCTTTAGGCCAATTGTGTTTCTTTGTTTTTCACCACCACAAACCATAACCTTAGTCATACACTAGTCCTGAAGATATTGGTGGGATATCAAGATAAAACAAAAAGTAACTTATAATGTATGGTAAAATACAGCATTAATTAAAGAATTATTGGCAGTTTAATTTATAGTCTGTTTTTGAAAAGCATCACTGGGACGATGCATTGTTGAGGCAAGTTGAGATGGCTGAACTGATAGAAATCACACACTAAAAAAAAAAAAAAAAAAGAAATCTGCCGGGCATGATGGCAGAAGGCTGAGGCAGGAGGATCACTGCGAGTTTGAGACCAGCCTGGGATACAAGATGAGCTCAAGGTCAGCCCTGAACTACACAGTGAGACTGTCTTAAAAAGCAAGAGAGAGAGAGAGAGAAATTCAAGGCAGAATTTTAGTGGTTTGCATAGTATGTATTTTGTAAGATGAGAAACTACAGAAGCAATAAAACCTTTCAGTATCAAAATTAATTATGATAATGGATATTCTATAAGGAAAAAAATAAGAAAACAGCTTCTCCAAAAAGAATATCTAAAAATGAAATTTAAAACTATTCATAGCCTACCTCCAAGAAATAAGTATATCACATATAATTAAAAAATCTTTAGCAGTTACTCCAAAGGTCTAAAAGCTGACTGCCTTAAAGTCTGAGCGCAATGATCAGACTGAATGATTCTAATGAAAGAATTCTAATGACAGAATACTTATTCTAATTATAGTGACCATGTCATTCTTTTTTAATAAGCAAAAATTTTTCCTAGGATGCTACATAAATGACTTAACCACTCTGGTTTTATGATATTGCAAGCACCTAAAGTTACTATCAGAGGCACTGAAACTTTCCAAACAAAATAAATGTGATACTGACTTAATTTAAAAATAAGTATAGCACGAGGTTGTGAGTTCAATTCCTGGTACCCCACTCAAAAAAGACTCGAAAGTGTAAGTTATAACATATTTAGGCCGAGGTAGATATATGGGAGTGGCATTACAATAAAATTAAATAATAGTGCATTTAATATCTCAAATAACTTAGTTTAATAATCTTTTTATAAAAATAGCATTCAAGAACACAAAAAAGTTGTTTTTTCACTGTTTGTTAAAAATACCTAAAATAATAAAGCCTATTTTACTGATTTTAGGAAGCTTTATGACACAGAAATCATATAGCCTTATGATACAGACTTTAAAAACTATCATATACAAGCAATTTAATATTTATTTATTTATTTGGTCTTTTTGAGACAGGATCTCAGTATGTGGTCCAGGCTGGCTTTGGCTCACTTTGTAGCCCAGGCTGGTCTTGAACTTATGAGGATCCTTCTGCCTCAGCCTCCTGAGTGCTGGGATGACAGAAGTGTGCCACCAAGCCCCACTGCATTTTAGAATTTAAAAACACATTTCTATAAAAAGAGCCAAACTAATGGATTAAAGAAATGTGGCATAATTTGCCATTATAGTGCAAGCATTTTCAATTAGAGTAGATACTCAAGAAAATGACCACAAAAAAGTAAGATTATAATGCGACATGATGAATTTTACTTTTATTGTACAACAGTTCTTTGCTTTAACAGAGAGGCTAACAGCCTGAACCACAAGCAATTCACTCACTATCTACCTATTACTGTCTCTGAACTGCAGGATTTGACTTACATAACTTTTTCCAATTCCTTTTTTTTTTTTTTTTTTTTTGTCTTTTTCATTTTTATTGGTACCGGGGATCGAACTCACGACCACCTGCTTGCAAGGCAGGTGCTTATGCCACTGAGCTAAATCTTCAGCCTCGTCTTTATCCAATTTCTGAATGTGTCTTCTGAACACCGACAAAAAGTAATGTGTTCAAAGCCTTCAAACAGGAAAACCAAGGGCTCTTTTAAAAAAATGATAATGTCACTCTGTAGCATGTCCCATTTGATTATCTGTTTCTGAAAGGCTAAATACATCGTTCTCCAAAAGCCCCCGTGTGTTTCTCAAATAACCCCAGCTCAGAGGAGGGACAAACTCCAGACTTCAACGTCACAGACATGAAGATGGAGCCATTTTATTAGGCTGACTGGATGCACTGAAGGATGCTATTCTCCGTTAGACCCTGGGGGAACTGGCAGAGTCTGCAGTAGGCTGAATGCACATTTGTTTTCTAGGGCAATTCAATCCTAGAATTTTAATAGCGAACAATTTAGGTCCTGTCAACTTAGGATAAAAACTCTAATATAATTAAGCTTATTATAAAAATTTCATGGGTAAGTTGTGTATTGTCTCAAAAGTCAACTTTTTGAGCTTAATTCTTATACTGACCGATCACATTATGACTTAAGTTCTAGTAAGAAAGCAAATAAAAACAAAGAAACTCCCAAAACACCAACAATGGAAAGCATGTTTCCTCTGTATCTTCTTCAAAGGCCTTAGGTTATTCTTAGGACTGTTTTACTTTTTCTTCAAAAACTTTTTACATTTTCGTTCAAAAAAGTACTGTTTTCTTACTTAAAAAATAAAATCTAGCCAGGTGTGGTGGTGCATACCTATAACCCCAGCACATGGGAGGTTGGGGCACAAGGATTGCTATGAGTTCGAGGGCAACCTGTACTACACAGTGAGTTCAAGGCCAGTAAATTACACAGAATGACCCTGCCTTAGAAAGAGAAAAAAGCTAGGTGTGGTGATGCACTCCTGCAAAGCCAGCTCTTGGTAAGCTGAGGCAGGAGAATTGTTGCAAGTTTGAGACCAGCCTTGGCTACAAATTAAGCCCAAGGCCAGCCTGAACTACATACCAAGATTTTGTCTCAAAAAAAAAAAAAAAAGCAAGAAAACAAATACACAAACAAAAATCTAAATTCTACTTGAGACGTCACATTTTCAAAATAAATCTGAAAAATTTAGGACTAAAATTAGAAGTAAACATTATAATGAAACAATTAGGCCTACACCAACAAGTTGCTGATATGAGAGAAATGTATAATACTGTGAACTGCCTAAACACATTCTAGGGAACAGCACAAGCCTAGTCTTTAGTTGTATCACCTCGTGCGAGACCCGCCGCTGTTCAATGTATGCCATAAACTGTGAACTGAGGCTGTTAGAGTCCCGGCCTCGGGGCTGTCTTGCTTCATCCTCCTCCTCCTCTGCAGCACAGCTGTCAATGTAGTCGATCTGATCCAAGTCGTGTTCCACTGCAGTTACCACATGCACCAGAGAAAATAGGTAAGACAGACCATAAATGACATTTACTTAAATTATATTCTCTCCTTTCCCTTAACATTTTCTATTCTGAAAATAGACAGAAGGACACAGAGTCCATGGCCACTCACTTTTCAGAAAAAGTCTCCTAAAATCTTAAGTCCAAGGTCACTGCAGAAAGCTAATGGTAATTACTGAAACACAGACCTAGTTAATCTCTCATTTCTTTTTTTTTTTTTTTTTTTTATTGGTACCGGGGATTGAACTCACAACCGCCTGATTGCAAGGCAGGTGCTTACACCACTGAGCTAAATCCCCAGCCCCCCATTTCTCTGGATAGTTCCATAGAGTTTTAAACAAGACAGTTTGAGTTTGTGAAAGAGAAGGCTAATTTTTAACAACTGAAAGGTGCATCTTTTCTTTTAATTTCTTAGGGTGCTTAATACCGCCTTTGGGGGTTGAGACACAGAATACCTAACAGTTAACTCAAAGTAAAATAAAGGCAATAAATAGTAGTCAGGCGTGGCAGCGCACACTTGTAGCCCAGCTCTTTGGGAGGCTGAAGCAGAAGCATTGGGGCCAGTGGAGGCAACAAAGCAAGGACATTCTCCCCTCAATCAATCAATCAATAAAAAATAAGGAAAGAAAAGAAAGGGTAGGAAAAAACTGGACTTGGAGAGAAAGAAAGTTATTGAGTAATATTTCATTTCCTGTAACTTTGTTGAATGTTTTTTAAAAACCATGACCAGAACAAAGGTTTCCTATTTAGAAAATTAATTGCTAAAGGTTGACCTTGCACATACTTGGCAGTAATTTGTGAATGAAAGGGAATCATTTGAAGAATTTTTTCTTTTCAAGATGCTTCAGAGTGAAGAAAGCATATTATTTCATCTAGTAAGTTTTAGAATGTCCTACTGTTAAGTTTAAAACCAATTACATTTAGTAAGTATTTAAAATAGTGCATTAGAAAAAAATGACCTTGCTACTAAGATGGTTTCTTCAGAGATGCAGTAAATCTCCATTATTTTATGATACGTCATAAGCTGTCTGTTAAGTGCAGTTTCTGGAACAGTGAATTTGGAGACGTCTAGTTCTCAATTTAGTTTCTGATCAAGTTTTTTTTTAACAAATTCTAAAGATGCAATTAATATTAAAAATAAATTCTGAATTACTAAGATTTGCTCATAGCTACAAAGGATGAAAAGGCACTAAGTCTGCATCACCACTGGAAACCAAATAAATAAATACATTTTTTACGATGTGTTACAATTTTTATACAAAATTTATATTATGACTATTTTCCAAGACAGTAGTATCATTGTTTCATACTATTTGGACAGTACAGTCCAAGAGAAAAGAAAAGCACTTACAAAAGGAAGCCACGTAAGTAATTTTAAATTTCTTAGTAGCCACATTAAAAATAAAGATAGCTGGAGTTGTAGAGCATGCAGGTTATCCCAAGTATTCAGGAGGCAGAGGCAAAAGGATTACAAACTCAAGGGCAGCCTGGGAACCTAATCCTCTGCCTCAGCATTCATACATAATACATACATAGGAGTAGGGAGGTACCATGAGGCTTCAGGTTCAAGCCCTGGTAATGTAAAACTCACAGCCCCATCTCCCAATAAAAAAGAAAGGATAAGATAACATTAAGGTTTTTTTGCTTTTTTTTTGTACTAGGGACTGAACTGAGGGTCTTCACACTGAGCCTTTCAAATTATTTTTATCGTTGTTCTAAGACAGGGTCTCACTAAGTTCTCCAGTCTGGGTTTAAAGTCATTAAATTGCCCAGGCTGGGCTTGACCTTGTGATCCTCCTGCTTCAGCATCCTAGAGTGTTGGGATTACAGGTATGAGCCACTGTGCCTGGCTAATACTTTTTATGTTGTCCAATATATCTAAGTGTTATTACCTCAATATATAATGTACTATTTTACATATCTTTTTTTTTTTTTTTACAAAGTCTTCAAAACCTGATGTGGATTTTATGCTTATAGTATATCATGATTCTTTTCTTTTTTTTTTTTTTTGAGACAGCATCTCGATATTAATTTAGACTAGCCTCTAACTCATAGCAACCATCTTGTCTCGGCCTCCTGAGTGCTGGGATTACAAGCATGCACCTCCATGCCTGGCAGGAAAACAACATTTGAAGTGCCTGATCACAACATGTGGCTAGTGGCTACCATACTGAAAAGCACAGATCTAGAAATTGTGTCTTAAACTAAGTTCCTGGAAAGATATCATATATGAGGGTAAAATTTAAAAGAAAAGGAAAACTGCTGAAATGTGAGTGGAATACTTAGGTGACATGAATAAAGAACATAAGATGGTGAGGAAAAGAAATATAACAAGCCACTTAAAGTCATTATTCGGAGATAAAAGCTTTTCTCTACAAAGCAAAATATGTCATTTATCTTTTTAAAATCCCCTGCAACATTAGGATTTGATGATTTAAATTAAGCCAATATAGATTAGAATATTAAAATTAAGTTTATTTTAGAAGTACTATCCAAGGAAGCAAAGATATCTACTTATTCTATAAAAACTGCAAAATTTTGTGGGTTTTTTTTGGTCTTTTTCCTTTTTACCGGTACCGGGGATCAAACTCACACGGCAGGCGCTTATGCCACTGAGCTAAATCCCCAGCCCCCAAAAACTGCAAAATTTTAAATGCCAGAATAAGGAAAACATTCAGAAGCTCTGAAAAGAATTATTGTAGTTGAAAGAAAAGCTAAACACTAAACAACACACTGAATTCCTACAAGAGATCAAATCATCGCCTTAAAAAGGGAGAATGGTATGACAAAGAAGTATTCCAGGTAAACTGTCTCTAAATAAGTTTCCTTCCAAAATAAGAATGAGAGACACACTTTTCACTACAAACCTGAAAACTGAGAAACTGAAGTCTCATCCCTGAGGAAAACAATTTTTTTTGGTCATTACATGAAAAGCTCTTGAACAGTTCAAAACTACAGACACCAAAACAAAAGGAGTGGATGTGGAAAAGACTGCTTCAAAAAAATGACAGAAATTGAAAAGATTAGAGATGTCATCAGAATTCTGTTTACCTCCACCATTTGTTACAACTAAACTATTCCGACTCTCTTGGTATTGGCTTTCTCTTCGTAGTCTTTGTTCTTTAGTAATTTCCGCTACCCGAAGAGGCAGATCTGAAAATTCATCTGTAGGCTTAAAACACAACACAAACATTTAAAAATTTACCTGAATTTTGGACAACATATTTAAGTATGGGCATAATATAAGCTAGTTAAAATTGACATTTAGGAGGAAATAACAAAGGCATTTTTGGCTTTGGTGCTGCTGGAATTGAACCCAGTGCCTTACACATGCTAGGCAAGAACTTTTTTTTTTTTTTAAATCGGTACCGGGGATTGAACTCACGACCACCTGCTTGCAAGGCAGGTGCTTAGGCGACTGAGCTAAATCCCCAGGCCCTAGGCAAGAAATCTTAGCAGCGAGCTGCACTCCCAACTCAGCAAAAATGTTTTAGAAATGGACAACAAAGACAGGCAGACAACAATATGAATGCATTTAATGCAAGTGGAATGGGGGGGTTTTGTTTTGTTTTAAAGATACTCTCCTGTCTCAGCCTCTCAAGTACTGGAATTACTTATGTCACCCAGTCCAGAAAAATATTTAAAAATGGTTAAAATGGTGAACTCTGCTATAGATATTCTAGCACAGTCAACAAAGAAATCAGGGCATTCATAATTTTATAAATATATGCACAGATCTGTAACCACATATGAATCTCTATGGACATATTCACCCAGAGATACATACACAATCAATTCCAAATTATAAATAGGTAGTGTTTTAAATTTAAGTTGCAATGGGGTTTCAATGAAAAAATGTTGGGGGCTGGAGGTTTAGCTCAGTGGCATAAACGCCTGCCTTGCAAGCAGGCAGTCATGAGTTCGATCCCCGGTACCGATAAATAGGAAAAAGATAAAAAAAAATGTTGTAAGCTGGATGTTACAAGACCTGCTTAAAAAAAGCTTAATCATTTAATTCAACGGAAGGCTTAGTATTTTAAAAAGCAGAAAATACAGTGGTAATAATTGCTTCTTCTTTTGAGGCAGTCTCACTGTATATGTAGGCTGGCCTTGAACTCACTATGTACCGCTGGCTGGCCTTGAATTTAGTAATCCTGCTGCTTCAGCCTCCAAAGTGCTAAGATAACAGGTGTGCACCACCAAGCCCAGCTCAATAATTAAAAACAAAAAGCAATCTATTTTGACATATGGATACTCTTTTTCTTCACTTCTCTTTCTTTGTTCACAAGAATGAGGGTACTCTTCAGCAGGTTCCCATCTCCACCCACCGACCTAGTCGGATCTTCCCTTGCCTTCCAGCATTTCTTCTACCTCTGCTTCAGACTACTCAGACTTCAAACTGTAGGGTTCAGTTTTAACCGACAGTTCCTGCTTGCTTTCTAGAATATGAAACTATTTATATAGAGAAGGAGGTAATAAGCTTATAAAATACACATGGTGAAAAGCTGGTTGGGCCGGGATACACCTCAGTGGCACAGCACTTGCCTGGCAAGCACAAGATCCCGAGTTCAATTCCTGGTAGCAAATTTTAAAAAAAAGAAAAAGAAAAAAAAGATGGTGAAAAGAAAAACTCTTTTTTTTTTTTTTTGTTAATACTGGGGGTAGAACCCAGGGCTTTGTACATGCTAGGTAAATACCACTAAGCTATATCCCCAACCCTAGAATACTATTTTTGGATGGAAGGATTCCATGGGGTTTTTGTTCCTGCCTTGATTTTCCTGTATTTTATATGTTAACAAACCAAATTCAATTAGGCTTTCTCTTTCAGCATTTTCTTTTCTCTTAATGTATGTTCAACATACAGAGGAGACACTCACCTCGTTCCCCGACCACCTCTTATCGCCACTGTCCACACTATTGAAACCTGAATCAAGGGCTCCATAGGGGCGACCTGAGTATAGTTCTTCATGGCTGCCAGAAAGAAACTAGCTTTTACTGCGAAGTTTGGTATCTTCACTTGATCTTAGCCCAAAGACTGAGAAGTGACTATAAAGTCTGACATCTTAAAATTAAAATGTAAAATAAATGATTTTACTAATAAATATTCTCATGGTTCTTAGTTCTTTATTATAATTTGTATACATTCAAATGCACAGATCTTAGTTGCACAATTGCGACAAATCACTACATCCCCGTCCATACACCTCTGTCATGGGCGGACATTTCTACTTTGCCAGAAGATGTTTGTCCATCCCTTCCCAGTCAATTCCCCCTTGCGCTGCCACCATGTGTTCCTCAGATAAAATCCCTGTGGATTTTCTTTTACATTATTAAATTAGCGTGGAAGGCTAAATATTCCCTAAAATGCCACGACTGCTTCTCTGGAACTTGTATGTCACCTCACATACAAACATAAGGTTGTAGATAGCGATAAAGTTGCTGGTGAACTTTTTAAAAAGGGAGTTTATCTTGATTTTAGAGCTCAGTGTAACTGCAGGGTTCTTGGGTTTGTTTTTGGTGTTCTGGCCTCCCCCTCATGATTCTCCCTTCTCAGCCTCCAAAGTGCTGCTTGCAAGTGTCCTTGTAAGAGACAAGGAGGCAGACAGGGCAGTGATGGGATTTGGGCTGGAGGACGGAGGATGGGATGTGAGCCAAGGAGTGCTGACAGCCTCTGGAAGCTGAGAAAAATAACAGGAGGACAGAAGAAGATCTGATTCAGAGCCCACAGAGAGGACACAGCCCTCCCAGCACCCTGATTTAGCCCAAAGAGTGTTTGATTTCTGACCTACAGAATCATAACAAAAAACCTGCATTGTTTAAGCACCTACATTTGTGGTAATTTCTTATGATAGCAACAAAAAATGAGTATAACTAGTTTTGCTTATTCTAGAATTTAGAAAGATAGAATCATGTACTCTATGTGGCTTTTTCATGGGGGTGGATCAGCAACATGTCAATAAGAATCACGTTTTTTTTTTTAAAAAAAGAACTGGAAAGTGCCCACGGGTCTCGAACCACCGGACTAATCGGCCCAGGCGGTTGGGAAGCCAGACTCAAAGGAACCGCTGGGCTAAAGCCAGCCCAAATCACGGTATTTTTATGCTCCTTCCTATTGCTCAGTTAACATTTTACTTAATGAATATGTAATTTTATAATTCTATTTTCCACTGATAAGACACTCTTGTTGTTTCTAGCTTTTGGCTGCCAAGAACATTGGTGAATAAATCTTTGTAAGTCTTTGCTCCAATTAGTCTCTCAGTAAATAACTTAAAGAGTAAAAATAAATGGTTTATATGGTAAGCAGAGGTTTAACTTAAGAAAAAAAAAAAAAACAACTGTCACTTTGGTTTCCAAAGTAGCTATGACATTCTGCATTTCTAACAGCAGTGTATTCTGGTTTTAGCTGCCAACTCTTGCCAGCGCCTGCACTGCTGGGCCTTTAATTTACCCATTCTGGTGAGTACCAACAGTTGTCTATCTCAGTACCTCACTGTGGTTTTCATCTGTGGTTCTCTGATGGCTACAGATGTTGAGTAGTATCTCTCTGGTGTGTTTACCAGCCATTCATTTAGCTTCTTTTGTTAAATGTCTGCTCAAAACCATTGCTCATTTTTTAAAAAATTACATTTTTGAAAGAACTTTATGGGTTTTTGAATTTCACTGAAATTCAAAACTTCCAATTTGAAGGGGCTGGGAATTTAGCTCAGCGGCATAAGCGCCTGCCTTGCAAGTACGCAATCCTGAATTATATCCCCAGGACCAAAAAACAAAAAACAAAACAAACTTCCAATTGAAAAACATGTCAAAAAATGAGGATGGATTACAGATTGACATCAATATTACTGTCCATTTTGAAAATGCAACATTGGGGGCATAAGCACCTGCTTTGCAACCAGGCAGTCGTGAGTTCGATCCCCGGTACCGATAAAAAGGGAAAAGACAAAAAAAAAAAAAAAAAAAAAAAAAAAAAGCAAAAGAAGTCAGACACAAAATGCTTCATACTCTTGATTCTGTTTAGATGAAATTCTAGAGAGGCAAAAGTCTACTATCATGAAGCAGATTGTAGCTTGATGCTGTGGATAGAGGACCATGCAGGTAATATGTATGTTGGCTCCACTGGTGTTTTCTTAACAAGTATTAACTTACTAAAACTAACTGAAATGCACACTTGACACAGGCTAAATTTTATTATTTGTAAATTATCTTGTCACAACCCTCCCAAAAAAGTGCTAAACTATTTCACAGAGTGGACATAGCATGCTTTAAGTAATAAATGAGAGCACTGGCTGATGTCATATCCTCACCAGTAGTTGGAGAAGCCAGTCGTCTTAATTTTTGTTGTTCTAATGAATGTGTACTGACACTGAGTGACCTAATTTTCATTGATTTCCTATTATGACCAATGACACTGACTGCTTTTCTCTGTGCTTACTTGTCCATTTAAATATCTCTCTTTGTGAAGAGGTCTGTTCAAGTCTTTTGCTCATTTTTCAGTAAGCGCTTTCTGTCTCTCCTTCCTGTGTGTTTGTGTGTGAGTATGCATTTGTGACTTAACCCAGAGTGTTGCACTGAGCTGTGTCCCCAAACCCTTTTCATTATTATTTTTTTTCAAATCCATTTTATTTCAAGGATTAAAAAAAAAAGAAAAGAAAAAAGGAAAAAAAAAACTACAACAAAATTTGAAAATACATCAATCAGGGGTTCATTATTATTTTCTTAAATTTTGAGCTAGGCTTGAACTTGCAATACTCCTGCCTCAGCCCCCTCAATTGCTGGGACTATAGGAATGTGCCACCACAGACAGCTTGTGTTATTTCTTTATCATTAAATTGTAGGTATTCTTTATTTGGATACAAGCTAGAGGTCACATCATTTTATTTTATTTTATTTTATTTTTGAGACAGGGTCTAAGTAGGCCAGGCTAGCCTTGAACTTGCTATTTAACCCAAGCTGGATCTGAACATGCAATCCTCTTGGCTCAGTCTCTTGAGTGCTGACATTACAGGTATAAGTACCACACCTAGTAAGAGAGCATTACAAGTCATGAAGTCTATTTCATTTGCATTTAGTTCATCAAACATTTATTGAATGCCACATAGTGTTCTGGGTGCTAAGAACATACGTATGAATAAACAATGGCCACTGCTTTCAGGAACTCAGGCTTGTTGGGGAGAATTCATTCCACTGGTGGGGTTACAGAGGCAGAACTTTTCCTATCAATGCCTTAGTCTCTCCTCAGTTTCACTGCCACATCATCGTAAATAAATGTAGTTAGTCTGTAACATAAAGCTGCTTAAAATCAGCAAAGTGTATTAGTCCTATAAGTCAATAATCAAAATATTGACACTGTAAAACAAAGATTATTACAACAGTGCAATTTACTAAAGGAGATGGAAACATTTACATCTGGAAATGAATTAAAAATCTGAAATCTTTATGAAATGATTTGTGGAAAACTGTGCCTTTTTATATTACATAAAAATAAAAAGTTACAGATAAAGATTGAAAGTGTGCTGTAGTGTCTAATGTACACTGAACATTCAAAGGCCTTACAGGATTATTAAATATTGCCTTTTGCAAGGCTAGATTCTAAACTGGTCCTGGCCTAATTATTATGCCTAATGTTTATACAGGGTTTTATGGCAGTACTAACTTCTTTTGGACACAAGTCATCTGATCCTCAGAACAAATGTTAAAGTAGAAACAGTGTACATATGACATGGAAGAAAGTAAAATTGGGGGGTTAAATGAACTGATAGTACAGGGAGCCAAAACCAAGGCACTCTGGGCTCCAGGTCAGCATGACAAATTAATGAACAGCAAACTACTACGCAGTTTTACAGATGTGCACATTTGTTAAGAAGGCCTGAAGGTACAATATCTCATTCGGTGGTGCTTGAGGAGCTGAAAGAATTATTAGATATACTGCTGTCCTCTGTTATTCAAGAGGAATTGTTTAAGATACCTAAATCCAGGGGTCCTCTGCACACAGCTTCCTGTAATACATATATTTGGAGACAGGGTCTTGCTGTGTTGTCAAGCCTGACCTCAAACTCCTACTCACAAAGCTTGTTAGCAGAGCTAAGGTTAGTATTCAAGTCGCTAAGACTAACAGATTTCAACTGGGTCCTCAATAGAGGACACTGACAATGTCTGGAGATACTTCAGTTTGTCACACTGGGAGGGTGCCAAAGGCACATCGTGCATAGAAATCAGGGCTGCTAAACTACTTACAACAAGAGGATTCCCCTTCACAACAAGAACTATCTGGTCGAAGAAATATCAGTAGTACCAAGGTTCAGAAACCCAGATTAGAACTGCACTTTGTCAGATCTATGTACTTGATTTTACATTTAAACAAGCATTCAGAGAGTTACATGTTATTCCTCTTCAGCAATAATTCAGGCAAATTTAAGAACCCAGTTTGTTTCATTTTGCATATGAAGGAGTATGATAGATCAAAAGTATAGAACATACGCACCAGGAACCAAAGCCCAAGGGTCTCCTATCATAATCCGGCAGGTCTGGAGCAATCTTACAAGCTTGCATGTTCAGGTATTTAAATATGTGGATTTTGCCTTTTATGCATATCTAAATAAAACAGTACACAAATGCAACCAAATGATTACTCATCTGAAACACACATACTCTTTTTTTTTTCATATTCTTTTAAAATACATAATATCTTATAAAACTTTAGCCAGCTTTTTATATAGTATAAACTGGGACTACAAGTTATTTCTATTAAGTATGTAGTATAATGTTAACACTATTAATTCTAGTCAGCCCTCTGAGAGGCTGAGACAAGAGGAGTGCAAGCTCTTGGGCAACTTAGCAAGACCTGTCTCAAAATAGAAAATTTAAGAAAGGGTTTGAGATGTAGCTTACTGCTAGAGTGCCCCTGGGCTCAACTCCTCAGTATCATTAAAAAAAAAGTGGGGGCACAGGCAGCAACTGCCTGGCAAGCATAAGATCCTGAGTTTGATTCCTCATATTAAAAAAATATATGTGTGTGTATATGAGATATATATATATATGTATATATATATATATCATATATATTACACATGGTATATATAAAATTTGGTTCAATGCTATTTTAGGTATTTAGCTAGTAAATATATTATTGCTTTCTGTTCACCAGTCAGTTTTACTAACATAGAAACAATCTGTGTTAGAAGAATATTAAGTACATTTACTACACTATGCACACTCAGGAATTTAAAAACTTTTCTGGGATACATTATGCTGACAACTTTTGATTCTAGAAATCTAGTAACTGTGTATATATGCTTTTGAACCTGCTTCCCATGGTAGAAGAGCAGGAAATGACACCAAAGTCATATATGTTTTTGTTACTATCTGTCCCACAAGTCTAAATGGATTATTTAAATTAACGATGTTTGAATGCAAGTTTTACAAATACCATATGATAGGCTTATGTAAAATCAGGAATAAATTGCAGTTTAAAAAATAGCTACAGTGAAAAGTATGGTTGGTAAACATTTTATAAACTGTAGGGTGCCAAGGATCTATATGTAAAACTACTTTATAATTACATAATTACTAGTTTCATTACTGTCAAATGAATAAACCAGCGAAATAAGGAATTTATGATTTCAGAAAGCAGAAACCACAAAAAAATGGTAACAAGAATGCACTGATAATATTTACTTTGGAAGGATATTTTTATCTGTCTCTAGCTTTTACGTTTTTTTTTTTTTTAATTGGTACTGGGGATCAAACTCACAACCACACGCTTGCAAGGCAGGCGCTTATGCCACTTAGCTAAATCCCCAGCCGCTTTTACGTTCTTTATATTCAAGTTTTACTACAAGAAAATTAAGAAAATTTAATTCTTTTTTTTTTATACTGGTGATCAAATCCAGGGCTCTACTTCCAACTTAACATTCCTTTATGATAAATGAATTTTATTTTGAGACAGAGTTCCACTGAATTGTCCAAGCTAGGCTCAAACTTGTGATCCTCCTACTTTTTAGCCTTCTGATTCCAAGCACATGCTGCCATGCCTGGTCCAAATTTCATTAGAAAAACAATTTCAGAATTCCTCATATTAAAAATGACAAACTAGTAAAAGAAAAAATACTTCAGGGACATTATCCAACTTTCATACCATTTATTCAAGACTTCTACAGAATATGAAGTATGTGAAATAATTTTAAGAGGACTTAATTTACAATAAAAAGATAAATGCATATAATTACATTTCATCCTTTATTAAAAAAAAAAAAAAAAAGCCCCAACCTGTTTGCACTGTGGCTTACCTGTGCAGGAGGTGACTGGAGGGGGTTGTTATCTAGGGTGATCACCTGCAGGTGCCTGAGGTTCCGGTAACAAACAGGGATTGCTGTGATTTTATTGCAGGAAAAGTCTAAACGTATCAAAGGCAACTCTGCAAGCTCTGCAAGGGGGTAAATGGAATTGAACAATTAATGATATTTTAGACCTATACAATTTCTACATAAACTTCCACTACAGGACTGAACAGGTATTTATTTAGATTCTTGGGGACTAACTGATGTAACAACGTGGTATAAATTAAAATCCAGTTATCTACAGATAATACCAATAAAAACCAAGCAGTCTGATCCCACACAAAGGTATGGAAATTCTCAGAATCTGGAGGCTCCAATACAACAAAAAGGTGATGAGATGACAGTTTGTGTAAGAACAGTTAAATGTCTAGCTCTCTGCAACACTTATAGGAGTCACAAGTTATTTCACAAGAAAGTGAATCAAAAAGGCTCTCAATGGAGGGATCCCAGACTAATGTAAAGCCAGCCCAAAAAGGAAGATTTAGGTGGAAGTCTCTACAGTTAAGTGCCATCCCCCAGTGCCTTCCACTGCAGCCCACCTCATGCCACAGTTTGAAGGCCAGCAGTTAGGAATTCACATAATAACATGGAAGAAAAGGAGACTTTCTCTCAAGAAACTATGCAGTTTCATAAAAGATTTTAGTTATTGACAGGGAATTTCTGTAATAAAACATCCAGCTTGCTGCTTAACTATTCTTCTATAATTTCTGCCCAGTATACTCAAGAGTTTTTACTCTATTGCAATCAGACAGTATACTATATGACCCACAGAAATTTTAGAGATGCCTCCAACATATACAACAAAAATCAAAACCAACTAAACAGAAAAAATGAGTTATTATTATTATGTTTGTATTGGAGACAGACTGCAGGGCCTTCACACTGGGCTAACTTTAAATTTGGAAACAAGGTCTTGCTAACTTAACAAATTACCTAGGCTGAGCTCAAACTTGGTGATTCACCTGCCTCAGCTTCCCAGAGTTTTGGAATTACAAGTGTGTGCTACCATATCCGGCCAAGTAGCTATATAGAAACAAAAGGTAAATTTGAAAAGTATTTAGAACTAGCATCATTAATTTCAGAGAAATAAGATATCATATCACTGAAATATGTAAAGGATTTTTTAAAAAATCATAGTTATTAACAAGAGTTTTTACAAATAAAAAATTTGATTGCAGAAACAATTTATAAATTTTAATTATATTTAATGTGCAGAAACATTATAAATTTTATTTATAAAGAATTTCTAAAATTAAAAATGCAAGAATGGTTGCTACTATTTTAGTAGCAATGACAAAGAAACAATAATAAAAAAATCAAAGCGGCCTAACATTCAATTATAAAATATGAACAGAGAGGAAGAGGGAAATTATCAGTCTAACACCACTGAATACCACCAAGTATCCAGCATAAATTAAAACAATTCCTGCTATGTACGTCATCATAAAAGCACACAGCAGGAAGAGTAACGAGAAGATCTTAAAATCTGCCAGAGTGAAGGTGATCACAAAATAGAATTAGAAATAAGCATACTTCCCACCACTTACTTTTTACCTGAAAGTGAAAATGAATAAAGATAAATATTCTTTAGAGAAAGGAGTTTTCAACCAACAATCTACATACAAATTATCAATCAAGCAAGAACACAGACTAAAGATACATCCTTTGAAGTGAGGTCTGGAAAAAATGTTCTCTTGTGATAATGTTCTCAGGAAGTTATCAGAAGATGTCCTCCAGGAAAATGGGGAGTAAACAAAGAAAAGAAAGTATTTGGAGTCCAGAAATGAGAGTACTCAACAATAAAGAAAGCAAGCTGGGGAAGATTATTAGGGAACAGCTGTCCAGATGAGAAAGACAAAGAAAAGAGGAAAAAATACTGGCTCTTCAAGGGAGATCAGCAAGAAACAAAAATTAACACAAATCAACAGTAGAACATAACAAAGTATGCAAGAAAAAAAACGAAGAGTACATCATCTGAAATCTTAGGAATAATATTTATATAGTTAATGTAAACATTGGCTAATGATTTAATTAAGTTTTTGTTTATTTTTTGATGCAGTACTGACTGAACCTAAGGCCTGATGCCTGCTAGGCAAGCCCTCTACCAGTCCAAAATTAATCAGAAGTTATGCCAAAACCACACTGGGAAGATGGGAGAAGGGAAAGATACAATACAGTGTTGTGGAAGGAAATAAAGCCTTTATCTGTTAATGAACATAAATGCCAAACTTGACAATGCCAGCTAAAGAGCTGTCTGTACAAATGAACCATTTAGAAGTATATCAGCAAGTATCACTGAAAAGAATCAAAGAAGTTAATGAAGGTAAATGGCTCTGGCCCCTGATGTGTGGGGAGATTTGAAGAAAGGGAACATTATTATTTACTTTAGGCTTTTAGGTAGTCTTTGAATGACATTATATTATTTAATAAAAATTAAAATTAATTTAAAATCAGAATGACAAGGTAACAAAGCTGTTACATGTTATCTACCAAACTTTGTTATGTTTGAGATCACTAACATGAACTTGTATGACTATTAGAACAAAACTCTGTATGCTATTACAACAAAATATGTTAAAAATTTGAAAACTACCTGTGTGATTAATAATTTTCTTGTTAGTTTACAAGTCAAAGTAAGATTTAGAAATAAAACAGAAGGGAGCTGGGGATTTAGCTCAGCGGCATAAGCGCCTGCCTTGCAAGCAGGCAGTCGTGAGTTTGATCCCTGGTACCGATAAAAAGGAAAAAGACAAAAAAAAAAAAAAAAAAAAAGAAAAGAAATAAAACAGAGGGAATGGGGATTTAGCTTAGTGGCACAAGTACCTGCCCAACAGGCATAAGGCTGTCAGTTCAGTCTCTGGTACCACAAAATAAAGAAAAAGAAAAGAAATAAAGCAGAAGCTAGAACTTTTATATAGCATTGTAACTGTCAAAACCCCATTTTTCATTTTTATCAAAACTATTTCCATTAATTCATCTCAGTAAATCTTATTACATGAGGAAGGCCCTTTTATTTATTTTTTGGAGACAGGGTCTCGTTATGTAGTTCAGGCTAGCTTTGAAGTCACTCTGTAGTCCAGGCTACCCTCAGTCTCCCCACTGCTAGGATTAGAGGCATGCAGCACTACACTCATACTGGAGACCTGAAAGATCACCCCCAAGCAGTGGTTCCTCTAGATAACCTTAGATTGCATTTGGGGATACTAGGTCATATGTCTTGACCTTGTTCTAGTTACACTCTTGAGCTGGCAGCAAAAACCAAGATGAAATGAAGAAGGGCCTTGAAGATAAAGGAGGTGAAAGTTATTGAACAAGTTTTGTGAAAAGTAAGATGTGTGCTTAGTCTGGTAGTGATAAGTGGATAAAGGTGAAATAGGAAAGTCATTTTCTGGCTGGGTAAGATGTCGTAAGCCTGTAATCTCAGCACTCGGGCGGCTGAGGCAGGAAGACTGTTCTGAGTTCAAAACCAGCCTGGGCTATAAAGTGAGCTAAAGGCCAGCCTGAACTGCATAGTGAGTCTCCAAAACAGTGGGGCAGGGGCAGCTAGGATTTAGCTCAGTGGCATAAGCATCTGCTTGGCAAACACAAGGTCATGAGTTTGATCCCTGGTACAAAAATAAAAATAAAAATAAAAACCACAGAGAGGAAAGTCATTTTCTTACATGTTTATTTGGGATTGAAAATGTCAAAAATATATTTCTATGTTAGAACTAAATATGATACTAAATCAAAGTGGTTTAAATGATTAGACTCTACAGTGAAAGCAAAATGTCATTAGCTAATTTATTTAACTGTACATTATGAAATGTTTTGAGGAACATGGAATACTGCCATGAAAATAATTTCTGAAGATTTCTTATCTTTTAAGTATACATTCTAAAGGATAAACTGGGAAAAGTGGGTAAGATAACAAAACAAGAGTTACCATGGACTAATAACTAGCTACACAGAGATTATACAGAGGTTTGTTGCTCTCATTTATATATGAAATTTTCTGTAATAAAAAATTTTAAATATACTTTGAGTCTAATAAAATGATTCTTTCCATTTTTTTCATTTACAGCTTTTTCATGAACTTGTTTATATGAAAGATTGACAAATTAATTTAAATTTTTTTTTTTTTTTTTTTTTGTGAGACAGGATCTTATTATGTACTTCAGGCTGGCCTGGAATTCACTATGTAGCCCAGCCTGGCCTGAAACATGTGGCAATCCTCTTGCCTCAGTCTCCCAAGGGCTGGTATTACAGCCGTGCACCACCACACCCAGCTTGTTTAATTATTTTGTCATTCAGATACAAATGTGAAAGCTTACAGTCAGCCTAAGATAGCAAGTCTCCTCAAGCAGTCTCTCCCCTCATTGATCATATACATCACCTCACCTTCAGTCAGTCGTAAACTTGATTTCAACTCAAAAGTCCATTTTTATGTCAGTGCTGACTATAAGAATACTTTTTGTTATATGAGATTATTCCCTTATTAAAACATTACATTTTCCAAAAGTCATGCATACTGAAATTTCTTGTGGCCTTGCCCTGAGTTATCAATTACATCAACTGGTAATTCATAAAAACATAACCAATGGTTAGTAGTTATTAAAACTTTTTACTAAGGACTAGGGCTGTAATTCAGTGGTATAGCACTTGCCAAACACGCATAAGATTCTGGATTTAATTATCAATACTGAAACTAAAACAAAACTTTTCATTGAAGAGTCCTTAAAAATCTACCATAGAGGCTGGGCATGGATAATCCCAGCATTCAGGAGGCTAAAGCAGGAGGATTGCTATGAATTGGAAGCCAGCTTAGGCTACATAGGAAGTTCAAAGCCACCCTGAACTACACAGTAAGATCCTGTTAAAAAAAAAAAAAAAAAAAAAAACTACAAAAGAACAGGTACCACAAACTACCAGATTTCAAACACTGGCCTAATGTTTTTGTCTTTTGCCAATCAGTGTGAGGTCTTTAAAATAAAAAGACGAATAGTAAGATAATTATTTCAGTTTCTTACCTTCAGGCAAATGTACTAAGTGATTTCTTCTTATATTAAGGTCTCGCAAAGTCTCCAGATTACCAATTTGGGAAGGCACAGTCTGAATTTCATTGCAGCTGACATCCTATTTCAAAAAGATACAAGATGAAGATTGTTCTTATTATAAACCTGCCTGCTTTCAACTATTAAAACATAGTCCTTCTCGGTACTAAAAAAATTGTGCTTCTGTGTCTAAAAATACTTCCAGTTTATATCTGCATTTAACTTTAAAACTTACTGGCACTGCTGCAGGGATACAACTCATTGATGGAGCACTTGCCTAGCATGGGCAAGGTCTTGAATTTGATTCCCAGCACCACAAGAAAATAAAAGTTGCATATGACTAAAAAAAAAAGTTTTGACTGGTTCTGTACATTTTATATAGATTCACACAAAATTTTGAGAACTACAATGAAAAGACTTAAGATATGAATAGGTGTGCACCACCACACTCAGCTTGTTTAATTATTCTGTCATTCAGATACAAGGAAATTCTGTCATTCAGATCAAAGGAAAATGTTGGTGAAAAGGTAAAAGTAGAAAAAAGTACAAAAATAAATATTTTATATTACTCTAATGAAACTAGAAAAACAAAACAATGCTATAATTATTTGGAAAGAAAAAACCCCCATCTTCAACATACCATTTTGACTGATTAAGAATATAAAATGAGGGGCTGGGGATTTAGCTCAGTGGCATAAGCGCCTGCCTTGAAAACAGGCAGTTGTGAGTTTGATCCCCGGTACTGATAAAAAGGAAAAAGACCAAAAAAAAAAAAAACAAAAAAACAAAGAATATAAAATGAAAATGTACAGATGACTCCAAATATCAAACTGAATGTGTGCAAAAATTATGAAAAAATAGGGATTATTGTATTAGCATCTGACAAAAGTGCTTTTTTTTTTTTGAGACAGGATTTCATTATGAAGTTCAGGCTGTTTTTGAACTCATTATGTTGGCCTTGAACTTCAGGTGATCCTCCTGCCTCAGTCTCCCAAATGCTGGGATTACAGACATAATCACCACGCCCAGCTCCATTAATCTGATTTTAAACACCTATTAGGTAGGACTTCTGTATCTTGGTTAATAGTTCGATTCTAACATTTCTAAAAAGAGACTATGGACAGGTTTCAAGATCAGTAAATTTAGAATTTCATGATTCTGAAAACAGCCAAAATAATTTGTAAACCCACTATCATGTAAAACAGAAGGAAGCTTCCTAGGTTAATAAACTGTCCAAGCCATACATTAATACTTAAAATCTTCCAATATATGAGTAATACTTAGAAAGACAGACTATTCAACGGACATTTCCATAAGATTGAGATACTACTTTTTAGTTTTCCAAAAATACTCTTAGAGAAAACAATGCAATTTTCACTTTGCTGCTAATTTATGTTTTAAGCAGAACCAGGAGCTAGATTTTTCAATCCAATGTTCTAGGCATCAAAGATAGAGGGTTCTAAAAGAAGGTGAAAAGGAGGGGCTGGGGATTTAGCTCAGCAGCATAAGCGCCTTCCTTGCAAGTGTGTGGTCGTGAGTTCGATCCCTGGTACCGATAAAAATGAAAACAACAACAACAACAAAAAAAGAAGGTGAAAAGGCAGGAACACTCGGTCTGACCCTAACAATATATAACAATATATTTTAACAATATATAAAAACATGTTTCAGAAAATACATGTTGAGCCTGGGGATATAGCTCAGTGACATAAGCGCCTGCCTGGCAAGTGCAAGGTGGTGAGTTCGATGTCTGGTACCAAAAAAAGAAAAACAACAAAAAAAACAATGGTTAGAAAATAATATGGTAAAAGATATCATTTTACTTTCACTGCAAAATGAGGTAAAATAAAGAGGTAATACAGATGTTGCAGGAAGACCATGAGGTAGGAATCAGGAGAGCTTGAGGGGACAGATTCTTCTTCCACTAAAAGCTCTCTGTATAGCCAGGCGTAGAGGCGCACTCCTGTTAATCCCACCACTCTACAGGCTGCAGCAGGAGGACCATTGCAAGTTCAAGACCAGCCTAGTCTACAAAGTGAGCTTAAGGCTAGCCCGAACTGTGCAGTGAGACTCTGTCTCAAAAAGACAAACAAGGGGGGCTGGAGGTTTAGCTCAGTGGCATAAGCGCCTGCCTTGCAAGCAGGCAGTTGTGAGTTCGATCCCCGGTACCGATAAAAAGGAAAAAGACAAAAAAAAAAAGACAAACAAACAACCTCTCTGTATGACAGACAGTGTAAAAACTAAAAGCAGCTACTGAAACACAACTATCTTTTGAGTATGTAGGACTAAAAAAGTAGAAAAAAAGTTTAAATGACTTGAAAGTAAGAATTTAAGGACTGGGGATTTAGCTCAGTGGTGTACACGCCTGCCAGGCAAGCATAAGTTTGTGAGTTCAATCCCTGGTACAAAAAAAAAAAAAATTCAGTTGAAGTATAATTTACAACAGTCCATGTTATTATTAATCCAAGCTCTGAATAAATGCCAACAAATGTACAATCTGGACTTTATTTCCTAGGTCTAACTGGTTCTAAAACTAGCCTAAAATCTAGACTACAGGTTTAATGTCTGTTAATTTTTACATGTAGTTTCTCATTTTCAAAATGCATGTAAAAAGCATCTTAATTTGCCCAATTAGATTAGCATTATGTGATCTTTTCTGTTTATATAAACATCTTTGTAAATAAACTCACAAGGAAATAGATATTTTTTCTCTCTCTCTTTTTGAGACAGTGTCACTATGCAGTTCAGGCTAGCTTTGGGCTCACTTTGTAGTCCAGTGAAGCAGGAGGATCACTGTCCCTAACTCATAGTGATCCTCCTACCTTAGGCTCCCAAGTGCTGGGATTACAGGAGTGCACCACCACACCCAGCTAGGAAATATACTTTTAAATCTCAACAAACAGAATTTTATTTGCTGACTGGAGAAATATGAAACGACTTACTATCAAGTAGCTGCTTTCAAATTCTACTACTGTGTAGCTTTGGGTAAATTATTTAACCTGAGTGGTATTTTCCTCAGCTACAAAATGAAGACAATTTTAGTACTCAGTTTAAAATATTAATCACAGTTATTAAATCAACAAAATTCTTTTTCTTTTCTCCTGATATTGGGGATTGACCTTAGAGCTTTCACACTGAGCCATATTACCCTATCCCCTTTCTATTTATTATTTTGAAACACAGTCTCACTAAATTGCCCAGGTTGGGCTTTAATTTATAGTCCTCCTAGTTCAGCCTCCTAGAGTACTGGAACTATAAGCATGTGCCACTATACCTGGCAAGAAAGAACTCATTCAGGTACTCAGACCATTTACACAAGAGCGACTTTCTTTCTTTTTTTTTTTGTCTTTTTGAGACAGGGTCTCTCTATGCAGTTCACACTGGCCTTGAGCTTGCTTTGTAGCCTAGGCTAGTCTCAAATTTGCAATGATCCTCCTGCCTCAGCCTCCCCAGTGCTGGGATTACAGGAGTGAGTCACCATGCCCAACAAGAGCTACTTTTTTATAATTTACTGCAGATAGTAGGTGAATTTCAAATAAACATCTCAGAAAAATAAATGGCAGTAAATTATTATTCAGTTACATTATAAATATAATAAGACAAACAAAAATGCCTGACCTTTTAGGTATTCATTCTCCTATATAACTAACCAAAAATTAGAATACTGATGTTATTAAAGCTGGTGTGGCGGTGTACATATGTAATCCTAATACCTGGGAAGCGAGGCAGGAGGATCACCACAAGTTTGAGGTCAGCCTGGGATACATATTGAGTTTAAGGCCAATCTGAACAACAAAATGAGATCCTGTCTCGAAAAACAAAACAAAACAACACTATATATAGAGAGATATTACAAAATTTAACTTGAAAAATCAAATGTGGTATTAACAAATACCACAAAAGTTTAATAACATGGAAATCATTCAATATTGGTTGGATCACAATTCTAATCATATTTTTCTATTTTGTGTAGCCCTATGAGGTTTATAGTTTTGGTCCATTCTTAATTCTCTGTCAAGGAATTGAGCACTGATCACTCAGTACTGTGTAGTTTATGACCAACACTGGAAAAGAACCCAAAACCACATCTGAAGAATACTGTTAATATATGAAAGAGTATAGAATGGCTGGAGACATACCCAAAGATCAAAAATTAAGATATTAACTTACGAGCTCCGTCAAATGTCTGAGGCATCCAATTTCTTCTGGAAGTGAGACCAATTTGTTATTACTAGCAATTAAGACTTTCAATGGTAAATTACACAAGTGTACTGGTAGTGTTGACAGTTGGTTTCGACTAAATGGGTAAGAAAAGAGGGGTCAGATGCTACCATTGAAGAAAAATGTCCATCTCTCTTAATCTAGACTTATGTAAGTCTTACAAAGAACAAACAGGTTAGCAAATTTGTGTTCTAGTCTTCATTTCATCAGTTGTCAGCTTTGTAGGTTCAGGCATAGCACAGAACCTATCTGGGTTATATGAAGATTCCTCATCCATAAACTAAGTACTTTTGGCAACTGCCAACTAAGGCAATCTGGCCAACTTAGTAAATCTTTGTCTCAAAAAATAAAAAATAGCTGGGGTTGGGCACAGCTACAATCCCAGCACTCAGGAGGCTGAGGCAGGAGGGTCACCATGAGTTTGAGGTCAACCTAGGTTACATAGTGAGTTCAAGAGGAGTTGGTTCAATGTAAGTATTAAAATATTTATTAATTGACTGAATAAGTTATTTAAAAATATGTCTCTCTTGCAAGAATACACAGTGAGACACTGTCTCAAAAACAAAATAAAACCAAACCAAAACATCTAGGTATGTAACTCAATGCAAAGGCCCTAACTTCAGTTTCCAGTACCATATACAAAAACAAAGCCAAAAAACTGGCAAAAGCTAAGTATCTGCCCAGTGTGTTCGTACAAGATAATCCCAGCACTCCAGAGACTGAGACAAGAGGACTGCTGTGAGTTAGAGGCCAGGATAGGCTGTGCAGTTAGTATAAGGCCAGCCTCAATTACAAAGCAAGACCCTGTCTCCAAAAAAAAAAAAAGAATCTCAGGAAAACAGGGCTTAAAAAGTATATAAATTGCAATAAATTATTGGTTACAAAAATCTTTCCAAAGGATATTCTATGACAAGGAAAAAATGTTTTAAATTTTTTGACTAAAAGCCTAGAAAAACATAAGAAAAGGATCATCGACAATAATATAACTCAGATAACAGTAATTCCATAAATTACTTTTCTAGGGGGCTGGGGATTTAGCTCAGCGGCATAAGTGCCTGCCTTGCAAGCAGGCAGTTGTGAGTTCGATCCCTGGTACCGATAAAAAGGAAAAAGACCCAAAAAAATTACTTTTCTATATTTGTGCATATTCTCTGATTTTTGTTCTACCTTTGCATGCCTATAAAACAGTTCTTACAAAATGTGAAAAAAATGGAGGTAAGCTGAACAAATATTCATTTATGCATATATATTTAGAATTTATGTATTTATTTTTGGTACCGGGGACCAAACTTAAGACTGTGCACTTGCCAGCCAGGCTATTATGCCACTGATCTAAATCCCCAGCCCTATATTTACAATTTAATACATAAAAATTAGTCACAAAAATCAAATGAAATAACTCAGATCTTTTTTTGTTTTTTTCCTTTTCTTTTTTTGCTTTTGTTTTTTTTTTTTGAGATGGGGTTTTGCTATGCATTTCACACTGGTCTTGAACTCACTTTGTAGCCCAGTTAGGCCTGATTCTCCTGCATCAATCTCCCAAGTGCTGGGATTACAGACATAAACTACCATGCTCACCTAGATCTACTATCTTACTTTTTTTGACACAATATTTTTCCATTTTACCTAGATTTCTTCTAGCTAAGTAAGCACAGTTTATTATTCTTACTTGATGAATTAATTTGAAAATGTATTTAGAGAACCACTATTATAAGACTTCTGCAGGCCTCATCAGCTAACAGCTAATAGGGTTTATTACTGACTGCTAGGCCAAAAATAAACAATTATATGCAATTTATCCAAAGGACACATACAGAAACTGCTAATGTGAACAGATAACATCAATATCTACAAATATTTAAGTGACAGATGGGAAAAACTAGAGGAATGTATCCAATATACCCTAAGGATACATACAGGAACTGCTGATATGCACAGATGACATAAACATTTAACCAATACAGATGGGAAAATGGAAAAGATCATATAAAAACAAAAAACAATTAAAAAAAAAAAAAAAAAAAGAGGGCTGGGGATTTAGCTCAGTGGCTTAAGCGCCTGCCTGGCAAGTGCGAGCTCATGAGTTCGATCCCTGGCACCAAAATAAATAAATAAATAAATAAATTTTAAAAAAGAAACAATATTCTTACCTAATATTTAAGAATGTCAGCGCTTGTAAATTTAGAATTGCTTCTGGGATATACCGAATACAATTTTGGTACAAGTTGAGATTTTCAAGAGAAACAAAATGACATGCTTCTATAGGAACTTCTGAGAGGCGATTTCGTGATAAATCTAAAAGAAAAAATAAAATAAATTTAAAATCAATCCTGAGAACTCACTGAACCATAAATTAATAAGTAGGTTTTGTGATTATTTTAATTTTCCAGAGTTTCTACTGGAGTTGTCTCAGTGAAAGCAGTAAAATATTTATTGACCGAGTAAATCCTTTAAACATAAGCCTGTGGCTGGAAAAAGATTGTTTTTTCCCCCCTCTTTCTTTGCAGAGGAATCCAGGACATTCTCACTGGGTTACACTTCTAGTCTTTTCTAAATTTTTCTTTCCTTTTTTGTTTCTTTGTACTGAGGATCGAACTCGCAACCTCATGCTTGCCAGGCAGGTGCTTATGCCACTGAGCTAAATCCTCGGCTCTATTTTTTTTCCCCCAGTGTTGGGGATTGAAGCTAGGAGTGTTGCACTGAGCTCCATCCCTAGCCATTTTTTTAGTTTTCAAGATAGGCTCTTGCAAAGTTGCTAAACTGCCCAGGATGGGCTCAATTTTTATTTATTTGTTTATTTTGTGTGTGCTGGGGATTGAACTGACAACCTTATGCTTGTCAGGTAGGTGTTTGCACCACTGAGCTAAATCCCTAGCCCAGAGCTCAAATTTTTGATCCTCTTGTCTCAGCTTCCCAGACCTCTGGGACCACAGGGATGCACCACTACATTCAGCCAATGATTCCTTTTGAGTTTCTGTGTACACTAAGAAATAAAACCATTATTCTTTACAGATACAGCAAGAGAAGTTCTAAGATATCTACCTAAAAATTGTATCAAAGTTTACATCGTCCCTACAATTCCAGCACTTTGGGAGACGGAGGTAGAAGGATCACAAATTCCAGGTCAGCCTGGGCAAATCAGTGACTTAGTGAGACCCTGTTTCAAAATAAAAAGGTTGGGAATTTACCTCAGTGCAAAACACACACACACACATAGTTATCCACATACTCTAGAAAGAAACAGATTCCTAATCCATCCTTCCAAAGGCACAGAAAACATGCCCAGATTTTTAGAAAAACAAAATATCCTTTTCTTTACTAATTAAAGATTATCAAGATCTTGTAACCTTCTTTGATAGCACTGGCAAAAGATGAAAGAGTCTGAACTTCAATACAAATAAATGCATAGGGCATGGTAGGAACTACACGCCTATAATACCAGTTACTCAGGAAGCTCAAGTAGGATAACTGCAAATTCCACCCCAGCATGGGTGACTTAGCAAGATACTGTCTCAAAGTAAGAAATAAAAAGGACTGAGGATATAGTCCTCAGTCCACATGCTAGGCAAGTGCCAGGTACTGGGTTCAAGCCTCAGTACTGGGGATGGATATATATATATATATATATATATATATATATATATATATATATATAATTACAATGAAGTGAGTACTGAACTATACAACTTTATAATGGCATATTCCAAATATATGACACAGAACCAATTCATTTTCTTGCAAATGGTACAATAAGGAGAATCAAACATTTATTGCACCTTCCCTATAAGTATGTATCATTGAGTAATCAGAGATGAAGAGAAGCATCTCTAAATAAGGCATCCTCACTATGAACAGAATGGAATGCCAGAATATCAACATTTTGCAACCCTCAGTAATGAATGGAGCTAGAACTAAACAATCTGGCTATCTTTATAAAAAGGCAATCAGAATTACTGTAAATGCATCCCACTAGAACAGAACATCACCTAGGATTTTGCCAAAGGGACAGAACCTGAGTCCTCTATACCATCTGCATCAGCTGTACCTTTAAGAAACATACCATAGAATCAAAAGGAGATGTGAAAAAAAAAAAAAGAAAAGAAAAGAAACATACCAAACAGAAATGTAAATTGATATGTGGCTATACAATAAGTCCCTAGTTTACAAATCAGTTCAGTTCAGTTCTGGAGAACATCCTAAATCTGATACGTTTGTAATCTGACAAAAGTCGGTCTTATGCAGTGTATCTGTGAATCTTATACAGTACACCTGTGAAGGTTCAAAATTTGAATGCTTTTAAGCTGGAGATTTACTGTACATTATTATCCATTTAATTGAATATACTATGAGGTTCCCTTGCTTACCACTGTTTTCTCTCTTATGTCTGTTGTAAAACAGAAAAAATTCTTCCGATCTCTGTTAGGAATTATGTAGTGAGACTCCTTGGAGACCTTTCTCTGGATGAAGTATTTGATTAGTATCGCCTTCAATTCCTGAAGATTTGCAAGTATTTTAACCGTATAAGTAGACGCTACCTTTGATAGTATTGGCACAGTTCTTAATAGTCTGCAGATGTTATTCTGCTACCTTCTAGTTTCCCGTGTCACATGGTGCAGCCTACTGCCCCGCTGATTTCTTCTGTAAGCAATTTGTTCTTCCTGATGATCCCTTTTCATATTTGAGCTGGAGCTCAATGAACTCAATCTTTCTTCCAAACAAGAATTCTTCTCTATTGTATCTTTAGTTATTGCACTGCCTCTATTTGCTCTTCCTCCATCTTTACATGTTTTTCTGGTCTGATATACTCTACTACCTGATATTTTAAATCATGAATCTGAGTCTCAACAAAACATCGTTCTCTCAACAAGTTAATATATAGGAAGTGTTTTCCCCTTACTTCATGTTTAAGTTCTTTTATACTATAATTAGAAGCATGCCACTTTGTTTCTCTTAAAACTCTTAAGACAATTTGTTTTGTTCCCCTTGGTGAACTTGCCACCAATGAAGCCAACTTATCCTGGAAGCTCTCCTTGTTCACCCTCACTCTGGCTGATTTAAAGTACACTTATAAGTGGATTGTTTTTGTTGGCCAATTCATAGTTCTCCTCCTCCTTAAAGCTCAGGTCAAGCTGCAACTGTTAAAAGGCAGTTAGCAGCAAACAGCAGAAGCAACCTCTAAAAGGTGGAATTAAGCTTTCTTTCTAGAGCACAGCTACTTCTGAAACTCAAAAGGCCTGGTATTTGTTCAGAGGCTAGTGTCTCCCCAGACCCACACACCTCCTATGGGCTCTACCTGTCTGGCTACCAGTACCTGAAGTTGGGAAAGAGATGATCATCTTTCCAAAATGCCTCCTCAGATTGCATTCACACAGAAAAAGTTAAAGTCAGGTAACAGAAACCATTAGGTAATTCAGACTAAAAAAATTTCCACATAAATCATGAAATTGTGACTACTTTAATACAAAGAACAGTAATTATTTTATCACATCCTATTTAAATTATATAAACTTTTAAAAATTATAAAGCATAATTTTAAAAGTTGGAGAAACAAAAGAGTATTAATGTCAATTATAAATTGGTTCTTAAATATTTTTTAAGTCAATAAAGACAACACATCAAAATTAAGTAGTGACTAAAGTTAGCCAATTTGTACCATAAGTTTAAACTACTTAAAACTCAGAAAAATATAAACAAGTAACTTCTATCTTTTGATTTGTCCCCATTCAAATAAAGGAAAAAAAATTTGCTGGACACGAATTAAGCTTAGAAATATGTCAGCAAACAACTATTTCTTCATTTTTAAATATTAGCCAATTTATCTTGTTTTTCTAAATTTACTTTGCTCATCAACTGATGAAAACATAAATGTAGTACACATACAATATGGAATACTGTTCAGCCACAAAAAGAATGAAATCCTGTCATCTATTATGACATGGAAGGAGCTGGGGATCATTATGATAAGTGATGTAAGCTGGGCACAGAGAGACAAGTATCACAAGATCTCACTCATATATAGAATATAAAAATACTGTTCTCAGCCAAGCATGGTGGCATACACCTGAAGGTGTGCACTCAGGAGATTAAGGCAGAAGGAGTTTAAGGCCAGCCTGGGCTTCAAAGTGAGTTTAAGGCTATCTTGAATTACAGTGTGACCTTGCCTCAAAAAAAACCCAAAAAGTTTGAATGTCACCATAACGAAATAAACGCTGTTACAGTTGTATCTTGATTTTCCTCCAAAGCCTCCTAAACTCATAGGTGGGGCTTTTGGAGGTGGCTGGACATAAGGTGTGTGTAGATAGATTAAAGACAGATAACTAAGTCAATCTACTGATTTGTTTTGCATAGTTCTGGCTCACCCTGAATCAGGGTGGCATCGACAACAGGCCTGTAGCCTGGATGGTACAAAAAGGGAAAGATGGAAAGCAGGCTCACTGCTGTTTGCTATACCATAGACTGTTTCTCTTCTTGAATGCCCCTCTGCCATACCACCTTGTCTTGAAACCAATCGATTATGAATTGAAACCTCTACAAACTATGAACCAAAATAAACCTTTTGTCTTACTTTTCTTGCTGCTGGGATAAAATACTCAACACCCAAAGTTAAAGGGAAAATGGTTCAGCTCACAGTTTGTAGAGGTTTCAGTCCATATCAGTTGGCTCCAGGGGAGAGAGGCTTGGCAGAGAACAGTTCATGGTGAGCAGATGACAGCAAAATCAACAATAGACTTTAACAGCATTTTCCTGCTCCTTTTATACTTTATCTAGGCTGCCTGGGTTTAGGACAGTGCCAAACCACTCAGTGAACTGATTACACACCCTTAATCCTAGCATCACATACTCTAGATTCAGCCAACTTTGAAAAAGTCCTGCATGAGGATCTAGGGGAAACATCTAGACACAAACCGTAACACTTTTTCTCTTTAATTTGTGGCTAGTATTTTGTTTCAACAATGAGAAAAGTAACTAAATACTTAAGAAGAAAAATGTTTAACCTGATTTAAACTTGATATAATGTATACATTTCAAAATAGTACATGGTACCCTATAAATATGTCTAATTATTTCATGTATCAGTTAAATAAATTTAAAGAAAAACTAAAAATAAATACATAACTGAATGAATAAAAAACATAAACAGTAAATAAATGAATTATGTAAATAAGTAGAGGCCGAGCTGGGTTATTCTCATGTAACAGTGCTTTAGGAATATGTACAATGCAATAACCTTGTATCTTTTTATTCATTCTACAGTATAAAATGTTTTCAATTTATGAAGGTTCCCTTCCTTTTAA